TGAAAAAATGTGCTCTGCTATTGACTGTAGAGGACAGAGTTACAATGAGAGTTAAGATCTCAATACAGATGACTGTTCTTCATGTTTACACTTCATAGCCCAGTGGGAATGAACTATGGATTTCTTTTTCAATGTTTTGTTTATTTATTTAATGGTACATATGAATTTGTTTCATTAGAAGATTAATAAAATCATCAGCAACACTGTTAGAATGTTTAGGGGAAAAAAAAACATAAGCCTCTCTTTTGAGAACACTTACTTAGTCCAAGGATATGTTTCACAGAGCTGTAGTTTAACATTATTAGCAATATTATCAGTCGCAGTGACATTCAATATGTTGAGTAAAGTTTGGTATTAGAAAAATAAATGACAAATTTATTATGTGTTTGACTATGTGCCCATTCACAGTTGTATGGTCCAGGTAGTATCAAGCATGGCAGTACTTTGTTAGAAAATGTTTGTGCTATTTATGAATGTATCCCAAATAATACAAATGAATTACTTGTCCGCACACTGATAATGCCATAGAGCGTGGATAACTGTAATCTAGACAAATGCTGCAATCAAGATTACAAAACCAGTAAAACAAAGGCGTACAAATGTGCGTAGCAAATGTCGATAGACAAGCATACTCAATATGATCTTTACTTTGGAATGTCAGAGTTGAACAAATAGGGTTGACCTTACAGCTCTCATAAATGTACTTGTAGTATATGTTACAATATATGATACTGTTCTTTACATGATCTACCCAGTTTAATTTTACAGTAAGAAATATTAAGAATTTCTTTGTCTGACAGTAAGTAACCTATCCAGTTATATTTCAAAAATATAATGGAATGCCAAAATAAAATCCCTGAAATATCATTTTTCTGGACCTGGTATAGTTTCATTTTGCGTGCTATCTGCCTTACAATTTCTGTTACTTTCTGTGTTACACGCAGATCAGATGACCAACAGAGTACTCTGGGATTAACATAATAACTGCATACTATAAAAATATATATTATTATAGAAAATCTAATAATATATCCAAAGGTTCTATACTATTTTGAATTTATAGTGAATTTCTTACTTCTCTTCGCACTAAATGATGTGTGTAACATTCAGCCATGGACTGTTCAAGACCTTTTCTACAACTTGTTTAAATCCAGAAGTTATCAAGTGTTTAAAACTTAACTAAAAAAAATCTTCTATCAATATTCTGTTATCAAGAAAAAAAATATGATATAAACCTCAGATAATGTATGTATCATACAGCATGTCCTTTCATTGCATAAAAAAGGACTTATCGAAATGTGCTTGTGTGAAGCCAGATCTCTGCTTGTCAAGATTTCGAGGCTGCGAATGCCTTGCTAAGGTATTAAGTCAGAATAGCATTCATGTAGCCCTTCATCTGTTGTAGAACTGCAATTGCCATGATGCTTTGCCAGCATTTTAGCAAAGCATCACAAGTGCTGTTGTTTCCATGGCGATATTGAGAATTGAAGTTCTGTAACAGCTGTAGAACAACATGTTGGACTCTGCTGTTCTAAGTGCTATGTATGTTTAGTGTGTAATAACCAATGGCGTATCAAGTGATCTGAATGTTTTTTTCCTAATCTTGTTTGCAATCGATAGATGCTATTGAATGTTTTTATGTAAACTTTGTATTGTTGGGAAGATTTACCCAAGCAGAGATTTATATTTTCATAAATGTTTAACTTAGCTACCTTTTGTTACGGAGTTATTAAATGAATTCTCTATTGCAGTCTTAAAAAAAATATACAGTCTTGTGAATGGATTGTTTGTACAAATAAAGCAAGCAAATTATATTGACAATATTCTGTCTATTTGATTTTTGTTCTACAGAATGGGAGTTTCTTAAAGCATGCCTTAAAAAATTAAAAAATATGAGCTAACAGAGCTACTTCAAGTTTTCTTTGCATCTATTGCACAATTTCTATTTTATATAATACTAAAGAGATTTAATTGGTGACTTGTGCAAAACTGAGGGCACAAACTAGAAATGCAAGCATTATTACATACTGGTTTAATGTTGAATGTTAAAGGGAATCTTTAAGCACCAACTGTATCTCAATAATTGTAAGCCTTCATGTTTAGTGTTGCTGAACACTTTGAATGTTTCTCATAGAGAACATTGCATTCAGTGTTTCTTTATGAGAAGCATCTCATTGGCTGAACATAACAATTATGCCCACTAGGTTCCCAATGATATTAATGATCCTGAATGGCTCAAAGTGTTAAAATTATAAATGCAACCTTAGAACAGTTATGCTGTACGTTCGTGTGGTGAGTGCTTAAAGGGACACAATAGTCACCAAAACAGCTTCAGTGTAAAGGAACACTATAGGTTCAGGAAGACAAACATGTATTTCTGACCCTATAATAATAAAATCACTATCTAGCCCCTCTTGCCCCCTAAATATAGTAGAATCTTACCTTTATGCCTGTCTGCTGGTGCTGGCTCTGCCCCTTATCTGCCACCTTGACTGACATCATCAGAAGTAATAATCTGAGCTAATCACATAGGAAAGCATTGGATTGGCTGAGATTGTAAATTCTGTTGATCTCACCCACCGAGGCGGGCCAGGGATGAAGCCAAACCTCGTCCTGGGCAATCAGCATCTCCTCATAGAAATACATTGAATCAATGCGTCTCTATGAGGAAAGTTCTGTGTCTCCGTGCAGAAGGTGAAAATACTACATGTCATTCACACTGTGCAGCACTGCCCCAGGAAGCACCTCTAGTAGCCATCTAAGGAGTGATCACTGGATGTGTCCCTAGGCTGTAATGTAAATGCTACCTTTTCTCTGAAAAGAAAATGTTTACTGCAAAAAGCCTGCAGGGACTGACAATACTTACCAGAACAACTACAATAAGCTGTAGTTGTTCTGGTGGCTATAGTATGCCTTTATTTAAGCCATTTGGGTGTATCGATCATGGTCCTGCAATCTCACTGCTCAATTCTCTGCAATTTAGAAGTTAAATCACTTTGGTTTCTGTTTCTGCAATCCTAGCCATACTTTCCCTGACTGTGACTTGCAGCTAGGGCAAATGTGGCTGTAAATCACAGCAGGGAAGTGTGGCTGGGGTTGCATGAAAAAAATAGTTTAACTTTCAATCAGATGTTAACTTGCTTTAGACGTTTGTATATCCTGCTCTTTAAATTGAGGGTGGCTTCTGTATGGTCTAGACTGCTATTAACGAATCTGGAGATAAGGAATTCTAAATTATTGTGCAATGAAGGAAGTTTAAAGATTAGATGTAACTATACAGGAAGTGTTTAGGAAGGCTGTGTAAGTCACGTGCAGGGCGGTGTGGCCAGGGCTGTAGACACAAAGTGATTGAGACTGCAGGAGAATGATATGTACACCAAAACTGGTTCAAGTTGAAGTTGCTTTGGTGCCTATGGTGTCCATTTAAATATATTTCACATGTAAAAAGCCTGTAGAATGTTGTCATTATTTTCTCTGGACAGCAACGCCCAAAAGTAGGAGAATTCTGATTACTGTAACAGCAGGAATAAATATCCCTCAAAACATAAATGACAAGAAGAATATGTTAGAAAACAAATTGTCAATTTCTTCGAAACTATCTAAGCATGCCTTGTGGAAACCTTAGCAACACTTCTCCGTTTTGGGCAAAACAAGGAAATAATGAGAACAATATAAAAGGATTAACCAGGAAATGTACATTTAGTTTTTTGCTTCTACTTCCTCATCTAGATATTACTATAGCCCAATGTAATGACTCTCATTTTATGAAAGCTTTAGTTGACCTTTGCTTGTTGTATAACCCTGACTACTCATTAAAGGGGCACTTGAGGCTGAAGTTTATTTACATACATTTATATACATCAAAAAGTAATAAAATGGGGGCGGAGCCTGGCCTTGGTACGAGATGGCTGCTTAGCTCTGTGGCTCTCTCTCCCCTGTAATAGAATCCGCCAACATCAGCGGCCTTAGGCACCCCCTTTTCGCACAACACGGCTCACCCAACTTGCCTGACGCTAGTGAACCACTTGGGCATGGGTGGCCCCAAGAAAAAGAAGGAGAACAATCCATCGGTGGCCTCGTTGTTCAGCTCACAAAATACTCCCCGGCGGCCATCTTGTCGCGGGAGCATGGAGGGCTCTGGCCCTGATTCACCCCCTGAACCAGACGACAATCCGCTGACCAAGCGAGACCTGCAGGCACTCCTGTTGGATGCCACAGCGGACATCAAAGCCCACACGGCGACTGAGCTGGAGAGGCACGTCCGTGCTTTGAAGACCGACATAGAGGCCCTGTCCCGCCGCACTCATCAGGCGGAGACCCGTCTGACAGTCCTAGCGGAGACCTCCAGCTCTCACTCCCAAGATCTCACTTACCTGCACGGTAAAATCGCGACTCTGGAGGAGGAGCTGGAGGATCTGAATAACCGTTCACGGCGCAACAATATTCGGGTCCGGGGGCTCCCAGAGACGGTGACACACGAAGCCCTACACAGCACCATCACCGACCTTTTCCGCTCCCTGCTACCTGAGGCATCGGAGGGGGACCTGGCAATGGACCGAGTGCACCGGGCCCTCAGAGCACCAACCTTGAATCCGGATACCCCGAGAGACGTCATCGCCCGCATGCACCGGTTCCCTATAAAGGAACAGCTCTTGCAAAAAGCGCGGCAACATCCGCCATCCTACCGGAACCGAAATCTGGCCTTCTTTCACGACTTGGCACCCTCGACCCTTAAGAAGAGGAGAGACCTCCGGCAACTCACAACCACACTTGCCCATTATGGCATTAAATACATGTGGGGTCATCCGTTCAAGTTGGTGGTCCGTAAAGATGATCAGACCTTCATATTGAGCAGCGCTTCGGAGATGGCCCCCTTCGCGGCTTCCCTGGGTCTAGAGCTTTTACCACCACCCGTGCAGAGGATGGCGGGAATGGGGAGAGGACCGGGATCTGCGGCAGACGGAGCAGACAACGGGCCGCGACGCACACCGAGGAAGAGGATGTCGGAGGTGGAGCGGAGCCCCAGAAGACAACCACGGCAAATGCAGAATTAGAAGGAGGGAGTTTCACCCTGGAGGGTCGCGCAGTCGGCGCGACACGTTGGGACTCTGCTGCTCTTTTGATCAATCTGTACAAACTGTGAGCACCTGGGGAGGGTTGGGGGGGGGATGGGGGGTAGGGTGGGTTATAGGTAACAGGAGCACTAGGTAGACGGCCAGGTGAAGGGCACGGGGGCTGGTAGGGATAGGGGGACTTACCTTGCAGAGGAGTGGAGAGGGGGCCTGTCAGGGGGGCCTCGGGCGGGATAAGAGGGGTACGGCCGGCAGACTGCGGGTGAGAGAAGAAAGCCTAGAAACCATGCTCAGTGGGCGCAATAACGGAAGGAATAGAGAGATAGGCTAGGAGAGGGTTGCAGCGACGGGGGAGTCCTGGAGGGAGGAGAGGTTAGAGTACATTGTTTAGTGTTTGGGGGGGGGTAGGGGGGCAGCTTCAAACTATAACCACATGGGTAGGATATGCGGGGCACTCTTCTCATCCCACCACACACACCATAGGAGTAACGGAATGGGAGGGTACGGGATGGACATCACACAGAGACAGAACCTAGGGGGTTGGGAGCACCATCGGGATTGAGGGGAACCGACCTATGAGACAGGTATGAGCAGATCCCAAGACGGGGACACATAGGGGGACACGGGAGTGCATAGGGGTCTTCACATTCACGAACAGACAGAAGGGGGGAAAACAGATACGGGAAGGAAAGGAACAGAATGTAAGAGGGGGAGGAAGAGGAGGGGGAGGGTGGGAAAAGTGGACTCACGGACTCTTGCAAATGAACTTCTCTGCATGGCAAAAGAAGAGTGAACTCTGGGGGGGGGAGTCAACTACGGGGTTAGCAGGATGTTGGACTACGGGGGGGCTAGAGGGGGGGGAAGGGAGGGATGGACGGGTCATGTAGCCGACTGGCCGGGTACGGTAGAGGTCCCCCACGGGAAGACGGGAACATCCCCCAAGACCCACTGGACTTGGCCCTAGTGCGCACGCAGGGAAAACAGGCCTTTCTGAAAAGATCCTAGAAGAGGCACACAGTTTGAGACTGACGAAGCGCAGCATAGAACTCCTGACAGCTTTAGGGTGACCTTCCTTGGATTACCCGGCACCTAGGGTGCCGGTCTTGGACACGCAGCACTACATACTGCAATAGATAGCGTTACCAAATGTTCTCCATACCATATAAACTCGTGCCAGGCACTTCCAGTAGGCACCTTACAGGGGGGAAGAGGCCGATGGTAGCGGTACATCTTTCCCCCCACACTCACACTCACATTCTTCGAGACCCCAACTCGGGGCAGTTACACACCACATATCCCCACTAGGCCCTTCCGCCTCTGTGGCCTGGCATTCCTCTGTTAAGCCCAGGCCTCTCCTTATTCCCCACCCTTTTTTTTTCTTTCTTTCTCCCTAGCTCGCCTCTCCCTCCTTCTACCGACCCAGGCGGGTGGTATTGGTTCATCCCCCCCTCGCTTGCCGGCTGGTTTGCGTCATGCCCCCGGGGGTCCAGGACAATCCGAACAATCGGGGACCTACTGCAGAGAGGGCCCCGCTTCGACTTAACTGTGTCTCAATAAACTGTAAGGGTTTGAATAACCCAGCTAAGCGGCATCGGGTCCTTCGGTGGGCCAGCAGGACCGGGGCAGATGTCGTCCTCCTCCAGGAGACTCATTTTGAGCAATCCAGGGCGTTCCCCTTACGCAATCGACACTTCACAGAATACCACTTAGCGAACTCGCCTTTGGGCAAGCAAAATGGGGTTGCTGTTCTAATCCGTGGGTCATGCCCCATTCACTTGACGAACACAGTTGCAGACCCCCTTGGGAGATATCTGACAGTAGCGGGTCACCTGGGCTCACATAAATACGCCATCACGTCGGTTTATGCCCCCACGACCCCATCAACTCAGTTCTGGGAAACCCTACAGGCTCACCTGAACCTCTTCCCATCTCACCACATTATCCTGGGTGGGGACTTTAATGCGGTCTCGGCCCCAGATCAAGACAGGAAGAAACAAGCCCAGAGGGACTCTCTCCACCCACCGGTGGCGAAATCAGATAAACTCCTGCAGTCCTTCCTGGCGAGATCGGGGTTGGTAGACGTCTGGCGACTGCAACACCCCCTCACAGTAGATTTCACTTTTTTTTCTCACCCCCACAACTCGTACTCACGAATAGATATGTTCCTGACATCCCCGTCCCTAATCCCGCTGGTACACAAAACCTCCATCGGGCAGATCACATGGTCGGATCATGCAGATATCACCCTTTCGGTCCAACTTCCCCAGGCGAGCAGACAGTGGCACTGGAGGTTAAACCCCACACTCCTCCATGTTCCCCACATACAAGATAGTGTCCGGCAATCCATACAGTCTTTCTTCGCCACCAATAAAGGGTCGGTAGACTCGGATGGCACGTTGTGGGCGGCCCATAAGGCGGTAATCCGAGGCACGCTAATTGCGGAGGGGACAGCACACAAAAAACGGAAGCTGACGCAGTTGTCATTTCACCTTTCCGAGCTTAGACGCTTAGAACACTTACATAAACTTACTCCCACCCCGGACCTCACTACTCAGCTCCAGACCCATAGACAAGCCATACAAGCATTCATGGCCCGGGACTCAAAGAAAGCGCTCCTATGGACCAAACAATTGTTCTATGAGAAATCCAATAAAGCGGATTCTCTGTTGGCGCACTGTCTGCGGCGTAAATCGTTACGCAAACGTATAGCCTCGATTAGGGCCCCGGACGGACACCAACATGACGACCCAACTCAGATAGCGGAGATATTCAATCGGTTTTATGCTCACCTCTATGACCATAGCCCTAGGACTGGACAGGACCCCCATGCCTCTGAACTAACCGCGGCACGCTTTTTGAGTGATATACCCCTCCCACAGCTCACGGCTACTGCCAGAGAGGCGCTTGACGCCCCCGTTTCCATAGAGGAGATAGCAGAGACGCTTAAGTCCCTACGCCCCAATAAATGCCCGGGCCCGGATGGGTTTTCGGGCTTATACTATAAAACGTTCTCGGCAGACCTCCTCCCGCACCTTAAGGATCTGTTCACCTCAATTGGGAGGGGGGAAGCCCTGCCCCCAGACTTGTTGCAGGCAAATATAAGTCTGATACCAAAACCGAATCAGGCCCACCAGAGCCCGGGACATTTTCGGCACATTTCGCTTCTCAATGTGGATATCAAACTATTCACTAAGCTTCTCGCAAATCGGCTACAACCCCACCTTCCGAGGTTGATCCACCCAGACCAGGTGGGTTTCATCCAACATAGACAGGCCAGTGACAATACCAGACGTACATATGACCTGATCTGGGCAGCCACACGTAAAGGGTCCCCCACGTTACTGCTTTCCCTGGACGCCGAAAAGGCGTTTGACCGCATTTTATGGCCCTACCTATTTGCAACGCTAGCAAAATTTGGATTTCCCGACCGGTTCTTGACGACGATTCGTAATTTGTACTCCCACCCGACCGCGCGAGTATTGCTACCGAACACCTCGCCACCCTCCTTTGCCATACACAACGGTACGCGGCAGGGATGCCCTCTGTCCCCTCTACTGTTCGCCCTCTCCCTTGAGCCTCTTCTCCAACAGATTAGGCTTAACCCGGCCATAAAGGGTATTCGGATACGCAAAGAAGAGTACAAGGTCGCGGCTTATGCCGATGATCTGTTATTGACCCTGACGGACCCGGAGGCATCCGTGCCCCCTCTGCTGGACCTCATGGCAGAGTACGCTGAGATTTCGGGATATAAACTGAATCTAGAAAAGACAGAGGCGCTGGGGATCCAGCTCCCGCAAGCTCTGGAGGGAACCTTGCGGGCCCGGTATCCGTTCCACTTCCGGCCGGATTGCATCAAGTATCTGGGGGTGTTTCTTCCTGCGGACCTGAACTTGACTTATCGACTGAATTACCACCCGCTAATAGACCAGACTAAGAAAGACCTGACGGACTGGCAAAAACTGTCCATTTCCTGGCTGGGTAGAATAGCCTCGGTTAAAATGACCCTTCTCCCTCGTTTTCTATATTTGTTCCAAACACTGCCAATTCCGATCTCGAGACCCGATTTTAAAGCTTTGCAAACACAGATAGATAGGTTTATTTGGGGGGGGAAGAGGATCCGGATCAAAAGAACCACTCTTTATATCCCACACAGGAGGGGGGGCCTAGGCTTACCGAATCTGTGGGATTACCACCAGGCTGCCCAGTTAGCGCAAGTCCTGATGCTTCACGCACCGGTGGGGATCAAGATCTGGGTCGATCTGGAACATGACCTCTTTGGGAGAGACCACCCATCGTTATATTTTTGGGTGCCGAAACCTCACCGTCGGAGTTACCCCACACCACGCCGGCCCTGCGGACGTCTTTGCAGGTGTGGGATAGAGTCAACGGTAAAAACCCCCTTATCAATACGCCCTCACCGCTCACCCCAGTTCTGCGGAACCCGCAATTTCCCCCAGGTATGACACCTCAACATTTTGCCCGCTTCGAAGATAATAACCTCATCAGACTTTGCCATTTCTTCCAGGGTGATCGCCTGCTCCTATTTGCAGACCTACCGCAATCTACCCCTCTCAACTCTTTTGATTATTTCCGCTATCTCCAGTTACGGAGCTTTTTGTCCATTCCGGACATCAGAATGGCAGCCACAAAACAGCTTACACCTTTCGAGAAAATGAGTATGCACACACCGGTAAGGAGAGGTCAGATATCCATTCTTTACGATATCTTTGCTAGAAACACCCCTCCGGAGGCCTTTTCTTACGTGAGGGAGTGGGAGAGGGACATGGGCCCACCGGCCGATCCATCAGACTGGGCAGAAATTTGGGAGGCAACGGCATCAGTTACGATCTGTGTGAATCACAAGGAGCAGGCGTATAAGACCCTGCTCAGATGGTATGTTACCCCCCTCAAGCTCAAACAGATGCGACAATCGACCTCCGACCGGTGCTGGAAAGGTTGTGGGGCCCAGGGTACGTACTTCCACATGTGGTGGGAATGCGAGCATATTTCAGCACTGTGGAAGAGGGTAGCTGACGTCGCCTCCAGAGCCTTACAAACGGCTCTCCCACTGGATCCGTGGATATGGTTGCTGTCCAAACCCCTAGATGCACTACATAGGGCACAGAATAAACTAGTGGCAAAAATAGCCCTCGCTACACGACGGGCCATTGCAGCACACTGGGGGAGGATGGAAATCCCAACTCTATCAGAGGTACGACGGAAAATAGAGGAGTCCAAGGAGATGGATGAGCTATCTGCCCTGGTCCATGAGACGACAGCATCGGTAGGGAAGGTCTGGAGCCCCTGGGGCAATGTGTAGAGCAGGCGAGGGAGGGGAGAGAGGACGGAGGAGGGTTCCTTCTCGACGCAAGAATTTTTGAGCACGGCCCCACATAATAGACACGCCTCCTACACACACGCTGATAGATTACATGCACCTAGTACAGGGGAGATGTTACACTGATATGTAGAATCCCACGTACCCCCCGTGTTTTTTTTATTTTATTTTTTTTTTGTGTTTTGGCTATGTCTAGGCGAGGATAGGCCTTATATCCCATGTTAGCTCCAGTTGAGCTTTACCCTTAATGTTCAGACACGATAAGTCTCCGATGACCTCAATTTCCAGTAACGACACTGACTTAGGCCATAGGCCGTACAAGCCCAGAGACGCAGCTCAAAACTTTTACCGCACCTACTCCCTCTAGAGGTGACGAGACAGTCGCCTCCCTCGACGGTCCAATCAAGAGCAGAGAGACTACAGCTTAGGGGGATAAAGATTGCCTGGGAAAGAGGTCCACGGGACGATGCTATTCTTTTCATAATGTTGTACCCCCTTCCCATATTTTCTTCTTTCTGTACCCCATATACAAAGCTAAAATTCTCAAAATAAAGAATTTATAAAAAAAAAAAAGTAATAAAATATATACTCACAATTGAAGTGGTTACATTCTCAGTTGTATTGTTAGCGTATATGTTTTCACTTTACATTTGCAATTCTCTGGTGAATTCCTGTCAGAGATTGAGTGAGGTAGACCATTGCATAGGGTAATCTGTCAAAGGCGAAGTTGCTCAAATAGAGGGGAACTTCGACAGTGGGAAAGAGTTGACTAACAAAATAAAAACCTTAGATGTAAGGTGGAGATGTTTGGTGCTAAAGGCCAAGACAGGAACCCACATTGTCCTCTAGCATACACTAACACAAGCAGGGATATTTTTCTTTTTTTTATATATATATAGTAACACATATCCCTAATAATGATTGATACAGGGCTGCCTTTATCAAAATAATCACATTATCTTAAAATATTATGTGGTCAAAAATATTTCTGTTTACAACTAAAATGTGCCTGATAGAAGTGGAAAAGATTTATTTAGTTTTTCTGTTGAGGTGCATTTTTTTATTATGCAATTTCATTCGTTTGCTTCTCCACAAATATATTTTGAAAACATAAATGTGGTCTGCAATGTCCCATCAGGCAGCAAAGCAAAGCTATACCACTGTTAATGGAATGGGGAAACATGGGAGCATTTAAAGTTAATTGAATTTTGTTTAGGTTTCATTTACCCAACACTCCCCACTTAATTCTGCATCATTGTGACCCACTATTCTGCACTCATTCCCCTCTCTGTTATTGTCCTGCTTTCTTACTAAACATACCATCAAGTCATTATTTTATAAATAAGATTCTTCTGCTGACTTTTCATACTCAGCAAGCAAGCCTCTGTGGAACACTACAATCACTATAACCACTGCAGCCTACTGTAGTGGGTGTGGTGCAAGGAGTGCCCATGCACCCACCCACTGCATACAGAAGGGCATTTAAAGCTAAAACTGACCCTTTTTAATGTAATTCCACCTTTGGCAGCATCATTAGCCAGTCCAGATCAAAGTTCTGGGCTGACTAATGTCAATCGTGTATAACGTTGGCATCTGATGTAAGCACACCGAGACTTCCCTGTCATTCCCTCAGTCTGTTCTCCATGCCCTTCCTCACCCCCATGGAGGGGGAGTGACATCACGCAAAGAGAATCAGGCTGCAGCTAGAAATTTGAGCACTTTGTGATGGAATAAAAGTGACTTTTAGTGTTACCTTTTTTTACTATTTTGGTGTGGAGGACCATGTCAGAATAGGTTACGCTAGCCAATACCAGTGTTTTATGAATACACTGTTTTTTAGTTGGAGTAAGCGTTTAAGAAAAGCTGTCCATTGCTAGTAGAAACTAAAGAAATGCAGGATAAGGTCCAAAAAAGAATGTCTGTATCTGATTATTTGCATGCTAAACTGGGATTACTGGGATAGTTGTGGAAACCTGATTCCTCAGAGTTTCTATGACCAATTCAGACTTTTCCAACTTGAGACATGCAGGTGACACACAACAGTCATTTTTCTCTTTTCCTACAATAACATTTTTATTTTCTCCCTAATCCTCCAGTCATTTGCACCTTTCTTTTATTCAAATTGTTTCTCTTTAATAACACACACAAGTACTTTTCATGATTCTTTTCTTTCAGGAATTGTACCGGAGGATTGGAAAAAGGCAGATACGGTTCTTATATTCAAAAATGGTTCAAAATCTGCATCAAATCTTTGTGGCAACAGGCTCTGAGGTTTCAGTGAGCAAAGTAAGCGGCTTACTAAATGCAGAAGGTTTCCATGCCAGGGCTCCAAGATGTACAGTACTAGTGGCCCAAAAGCACAAGAATGTACAGTACTACTGGCCCAAAAGCACAAGAATAGTCAGTACCAATATTCTCAGAATCATATAAATACGCCACAGAAGTTTTAGGGTTCTGTTCTGTGAAATAGGTAAGCAAAACTGGAACTTTTTAGCCCAGTGGATCACAGGTATGTCTGGCAAAAGAAGAATGAAGCATACACTGAAAGGAACACTCTACCTACAGTTAAGCATGGTGGTGGCTCAGTGATGCTCTGAGGCTGCTTTGCATCCTCTGGCACTGGAAACTTGCAGCATGTGGAGGGCAAGATGGGTTATTAAAGTATCAGGAAATCCTATAGGAGAAAACATCATGCTGTCTGTGAGTAAGCTGAAGCTTGGGCGTCATTGGAACTTCCAACAAGACATGAATCCCAAGCATACCTCAAATTCCACCTAGGCTTCGTTGCAGAAGAAGTCCTGAAAAATTCTACAGTGGCAATCACACGCAGCTGACTTTAACCCCACATAAAATCTCTGGTGGGATTTAAAGAAGGCAGTTGCAGCAAACCCAAGAATATTACTGAACTGGAGGCCATTGTTCATGAACAAAGATTACTCAGGAACACTGCCAGAAGCTGGTGTCTTGCTAGCCATCTCTTTTGCAGCAGAAGGGTGCTCTACTAAGTACTAAAGAGGCTTGCCATGAAAAGGTTAAATTATTTTGTAACTTTAGAAGTCATTATAAGTAAAGAATTTCTGTTGAATTTAGGGGAAACCACTTGAAGCATTCTTGTTTGAGCTATTTCAATTGCTTTTGTTTGATTTATTCGTTGCAAACAGCTAAAAGTCTTGAATAATTTTGATTACAACTGTAAATGAGATACATTTTTCTTTTTAAAATTAAATTTTATGTGCAAAAGTTGCTATTAGTAAGTCATCAAAAATGTCTCATAACAGTCCCCAGCCACACCCCAGCCACACCCCAGCCACAACCCTAAATTTAACCCTTCAAGAACAGAGGCAAATGTACAAGTTCTGAACCAAAACAAAACCTGGAATTTGAGCTATATTTCTGTTCTATAATAATTTACCTCTTTCATATTAATTTCACTAGTGGTGTATTTATCCAAAGGCAAACTAGGCAATTGCCTTGGGCGGCACTAGCCAGGGGGCAGCAAAAATTGCTGCACCCAAACGCCCACTCGGGCATCCCCGTTGTTCCCCCGTCATGGGGAAGTCCAAGACCTGGCCTGCTGGCCACCATATGGAACCCCCTACCCTCCCCCCGGCGTGTGGCTTTATTGGAATCAGAGGCGGTGAGGCAGCTGTGATCTCCCTGCTCTGCTTCCTCGCACACCATTTACTGATGCTGTGGGAGCCAAAATATATAATTCCAGCTCCCGGCATCAGTAGACAGCCTGCAAGACGAGAGGGGGCAGAACAGGAAGATCACAGCTCCCTCTACACCTTTGATTCCAATACAGCCGCACACCTTACAGCAGTCTTACTGTACCTCCAATGACAGACCCACACCAGCTCTCCAGGTAGGGAGGCTGGGTGGAAATTTTAAAAGTATTATAGTATTAATAATTAGTGAGTGTATGTGTGTGTGTCTGTGAGTGTATGTGTGTGTGTCTGTGAATGTGTGTTTGTGTGTGTGTGTGTGTGTGTGTGTGTGTGACTGTAAGTGTGTGTGTGTTTGCGAGTGTCTGTCAAATCAGTGATAGCCTGTGTGTGACTATCAGTGTGTGTCTGTCAATGAGTGTCTGTCAGTGTGTGTGTCTGTCAGTGTGCGTGTGTGTGACCTATGGATGAGTGTGTGTCAGATCTGTGAGTCTGTGTCTGTCAGTGACGTCTGTGTGTTTGTTTTTGAGTGTGTCTGTGACTGTCAGTGCGTATCTGCCAGTGTGTGTCTGTTGGGGAATGTGTGTGTGTCAAATCAGTGAGTCTGTCTGTCAGTGACGTCTGTGTGTTTGTCATTGAGTGTGTGTGTGTGTGTGTGACTGTCAGAGTGTGTGCTTAAAGGGATACTATAGGCACCCAGACCACTTCAGCTCACTGGAGTGGTCTGAGTGCAGTGTCCCACTCACCTTAACCCTGCAAGTTTAATTATTGCAGGCAACCAAAAGTCGCTTAACTGATGCTGGACATCCAGCACCTGCTTAATCCTCATAGGAAAGAATTGATACAATGCTTTACTATGGGAAAGCCTAATGCAAGCGTGGAGGAGGAGCCTGACCCATCGCTGAGGGACATCAGCGCTTGATTAAGGTAAGTGACTAAAGGTGTTATAATCCCTTCAGTGCCGAGTGGGTGGGGGAGCACGAGGGAGGGGGCCAATATAGGGAACTATGGAATCCCTATAGTATCCCTTTTAAAGGAGTAGGAAACGCTGAAGTCTAAAGCAGAAGGGGTGGGTTCTTAATCAGGAAAAGATGTGGCCTTGACCGCTAGGTGTGGGGCAAATTTATATTAGGGTGTGCCTAGGTTTAGTCATGCCTAAGGCAGCACAAAACCAAAATACACCACTGATTGCACCCATATTTATTATATATATCATTTTGTTCAGGAGAAATAGGGTTTCACATCAAATATTTATATATGAAACATAATTTAAAATGATTAACATCTAAAACAAAGTGTGAGAAAAAGTGTGAGGACATTTTATTTTCCAAATGCTGCATGTCATTTTAAATGAGAATATTATAATACTGTTAGCTTTTACTGCAATAAAATACACATATTTGTATTCAGCAATACCTCACAAGTTCAACAGTACCCCCTATGTACAGGTTTTATGGGGTTTTGGAAAGTTACAGGGTCATTCATAGGACTTGCCATTACTGTCTTTACACATTGAAATTTACCAGATTGGTTTGCTGGGCCTTTGTCACATTTGAGACCATATGGCAACCCAGGAAAGATAATTACCCCATCGTAACATGCCATTTACAGGTGTAGATAGCTAAGGGTATTCAAAATTGGGTATAGGCAGACTTTTTTTAGTAGCCAGTTAGTTACAAACCCTTTACAAAGTTAATGCTCATATTCGTTTTTTTCATTTTTCACACAAAAACTGCACTTTCACCAATATACATTTTACTGCTATAAAAAACATACATATGTGTTCAGCAATGTCTCATGAGTACAACATTACCCCCCATGTCCAGGTTTTATGGTGTTTTAGAAAGTTACAGTGTCAAATATAGAGCTTGCAAGTTAAATTCTCTGGAGTTTCTGCCTGGGTTTGTCAGACAGGTCCCCCAATATATACATATATACATATATATATATATATATATATATATATATATATATATGACAAATCACATACTTATGTAAGCACATATATATAAGACATGGTCTTGATAAAGGACCACAAGTGGGTCCAAAACACAATTAAAATCTTTTTTACTTTTTTCTAACAAAGTCCTACGAGTGCCCACTCCTACCTAACAGTTAATCTATATCTAAGTTCAATTGTGGAGCACCAGGGCATTTAAACCAAAAGATTTATCTCATTTACAGAACAAGATAAAAGTTAGTGTCTTCATATCTACATTTTTACATATATGTATATATATATATATATAATTTTTTTTTATTATTCTAAGAAGTCTGTGTAAGGCTTTTTTTTTTTTACGCTCTCCTTTGTAAGTTAGATCTTTAGCGCAGAGTCTATGCTGTAGATTTGACTGAATGGTGGGGGAAAGACCTATTTTTTTTTTTTTATTCTCTTTTTTATTGAGGCACGAGATAATGACAGTACAGAAATTAAGGAGTTTAAACATACATGTGTATATTGAACATAATATACATAAAAAGAAACAAACAAACAAAAAAGCATAGTGGTTTCAGCGCCATGTGGTCGACCGCCTAGGGGATCTCTCTGTTGTGGATTGATGAACTTCCCCATCGGGGACCGGGATAGCCCCCTCCGGTGCAGAGGGTGGAGTTGCAGGGCTGCAAGGTGCAAGGTGGTGTTATGAGCTGGTCCCACGCCAGGTGAGCAACTGACTCGACCGGGTGCCAGGCACCGAGAGATGCTAGGTCTCTCTGTCATCCTCGTGTTATCTTCTGTTATCCTCGCGTTCCCACTCGGCGCTATTCGGCGCCCAGATTGTGTGAAGCTGCTTGTGAAGTAGTTTCAGGCTGAAAAAACTTATTTAACCCCTTAAGGACCAAACTTCTGCAATAAAAGGGAATCATTCATGACATGTCACACATGTCATGTGTCCTTAAGGGGTTAAAGTCTGACTGTGCCAAAGCTAGCAATAGAACCCATCCAGCCATCTTGGCTGTCAGCCCCCGCCCCCATGGAAAGATAACTAGATATTTCTCCCAATCAATACATTTGCCAGCAAATTTGTGAGCACAATGTGTAGATGAAATGTGATGCTCTTTCAAAAGAGCATAAGCAGTTTGGGGCATGGCAAGTATCCTTTAATTATTATTATTATTTATGAAGCTCCATTAAATTCTGCAGCGATGTACAATGGGATGACTATAAGCAATCACTTGCTGCTCGCTATTTAGCAGACATGCCCCTACTTGCAGCATGTCTCATATTGTCCCCCATAGGCTTTTATTTGTCTCTTAGTTCAGGAGATATCTTTCCTGAACTAAGCGTGCAGAATTAATTGAACCCCTCGGGCAATTGAGTTATGGAAGTGCTTCCATTTTTAACCTGATACTTGCTGACATTAAGTGAGAGGTTAAAAATGAAATCAGTTTGCCCAAATTTTGTTTTCAACGAAAATACGCAAACGCAATTCGAACGAAATCTGGTTCTTCCAAAGGGGTTTTTATTTACGCCGTAATTGTAGGACAAACTAGAATTTCCATCCGTGCGCAAGTCTACAAACAAGCAAACTGAAGTGGTGTGCCTATGGAGTTCAAATGTGATATATGGTCAATATGGCCCTGCTAAAAAAAAAAAAAAAGGTTAAAAATGAGGGAAAATAATAGAGCAGCACAAGACTGGGAGAAGAAATGAGGAACACGGGTAATTTGAAAAATTTTGCAAAAATACACTCAGCAGCTGAAGGCTACAAAACAGACCTAATAATCCTCTCTGTCCTGTTAAACCAGCATAAATTAGTCAAATGAAACCATAATTGTTTTTCTTTTATTATGTAGCACATAGCCAGGTCCTGGTTGAATCTAGTTCTCCTCCAATGTGCAGGTAAAGGGTTACCTGGTGAGTCTAGGAAGTTGGAAATAAAAAACTTTGAAAGACTTTATTTTCATGTGTCGTCACGTGATCACCTAATTCCTAGTTACACCACCTACAGTGCCTCATTAAGAGGTCATGCAAACTGCAGGCTGCTTCAGCCACTGTTACTCATTTCACATTCAAATCCAGGGAACTGGCTAAACTATGGGATTTTCCAAGAAAAGAGCTTCACATGCGGAAGAACAAGGAGAAAGCAAGTAGGAAATGTGTCTGACCCTTCAGCATGTTCTGTGTACAGAGGGGTTAAGCAGGGGAGCTGTGATCAGCAGGTGAGGGTGCACGTACAGTAGTTCCAGATACTTTTTTTCAGTTGCTGTGAGTCAGGGTGTTTATGAAGTTACAACCCCCTACAACTCCTATGATGCTTTTCGGTGGTGTTTGGTAGTTCTCTAAAAAGCTGGGGGTCTGTTTTTTGGCCACCCCTTCGTGGAATTGCTACATAGTTCCCTGAGACACTTGTTACAGGTGATACATACAGTAAACATGCATAAGAGCTAATGTATCCTTTGTTTTAGAATCTATCACTGTGTGTTTACATTACCTTACCTGGAGTTTGTTTTTTTGTGGGTTTTTTGGGATCCTTTTTTATGCTGTGCTTTTTTCTGTAATTGTTAATGTAGACACGTGTTATCAGCTTAAACTGGTAACTAATTTGCTAATAATTTGTTATGTTTTTTAACGTCCAGGAACATATGTGATGAGGAATTAGAAGCTAAAGTTTAATTCTATGAATATTCATTTTCTGTATCTCTATTTATTACAGCACTTATTGCAATGTTACTAATCATCACGCATACTGCAATTAAAAGGTGTACATTGCATAATACTTGATCAGATAACTTATATCATGTGTAGCCAACTTGGGAAAAACTGGCTCATTCTGATATGTGGAGTGACACTGGGTGTTAATGCATTTCAAGGGCGCTGTCCTATCGGGCTCTGTTGGGTTAACTTGTTTGTTTTTCTGTGTGTGTATTTCCTGGAGTTATTCAGTAAAATGTAAAGCATGTTTTGTAACCTGTCCTATTTAGTAAGACATGTATTAATCTATCAAAGAAATGTTTTTAAAGTTAATAATAGATCCCTGATAATCCCGATTTGTAAATGCCAGTGTTCCATTCACTTACCCTTTACTGTAGTAGGTACACTACATACCTGCTGTTGTCCCCATTGAATTCGAAGTAAAATAACCTACATTTCAGGTTCCAATGCTGTTCTTCCACATTTATTTCAATGGTTTAACCAGCCTCACAACTGTCACTTAACTACTTGAAGTGTTAGTAGAATTAATTCCTTGAATTTGTAGGGATGTATTGAATGTAGTGGGAGATCCCTTGTATGGTAATGCTAACTTGTAATACTCTAGATACCAGACAGGCTGTTTTGGTTCTTGTCATTAAAAAGGCTTTCTGTAGTGGATTGGAGGCAATTAGGTAAATGTGCTTTGTTTTTATAATGCTTTCTGTGAACTGTTGTATTCACCCAGTTTGGAGTAAAGAACAGATTACTGTTGATTCTCATTGTCTCTCTCTGAATAGTTCTCAGAAGCTGTGTGTGACTGATTGTAGGGCCAGCTGGATATTGTACAGTTTCAAACTAAATATGATTGTAACTCTTGTTTCAAGGAGAAAATGTTTGGAATTACAGCATGGTTGGAGATATGTAATGTTTGATTGGTTCATGCCTGAGATGTATTTCTAATTTAGGAAACCTGTCTGATACTGACATGATATAGTCTGTAGATATCCCTTTCATATTGTAGCATGGTCCTTCAGAGTAAACTGGGATATCCCCTGCCATCACCTTGAGTGAACACTGTCCACTAACTGAGTTATTTATTTTATTTATAAAATATTTTACCAGGAAAGATACATTTAGATTTCTCTCATTTTCAAGTATGTCCTGGGTCCACAAAACATGGTCATGTAACGACTGCTAGTGTGGTCCAACACGTAGAAACTATGTAAACCTGTACATAGAAATAAGAAAGGAAATAAAAGGACCAATAATGGCCGGACTAATACGTTAGAGACAGAGAATGGTCAAAACGAAAGCCGAGGTCAAGGAAGCCAGAAATACACAATACCATTTAAACAAACCAAGTCAGGGGAACCAGAAATCAGAATAACCAGGAAAAGCCAAGATCAGAATACCAGAATATCAATATCACAAGAAAACGCACTCTCAGGAACCAGGAACAGGAAACCACGACAGGGCAAGGTACTAGGGTGAATTAGGGATTTAAATATCCCTCTCTAGGCTCTGATTGGTTAGAGGGTGACCTCTGACCCCAGAACGTGCGCGTGCATTGACGTTGTGACGTCACGCGCATGTTCGTATAACTTTGGGGGTCGGAGCCATTGATGGACGCGACCGCATGTTCGGCGCCATCTTGGATTTTTCGGAGCGGCGTGGAGGAGCGGTTCTGGGCTTGCCGCTGAGCAGGTAAGCTCAGCAAGTTGGTGCGGTCATGCCGGTCGTGCACGGACGCCGTGACAGGTCAGTGAGTGTGTGTGCGTCTGTCAGTGAGTGTGTATGTCTGTCAGTGAGTGCGTGCGTCTGTCAGTGTGTGTCCAAGTAATTATTTATTTATTTATGAAATATTTTACCAGGAAGGATACATGTATGCAAACTGGGGAAGGAACCAGGTAAAAATTTAATTTTGATGAACACAGTTTTCAACATTTTGAAAATCTTGTTAACATTTAAATTCACTTGTAAAAACTAGGAATAAGAACAGAGACAGGTAGACAAAGATAGATCAATAGATAGACAGTCAGACAGGCTTTAAGATTTGCAGCTTCTGCAGTGAGCTCTGCTCAGCAAGTTTTGTAGAACAGCAATAGCAACAGTTTCAGTAATGGAAAGACATAAAACTGTTACTGGAGTTAGTACAACAGACATCTATCTGTGTACTAGTAGCCCCATGCATTATTCTTCATTAATGTAGCTACTGGTGCATCTTGAGGACCAAATCCTTATATACATGAAGGAGTGTGCACATGCATGCAAGTACTTGTACAGAAGGAAGACTAGCTCCTGTCTGGGACAGATTTGAGAAGGAAGGTGTTTTATTGCAGCAGGGGTTTTTGCAAGGCACTGCAGTTACACAAAAATGAGATATTCTGCTTTAAGGGAGCCCCAGTACATCTGTCACTAATACAATTTGGAGAAATTAGCATATTTCTCCATTAATAATTAAAGTAGAATGGAAACTTTAAAGAAGAAAGAATGGCTATTAAAAAGTTGCATGGAGATGATCCAGAGAAAACAGCTGCCTATTTATATTTAATATTTCTAAACGTTAGGGCTACCTCTATACCTCCATATTCGACAAGTGGAAAGAACTACGAGGCCCAGTGTATTTATGTGTGTTTATTTATTATTTAGATCATTACAAATATTTTTATCAGAAAAAGTAAAAAAAATTTCTGCAAGGATTTATGCAAGGTGAAAAGTATAATTTCGTGACTGTTAAAAAGACCTTTAACATTTCTTGACTGTTTGCAATCGATCGCCTTGCAGTTCCAGGAATAAGACTAAATTTTTATCGCAACTGATCATATTTGAATTTCTAGGAATCTATTATTAATGGTTAATAAAAAAAGTCAGTAATTCAGTATAGAAATCAATCTGATAATTAAATCTACAGGTGTACATTTGGACATCAATAACAAAGTACCAGGAGATGGAGATGGTCATGACAGTTTTTACTGAGTCCTGATCTGAAGTACCACTCAAATCTGTAGATTTTTCATTTAAAGCTAGTACTATCTGTTTGAAAATAAAAAATAAATAAAAATTCCATGCAGGCTGTGGACAGAAGCAAAAGTGATTTAACTCCTAAATGGTTTTGAATTGAGCAGTGAGACTTCAGAGACACAATCTATATACTAGAACTGCTTCATTAAGCTAACGTTGTTTTGGTGACTATAATGCCCCTTTAGAAAAAAATTTTTTTCCAGTTTCAATTTCTTAGACAAAAATTAGAAATGTACTTTACAGTCTTTTTTTTTTTTTTTAATGCCTGATAATACACATTAGTAAAATAAAGAAATAACCTGAAAAATATATACTTACCCAAAGTGGATTTCATCATTTACATGATTTGTATGTAACATTGTCCCTAAGTTATCTATTTTTTTTTGTCTTAATAAATCATGTGTTTCACTTGATATTTTGCTCAGTGCCAATATTTTTTTTTCAATGTGACAATTTTTATTTTCTCTTTCAATGCAAACTTGGGATACAGAAGAAAGAAAGGAGGGGGCGAGAGAACATCACATAATCACAACCTACATGTCATCCATTTTTACATGGTCTGCTTTTTGTCTCGCTCTTTTTGCCCAGGTTCTGGGACCTGCTTAGATGCCTCCCTGCTAAGCACCTCTGCCTTTGGTCCCTATCTAGTGTCTTCTTTTCTCCCTGTAGCAATTGAGTGCTTGCTCTCGTTCCTTGCTTAATGTTCTAACGTTCTGATTCCTCCCCGTCTCCCGGGTAGGGTCTTGAAGAGGGGGGGCGGGGTAAAGGGGGTTACAAAAGCTGGAGGGTGGGGGAGGAGGGGGGAGGTTGGCATACCCGCTCTCCTTACCGGTTTTGTGCTATTCTACTTTGTCTTTGTGCTTCCTTCTCTCAGTTCTCTTGTTTGTCTGACGATTTCTGTCTAGTCTCTTTCTCCCCCTAGGGACCCATTTCCATGGACTCCCCATTTTCTCAGTGCCGATATTTTAAGAAACATGCATACATATCTTAAATATGTAGGTATATTACAAGCAAATACATGTAGTTGTGCTTGTTTGTATGTTACATTTTATATGTGTTTTCGAAGAACATTTTTTACTAAGTAAGTCATTACTTCCAAGCCCATTCACCTGCTTTGCAAAAGGTGGAAAAACTTGATTGCATACTTAGTGATGTGTCAGATGTGAACTGACAGAGAGACAGCATACCTGCAAGTTTTGTTCTTCCATGATGTCATGTAAACTGCCTATAGCATTAATTCTTTAAGTACTGGTTTAAAGGATATGTGAATGAGTTTGAGTCAGATGCATTATGTTACAATACTTGTATTTCATTTATCGTTAGCTTTAGGTCAATTTGCAACGTTCTTAGGGTCTGAGGATGAATGGTACTTTTATGTTTAATGTTGTATCCTCTGTGGGGTCTTGGTTGATGATGATGTATCATGTACGCTGGAGCAAATGAGGAATTCACAGAATACCTTGTATTGGAGCAAGGGTGCATTTATTTAAGAATACATCAAAGCTGATATTTTAAACAACATACCCAGTACTGCCCATTGTAGTAGTAATGTTACTAGTTGTCAGCTATGTCAGTATGTCGGTTTTCATCAGTCAGTCATCCTCAACCAATTAATGTCATCCAGATATGAAAGAAACTGATTTTACCAATGTAACTTTTGTATTAGAAATGTGGTAAGCGTGAGTGCCACAGCGACCTTTGGTTTATAATAAACTGCTTAAAAATTAATTGATACAGAACCAAGGGATTGGGCCGTTAGCCTGCTAGCTCCACAACCACGCCAATTGATTATAGTGGTTATGGTGTCTTTAATTCCCCTTTAACTGCTTGAAGTTATTTTTATTAAAACACTTAATTTATATCTTGAAGAATAATCAAAAACAAACAGTAATTTATAGTAAAATCTCCATCCAAGGATAGCTAAAAAATTATTATTTTTCAGAATATTGGCATAGAAATAGAAATCTAATTTTTGTTACACACAAATAAGTAACCGACTTATTTGTATTTGCAAGGAATCTAATGGTATTTGTTGTAATGCAGCTTTCCAAAAAAAAAAGTTTCACAATGAAATTTCTTTGTATTTATTTATGTTGGTATGATGCCTGTACATAGTAAGGACAGTCACACCAAACATATGTAATTAACAGGGCACAGCAAGCTGTTAACATACCTCCCAACATTTCAAATGGACAGAGAGGGACACTTTAATTTTAGCGATATGACCAGTAATGTGTCTTTTCTGAGAAATTTTAGGTGACTTGCTAATAATAATGTATAGACAAAAGGATAAAAAAGGATCAGCGCTAATATACCTAACTAAAAGATATATATATATATATATATATATATATAAAAATACAAAAATGAAAGTTGGCGACACGCCTTAAAACATAAGGTTCCTCTAAATAACAGAGATGAGTCAAACAAGGGCAATAAAGGTTGCGCCAGAAATTATAAAAACAGACATGTGTTATAACATATATATATATATGTATGTATATATATATATATAAGAAATATATATATAAGAAATATATATATAAGAAATAAATAAATATATATATATATATAAAAACATATATAAAAGTAGATAAAAATGGTCCTACTTACAATTGATAGAGCTTAACCTAGCTTAACCTAGTCTGAATGTCGTACAGTGGTACAATCTCCACTTATAGGATACGTGAGGCGGTGTAGGTAGGCAGATGTGTCATCAGTATGAAGATCATAAAAAATATAAAAGAAACAGCAATAGTGCTCACAGTATAAAAGGTACCAGGAGTATAGAAAAATGAATAGGTATTCACATCTAATTGGGCAGACTAACTGCTCAATGTGTAGGCGTAAGTGGTATAATCCCCACCGTGGATTATTTTGAAGTAGTCCTCACTGGAACTTAGAATCGGATGCCAGGTAGAAAATAATAAAAAAGTAAAATGGCACACTCACAGTTGAAAGAGGCCAAAACACCTTTATTAAAATACAATGTAAAACAAGCAGTTAAAATATTCATTACGCGTTTCACCAAAGTGTCTTTCTCAAGTGGAGGTAGAAAAATCATAACTGGCAGGCATAGGTTTATATAGGGAGTGTGGGTGTGGTTTCTTTAAATTTGGTGCCTAAATGATATCATAATTGATTTTATGAAAAAAAATGTAAAAGATGAAAAAAGCTCTAGAGTGATAGTAGACCATTGTAGGGACTAGTGTATAAAATTCGGAAGCAAAACTAAGCGCGGTCACGTGACAGGCCCAAAATTATCCAAAATGGCCACGGTCACACGACCCGCTATTTTTTTACTTTTCTCCCCTTTAGAAGCTTCGTTTTGCTTCCAACATTTCTACACTAGTCAGTACAATGGTCTGCTATCATTATATACCTTTTTTTCATCTTTTAAAAAAAATAAAATCATAAAATCATAGAAACATAGAATGTGACGGCAGATAAGAACCATTTGGCCCATCTAGTCTGCCCAATTTTCTAAATACTTTCATTAGTCCCTGGCCTTATCTTATAGTTAGGATAGCCTTATGCCTATCCCACGCATGCTTAAAGGACCACTCTAGGCACCCAGACCACTTCAGCTTAATGAAGTGGTCTGGGTGCCAGTTCCAGCTAGGGTTAACCCATTTTTTAATAAACATAGCAGTTTCAAAGAAACTGCTATGTTTATTATTGGGTTAAGCCTTCCCCCTAATCCTCTAGTGGCTGTCTCATTGACAGCCACTAGAGGCGCTTGCGTGCTTCTCACTGTGATTTTCACAGTGAGAGCACGCCAGCGTCCATAGGAAAGCATTATGAATGCTTTCCTATGTGACCGGCTGAATGCGCGCACAGCTCTTGCCGCGTGTGCGCATTCAGCCGACGGGGAGGAGAAGAGGAGGATCGGAGGAGGAGAGCTCTCCGCCCAGCGCTGGAAAAAGGTAAGACTTAACCCCTTTTCCCTTTCCAGAGCCGGGCGGGAGGGGGTCCCTGAGGGTGGGGGCACCCTCAGGGCACTATAGTGCCAGGAAAACGAGTATGTTTTCCTGGCACTATAGTGGTCCTTTAAACTCCTTTACTGTGTTAACCTCTACCACTTCAGCTGGAAGGCTATTCCATGCATCCGCTACCCTCCCAGTAAAGTATCAATTATGATGTCATTTAGGCGTCAAATCTAAAGAAATCACACCCACACTCCCTATATAAACCTATGCCTGCCAGGTATGATTTTTCTACCTCCACTTGAGAAAGCGTTGTGGATATTTTACCTTTTTTGTATTTTGGCCTCTTTTTATATAAAATAAATATATATGTATTAAGGCAGTTTTGCCTGTATTTGTGGGAGGGGCTTAAATTAATTCACTCCCCTATATAAGGGACACCCCTTACCTGACTCATATCGCTTGAGGTCAGCATCAGAATGATTTCCACTTCCGGGTCATCCAGACGCCATTTTACCTGATTACTCCATGAGGTTTTCTAAGCTGAGCTGTGTCAGGAATCCAGCCACAGGCTTTTCCGGCCTACCACCTTCTTTCTTCAATCTATTGCTGTGGATGGTGTCCAAGTGACTCACAAACCGTAAGTTGACCTACCCATTACGCCAGGCATCAGTCCCACGGCACCATGCAAGGGTCAGGTCCTCACTTTACTGCTGCATTTTGTCTAAGTCTGTTCTAAAACCATTGCATGTTCATGCATATCATTCGTTTAAACCCCCTACTGGTCTTTGGGTGTACTACAGACTTCTTAGACATTATCGCATTTCATGTACAAACCAACGAACCACTGCATCTTTGCCTACACACTGACCCCTACCGGTCATTCGGTGTACTACAGGCTTCTCAGACATTATTGCATTTCATGTACAAACCAACGAACCACCGCATTTTTCACCTACACACTGACCCCTATTGGTCATTCGGTGTACTACAGGCTTCTTAGGCGTTGTTTGCATTTTCATGTACAAACCAATAAACCACTGCATTTACACCTACACACTGACCCCTACTGGTCTTTCGGTGGACTACAGGCTTCTTAGACATTATCGCATTTCATGTACAAATCAACGAACCACTGCATTTGCGCCTACACACTGACCCCTACCAGTCATTCTGTGTACTACAGGCTTCTCAGACATTATTGCATTTTATGTACAAACCAACAAACCACTGCATTTTTCACCTACATACTGACCCCTATCAGTCATTCGGTGTACTACAGGCTTCTTAGACATTATTGCTTTTCGTGTACAAAACAATAAACCACTGCATTTTTACCTACACACTTACACCTACCGGTCATTCAGTGTACTACAGGCTTCTCAGACATTATTGCATTTCATGTACAAACCAACGAACCACGGCATTTTCGCCTACATGCTGACCCCTACCGGTCAATCGGTATACTACAGTCTTCTCAGACTTTATTTCACTTCATAAGCAAACAAACTAACTACAGCATTTTCGCTTTTATACTGACTCCTATCTGTCATACGGTAGGATTAACCCCTTAGGGACACATGACATGTGTGACATGTCATGATTCCCTTTTATTCCAGAAGTTTGGTCCTTAAGGGGTTAAAGGGTATTTTTACCATACAATCAGCATTTATGACCCCTACTGGTCAACAGAAAAACTGTCTTCACATGTCATATACAATTTACCAGCCAATATAAATTACACATAAGATTGTTTTAACCCCTTAAGGACACAAGACATGTGTGACGTGTCATGATTCCCTTTTATTCCAGAAGTTTGGTCCTTACGGGGTTAAACATAACCATAAACCATAAATGAAACTCCAGCACGGGCTCAAATTCAGGTTTAATTCACAATAATTTACATTTCACATCAAGACCAACAGTGGTTCTATCAACACTGCCACCTACAGGTCTGTCAAGTACATTGACAATTTTCATGGGGTTTTACAAACACCAAAACACTTACACCTATAGGTCAACAGACAAACAACATTTCACATACCAATCAGTATCCAACTACACTGCCACCTATAGGGCACTCGGCAGATCTCCAGTGCACTTGCATTTTGCAACACCATGTTCACTGACCCCTACCATTCAATAAGACATACAACAATTCACATAGCAAGCACTATATCAACATCAGGTATAAATACATATATTATTACACAGTAGCAGACGCGTCTGTATATACGTAACTGGTAATATAGTTCACATACATTTTTCACAGCACGCTGCTCACGCAACAGACTTTCCCCTAGCAAGGGGACATAAAACATACAAGGTGGGGACAGACCACATTTTCACTTGTACATACGGCACTTAATGGGTTAAGATTGATACATATTTAACCAGTATGGCTACGATGTTTAATATTTACACATCATGGCACTTTACTTTTCACATATACTGTACGTATTAAGATAAGCTTGGTCTATGCCATATTTCCTTATGCCATACGGTTTTATCCATTCAGGTTACAGTTACTACTAAAAAACCTATACGGATTGTCAGGTTCAATACCATACTACCAGGTACATACACCTGCTCACGTAGTTATCCATCTCTTACCTTCCCTGGAATAGTAATAGTGTACTGGCAATTAGGGTTCTAGGGCCCAATAGGTATTACCCCCTTTTTTCTCTGCATTATGCTTCGGTTAGTGGTCCCGCGAGGCCAACACCCCGCCTCACACTCGGAGGCATACACCCCTCGGGCCACTCGTGAGCTAGCCGCCTCGCATTGTATCATAGAGAGGGCCTCACCTGTCACTCCCCTTCCTATTTTCTGGTTACTGTCACCGAGAGGCCAACATCCTGCCACAATGTTCGGTGGCCACACAAAATCCCCTCGCGCCAAGCATAGATAGAGCCTCTCAAGCCACTTGGCAACTAGCAGGGCCTCACCAGTCACCAAAAAACACCAAGCCTAATCGTTTCGCCTTACGGCTTAGCTAGCAAGCCAGTACAAGAACCCTGGGTACAAATAATTGCATCTTTATTGTTATTTAAGTATTTCTCCAAAAGATGGTGAAGAATCACCTCTTCCTAGCACCCCGGCTAGAATTGATACACCTTCAAGCAGAGGAGATGTTGCTAGTCCTGCAGCAATCAGATCCTGGACGATCCCACACATTACCACCGACCTAAGGAGGTGACAAATCCCCTACCCTGCTACAGCAAGGAAAGCAGAGTTATTCAAACTCCTCCATACATCAACGGACAACACGGAGGCAGGGGAAGGCCCAGCTACATCAACTCAGGTGACACCCAGGCTATGCTAGCCTCACTCATAAACTCATGAGCCAAAACATTTTATGACAGACTGGCAATCTCGAGTTGGTCACCACAGCCCTCACAAGGCTGGGCCTCACGTTACTGTACAACCAGCACCAACCGAAACTCGGTTACCTGGTACAATCAGTTCTTATGACACACAAGATGTTAACCCTGCATGTATGATCCCAGCACATTGGGGAAGCAAGGCATATATATGTATGATGATGTATCTGTGATGGTCAGATTCAGGGATTCCAGGTAAATCGGGAACTGACCATCTCTTGGATGGGTTGGTATTTGGAATATGTAGAGATGTTTATTTGTGCAGGTACCCATACAGAAGGGGTTCTGTCCCAAACAAATGGACGAGCACTCTCAGGCTCCAGGTACCAGCACCTCTGAACTACCAGAGACGATTGATATGAGTAGTTGCATTGCATATAGACTGTTGCATATATGTTCAAATGGTTCAGGGCACATGACAAACCATGTGGCCCAATACAACTTACAAATAACGTACTCACCATCTGTACACACCAATGCATTTTCAACACTACTGACTCATCACCCTTCCAGACTTGTAGTAGATTTACTAAAGCTCTGGAGCTTCAAAGGGCTCCCATACAGGTATCATAACACACCTTCAAGGAATATAGCATGCCCTCACTTACAGTCAGCACAACAAAACCATTGGCTGAAAACACACTCATAGCCAAGATTTGCAGAGTGGTCTTCCAATCTCCACCATTTACAGCATGGCACCAAACACACACATTGGTATTGTCACAAGGAATCTTCCCTTAAACAAAGACTAACCATAGACTTATTGGCGCTACCCCAAGTCTCAACTCCCTTCTTACTATACAACACCATTGATCTACCTTTACAGCTATCACTCAAGCATGGGTTAAAGCTTGGTTAAGTAAGACCAATATCATCAACGCAGTAAACAGCTACCATCTACCCTACACACTGGCACTTACATGGCATAAATTGGGCAATCCTTTCCCTGCTCAACTTTCGAGCTACAGATTAACCTACTATCGATATTCGCAGATACTCTGTGCTGGTTATGATAACATATCCAGAGGCATTACAGTCATACACTATCTAGAAGACTTCTTGTTGCTCAAAGAAAGCATATTTTTCACTAGAAGCCTCATGGCAGCTTAGTCTGGTTGACCACTTGGGCGTCCCAGTACCCCATAAGAAACAGAAGGCGCAGACACTATCATCACATTACTGGGCATATGACTTGAGTCGGCATCCATACACGCAAGTTACCACAAGACAAATAGGGAACATTCTCAACTAAATCAATCACTACCTCCTGCTTAGTACTTACAACTACAAGGAACTACAATCCCTACCAGGTTCCTTAATTTTGCCATGCCAATCATACCACAAGACCACGCTTTCACATCCAGAGTACTTTCCCCTTTTTTCCACACTTCCAACATGACGATCAGAGGAGGTGCCTAGACACCTCAGCAACAGCAGACCTGCACATGGGGGGGGGGGATTTCTTAACCACTTGGCATGGTAAAAGCATGTTCCTCCCAGGATTGTCTGACACTTCTCCAACCAGATGGTCAGACGCAGCGTATACCACGGGTTTGGCAGCAATCTACAGGGAACAATTGCTTTGGGGCTGTTGGCCATGGCATCCAGGTTTGGAAATTTTTCCACCACTTCAGCCCCTTTGGGAGATCTACCCCATTGTAGCAGCTGCTGTGGCATGGGGTAAATCATGGTCAGGGTCATCAATCCGTTGTTACTCAGACAACTAAGCACATATCATATCATCAACAAACGCCACTACTCATCCATAAGTTCATGATGTTTCTGGGGAACTCACTTGGTTGGCCACTTATCACATTTCACTTTCATGTACCAGACGGGGGTATACATCCCTGCCGACAACTGTCTCATTTATATTCCAGGCATGTTCATCATACGCTTCCTACAGCCGCCCATACAGTCACGTCCACTCTTTCGTTCCAGAGACAAAATCATAGATTAGACATACTCATGAAGCATATCATGCACTATCCCACCTAGCACTTTCGTCCCATACTTGTAGAACGCATAACACAGCTTTTCACCTGGCTTAAAGAATCTCATTGGAACACGACATAGCTCAACCTGTGTCACAAAATTTCTCCTAAGTTTTGCTTATTTTTGCCACCTTAAACTTAAACTATCTCATACACCATTATTTATATATTTTACAGGCATTCAACAACACATGATAACCTATGGCCAAAACTACCATAAACTTCATGCTATCATACCAGAAAAGAATATACTCAGAGGTTTTCAGGAATCCGTTCCCCCACGTTCCTCTCAGAGATTACCAATAGCCATCCAACTGTTCATCCTTATCGGACCTATTAGATCTACAACCATTCAATTATACTACCAAGTCGGCCATTAACAGCCATGCACATTGCCTTTTATGCCTTTCTCAGGCCAGAGAATCCACTACCATCACCACCACTCAGACAGATCATTGTCTTCAACGATCCCACGTACGTAAACACATATATCATTACCTATTGGCTCTACCACATTCCAAAATGAGTCAACATGCACCAACAGTAGAGATAACATACTATCCTACCCACAACAAATGGTGCCCACTTTCGGTCCTAGATTCCTACCTTCAAAATCCTTTCAGGAATTAAATACTGTAATGCATTTAAGGAAATGTATGGTTAATTTGTATATATTTGTTGACTGTATTAAATCTTTGATTATTAATTTTTGCCCTCTTTATTTACAGGCCTACCGTATCGTCGGTATCGGCACACCACAACCGACTTGCTCCCTTTACACTATCCTAAGCTTATGCTGGATCCTTACTCCATATACGGCTATTTTGCCCCTTACACAAGTATTAAGGCAGTTTTGCCTGTATTTGTGGGAGGGGCTTAAATTAATTCACTCCCCTATATAAGGGACACCCCTTACCTGACTCATATCGCTTGAGGTCAGCATCAGAATGACCCTCCCACCCACTCCTCATTTCAACACTTTCTCTTTTCTTTCCATTTACTTTACTTTCTTACTCCTTGGTGGGCCCTCTTTATTTACAGGCCTACCGTATCGTCGGTATCGGCACACCACAACCGACTTGCTCCCTTTACACTATCCTAAGCTTATGCTGGATCCTTACTCCATATATGGCTATTTTGCCCCTTACACAAATATATATATATATATATATATATATATATATATGTTATAACACAGCTCTGTTTTTATCATTTCTAGCACAACCTGTATCCCCCCTGTTTAATAACAAAGTATGCAACTAAAATGTCATTTAGAACAAGAAGAATGTATCTTTACACAGACTGATTTCTAAACCCGTCTTTTGAACACGTCTTGTAGTATTATTACTGTGGAGCGCTGTTATATACTCAGACACACTAACAATATGGAGAACCAAGAAAAGAGGGACATAAGGATATAGAAGTGTGACAGAGGGATTTGGATTAAAAAATAAGTTTTATATCAATGATTTGCTGCATGCCTCTATCATACTGTATGCACTCGCTGTCCATTCTGTTAATTAAGTTAAATTAGCTGTCAATACTTGACTGGTAATTAATGGTTCTCCTCTAGGGTCCCATTTGTTGAGTGTTATTATTATCCCCTTAAGTACGGCGGGCGTGCTATGCCATCCTTGGGGACCCAGCTCTAAATGCAGGCGGGTGGCATAGCACGTCCCCGCTGTCCTGTGTACTTACCCGCTCGCCGGCGATCCCGCGCCGGCGATCGCAGTGGGAGGACTTACCTGCCATGCCAGGGAGTCCCCCTCCTGCCGTTCCAGCCCTCCTGGGCCATGTGATCGCGAGGTCCTTGCGAGGACCTCACGATCAGATGGACGGCTTAGCCGTCCACAACAGTGCCAGCAGGGGGAGTGCCTGTAATGACAGGTAGTCCCCCTGCTGCCTGTAATAAAGTAAAATAAAAGTTTTAAAAACAGTTTAAAATAAAATATATACTTAGATCATATATATATGATCTAAGTATATATACACTTACACATACATACACATACACTGTCTATGTGTATTTTAATATTAATATATATATTAATATCAAAATACACGTAGAATGATATTGATTAAATATATATAATTATAATTATATATATATATATATTTATTTATTTATATATAATGTAAAATAAATACATCTGTAAATACGTTAAAAAATTAAAATGAAAAAAATAATAAATAATAAATAATTAACCCCTTAAGGACCGGACTGTTTTTGCGATGTTGTACATTTGCGACCTGGCCTCTTTTTACACTTTTGTGGTGTTTGTGTCTAGCTGTAATTTTCCGCTCTCATTTACTGTTCCCATACAAATTATTATTATTTTTTTTCAGGACAAAAAGGGCTTTTTTTACATACCATTATTTATATAATCTCATGTAATTTAATTTAAAAAAAATATGATGAAAAATTTGAAAAAAGATAAAAAATTTACTTTTACTTGAAAAATCTTTTACTCATCTACAAAAGCTAATGAAAAAAACTGCTAAATAGATTCTACATCTTGTCCTGAGTTTAAAAATACCCAGTGTTTACCTGCTTTTTTGCTTTTGTTTGCAAGTTATAGGGCTATAAGTACAAGTAGGATATTGCGGTTTCAAAACATACATTTTTAAAATGTATCAATAGTGACATTGTAACACTATTATCTGTCATAAATCTCTGAATAACACTCCACATGTACATATATATTTTTTTAAAGTAGACAACCCAGGGTATTCAATATGGGGTATGTCCAGTCTTTTTTAGTATCCACTTAGTCACAAACACTGGCCAAAGTTAGCGTTCATATTTGTTTGTGTGTGAAAAAAGTAAAAAACTAAATTGAACGCTAATTTTGTCCAGTGTTTGTGACTAAGTGGCTACTAAAAAAGACTGGACATACCCCATTTGCAATACCTTGGGTTGTCTTCTTTTGCAAATGGTATGCCATCATGGGGGTAATTCTCATTCCTGGGCTACCATGCGCAATTTTCAATGTAAAAATATTTGACCCCATATATTTGACCCTGTAACTTTCACTGACAATATCATCGCTATGATATGTTTTTACTGTTTTGAATCACTAATTTTTGTGTTCAGCGAAGTCTCCCGAGTAAAACAGTACCCCCCATGTACAGGTTTTAGGGTGTCATAGAAAGTTATGGGGTAAAATACAGTGCTAGCAAAATAAATTCTCTGGACTTTCAGCCTGGGTTGTCAGGCAGGTCCCTCAAATTGCAATCAATAAAATTACTTAATTATGTAAAAATATTACATAAATATGCACGTAGAATTTAAATATATATGCATATTTATATATTTGAAGTCTACGTGTATATTTATAATTATTTATGTAATTTTGTTTATGGATATATGTATATTTCGTATTATTTTTATTTATTTATATATACATAGATATATATACACAATTTTATTCTAAGTGTATTTTGATATAAATATATATATATATATATATATTAATATCAAAATACAGTTAGAATAAAATTTCATATAGATATATAATTTTTTTTAAAGTTTTATTATTTTTACATTTTTTAATTTAATTTAATTTAATTTACTTATTATTTGTATTTTATAATAATATATATACAATATATATAGTTATTATATATATTATAATATATACATGTGTTAATTATAAGTGTATTTTTATATTAATATATGTATATATTAATATAAAAATACACTTAGTATGACATTATATATATATGATATAGAGACATATATTATATAGATATAATATATGTCTCTATATCATATATATATATATATATATATATATATATATATATACATATATATATATATATATATATAATTCTATTCTTTTATTAACATGTACCTTTAATTTTTTATTTTTTATTTTACACTTGCAAGGAGACTGCCTGCCATGTGATCACTCTGTTGAGCGATCACATAACCCCAGGGGTCCTAATCCGCCATTGGGAGACTGCCTGGGCTCATAGGCGTGCACAGCCTATTGTATTAGGGTGTGAACCCTAAAGCAAAAACACACACACATACATACACTGCTGTGTGTGTGTGTGTGTGTGTGTGTGTGTGCTGCATGAGGGTGGTTTGAGGCTGTTGTGTGTGTAAGGGTGCTGTGTGTGTGTGTTTGTGTAAGTGTGCTGTGTGTGAGGGTGCTGTTAGTGTGATGTGTGTGTGAGGGTGCTCTTTGTGTGCTGTGTGTGTGTGAGGGTGTTTGTGTGTGTGTGTGTGTGTGTGTGTGTGTATATTTGTTTGTTAGGGTCCTGTTAGTGTGCTGTGTGTGTGTGAGGGTGCTGTGAGTGCGTTTGTGAGGGTGCTGTTTCTGTGCTGTGTGTGAGAGGGTGCTGTGTGTGAGAGGGTGCTGTGTGTGTGTGGGTGCTGTATGTGCGAGGGTGCTGTATGTGCGAGGGTGCTGTATGTGCGAGGGTGCTGTATGTGCGAGGGTGCTGTATGTGCGAGGGTGCTGTATGTGTGTGGGTGCTGTATGTGTGTGTGTGATGTATGTGTGTGAGGGTGCTGTGTGTGTGTGCTGTATGTGTGTGTGTGCTGTGTGTGTGGGTGCTGTATGTGTGTGCTGGAAGGGGGTGCTGTGTGTGGGTGCTGTATGTGTGTGTGTGTGTGTGGTGTGTGCTGTGTGTGTGTGTGGGTGCTGTATGTGTGTGTGTGCTGTATGTGTGTGCTGTATGTGTGTGAGGGTGCTGTATGTGTGTGCTGTATGTGTGTGGGTGCTGTATGTGTGTCCTTTGTGTGTGTGTGTTCGGTATGTGTGTGTGTGCTGTATGTGTGTGTGGGTGCTGTATGTGTGTGGGTGCTGTATGTGTGTGAGAGTGATGTGTGTGTGTGTGTCTGTGTGTATGTGTGTGCTGTATGTGTGTAGGTGCTGTGTGTGTGGGTGTGTGTGCTGTATGTGTGTGTGGGTGCTGTGTGTCTGTGTGTGCTGTATGTGTGTAAGTGCTGTGTGGGTGCTGTGTGTGTGGGTTTGTGTGCTGTATGTGTGTGGGTGATTGTGGGGGTGGAGGTGGTGTGTTTGGGGGTGCTGTATGTGTGTGGGTGCTGTATGTGCGAGGGTGCTGTGTGTGTGTGGGTGCTGTATGTGTGAAGGTGCTGTATGTGTGTGCTGTTTGTGTGTGTACTGTATGTGTGTGTGCTGTGTGTGTGTGGTGTACATGTGAGGGTGCTGTATGTGTGTGGGTGCTGTATGTGTGTGTGCTTTGTGTGGGTGGGTGCTGTATGTGTGTGCTGTGTGTGCTGTATGTGTGTAGGTGCTGTGGGTGTGTGTGTGCTGTATGTGTGTGGGTGATTGTGGGGGTGGAGGTGGGGGTACATTACTTAATATCCCCCCTCCCTTCTTAACTTATGTAGGGAGGGGCGATTCTTGTTCCTGCTGCTTTCCCTGGTGGTCCAGTGGAGAGTGAACTCTTGCCCCTGTGTGTGTGTGGTGTATGTGTGTGAGGGTGCTGTATGTGTGTGTGATGTGTGTGTGTAGGTGCTGTGTGGGTGCTGTGTGTGTGGGTGTGTGTGTGCTGTATGTATGTGGGTGATTGTGGGGGGTGGAGGTGGTGGTACATTACTTAATATCCCCCCTCCCTTCTTACCTTATGTAGGGAGGGGGGATTCTTGTTCCCGCTGCTTTCCCTGGTGGTCCAGTAGAGAGTGAACTCTTGCCCCTGTGTGGGGCTAGAGTTCACTCTCGCGAGATCTGAGCGTTGCCGCGGCAACGCTCCGACCTCGCGAGAGGAACCCGCAGAGTTGCTGGTTGAGCTCCCCGGGTCCTCTCCTGCCTCCCTCCATGCTGCAGTGGGGAGGGAGGCTGAGAGCAGGATAGCGTCAGCTAGCATGAGCCGACAGGGGAGATCCTGAGATCTCCCCTGCCGGTCTCAATACATAGGCGTGCCGCGGGGATTAGGGGGTGACCAGGCACACCCGGCACACCCCGTGCGCATGCCTATGCCTGGGCTGCAGGCAGTCTCCCCACACCGGGAACGACGGCGATTGGGTAAGTACATCTGACCGTTGTGACGGTTCAGGACCGTCAGCGGTCGGCAACGCAAAAATGCCGATGATGGTCCTGAACCGTCACCTGCCATTAAGGGGGTTAAAAAAATATGTATGTGTAATTTTGTTCTAATTGTATTTTGATATTAATATATATATATATATATATATATATATTTGATATATATATTAATATCAAAATACATGTAGAACGAAATAATATATATATCTATATACATAAGTATATACGTATAAATCACCATATATATACCTATATATAAAAAAATTTTAAAAATACAAAATTATATATATACATATATATATATATATAAAAATGCATACGTATATATATAATAATTCTACGTATATATTTATGTCATATTTTACATAATTAGGTCTTTTTTTTTTTTTATTACAAATTGCGGGACATGCCTGACAACCCAGGCCGAATGTCCAGGGAATTAATTTTCCAGCACTATATTTAACCCTGTAACTTTCCAAGACAGTATAAAATCTGTACATGGGGGTTACTGTTTTACTCAGAAGACTTCGCTGAACACAAATATTTGTATTTCAAAACAGTAAAATGTATTGCAACGATGTTATAGTCAGTGAAAGTGACATTTGTTGCATTTTTCACACACAAATGGCACTTACACTGACGATATTATTGTTGTGATACGTTTTACTGTTTTGAAACACTAATATTTGTGTTCAGCAAAGTCTCCTGAGTATAACAGTACCCCCATGTACAGGTTTTATGGTGTTTTCAAAAGTTACAGTGTCAAATTTAAGGCTTGCGTTTCAGTTTTTTCACATTGAAATTTGCCAGATTAGTTACGTTGCCTTTGAGAGCGTATGGTAGCCCAGGAATGAAAATTACCCCCATGATGGCATACCATTTGCAATAGTAGACAACCCAGGGTATTGCAAATGGGGTATGTCCAGTCTTTTTTAGAAGCCACTTAGTCACAAACACTGGCCAAAATTGGCGGTTAAATTTGTTTTTTGCATTTTTCACACACAAACAAATATTAACACTAACTTTGGCCAGTGTTTGTGACCAAGTGGCTACTTAAAAAGACTGGACATACCCCATTTGAAATACCTCGGGTTGTCTACTTTTGCAAATGGTATCCCATCATGGGGGTATGCTATATTTGACCCTTTAACTTCCCAAAACACCATAAAACCTGTACATAGGGGGTACTGTTTTACACGTGAGACATCACTGAATACAAATAAGTGTATTTTTTGCAGTAAAAGCAAACAGTATTATGACACTCACAGTTAAAATGTCACATAGAACTAAAAAAATTTAAAAATTCTTATTTTCTCCCATTTTTTAAATATTTTTTCATATTAAATTATGTTTCATATCTAAATATTTGATGTTAAATGAAAGCCCTGTTTCACCTGAATAAAATGATATATAATAAGTGTGGGTGCACTTAATATGAAAGAGGTGAATTACGGTTGAACAGACTTATAGTCAAATTCCAGATTTTGTTTACGTTTTGTTTTGATCACAACATGTACATTTAGCTCAGTCCTTAAGGGATTAAAGAGTTAAACCTGTTCTGTTCTGTTTAATAAAAAGCAGACATATTCCTGAACTGACTCCCTTGTATGTCTTTCAAAACCTTTCAATGGAGTGTCTCCCAGTACTGGAAGGTGTGGCTCAGTCTGGATAGAACTGTAAGACCATGGCAGGTAATTCTGGTGATCACCAAAGGTTGGAGTATGTTCCAACAACAGTGATGGAGAACAAATAGAGATGGTGTTACAACAACCCAGTGGTTTGATTAAAAAAAACAGTGCTCTTTCTCTATTCAAACGCAACTTTGGATGCTGGGAAAACTTGTTTCTTGTCAGCTGCTCGAAATATGACAATGTCACCATACTTGCACACTGTACGCTGAAAACACTTTTTTTTCAAGCCAAGTTACAGTTTTATAATGTACTGTTAAGGAGGGCATGAGACATTTCCACAGAAACTCCATATAGGGCACATACAGTAACATAATTAGCAGTGCAGGGGAATTTAACCCAAACCATAATGTAATTCTAGTTTAGGACTATACGCAATTTGTCCCTGTGCCCTGAGCATCAGTGAATGTTTTGTAAGTCAGGAAAATGATATGCGTGTTATTACAATGAATAGATTCTGTGACCTTGACAATACAGCTGGAGCAATGCAAAACATAGTAACACAACAAAAATGCTATTAAACATTAATTACAGTCCTTGCATTCTTAACTTATGCTTTTAAGTCCACTACAAGTAGAGAGGGCGTATTAAAGGGACATTCACAGCACCATAATAACTTTATGTCAATTAAGAAAGAATGCCTGGTCACCGTCTCAAATCTCGCGATAGAGAGGAATCACGACTTGGATAAAACAAAATGTAGAAGTCTAGCGGTTAAAAGGGCATCCCTGGTCACAGGGTTAAAAAAGAGAATGTTGTATTATCAGCTTATCTGTGTTTTCTAGTGGGCTCCACAGCTTTTGACATTTTTGTTAACTTTACTACCTCTTATTGAAAAGACAAAAAAAAAAGTATTTGCTGCTCTCACATGTAACAGTGACAGAGTTAATTTTCAAAGTTGGGCTAGGCAGAAAGGTTAGACCAAGCAAGCGCCGGATGGCTTGATTAGACATGTTTTTAGAGCTATCGAACTCTCCCCTAGCTCAGAACAGGCTGGAGTGCCACTATACTGTTATTTATGTTTATTTGGTAGACAAGATTTGAATTCTCTGAGTTTTTGATTTTTTTGTGATTAGGTTGTATGACCTACATATCATGCTGTAGTAAAACAATGTCATATGTACTTGGCCTTTTTAACGCTGCAAGTGGCATGAGAAATAAAAAATGTCTTGTCACAAGTTTGGTACTCAAAACATTTGATGAAATTGCATTACCTCATTGTACCCAAAAAAAAAACAACAGTCTAGTATACAACAATAAAAGCTAACCGGTGGCTTTCAGGTACATCATGCAAGTCTGAGCATAGTTTAACAATCTATTTGAAAGATCATTAAAATAGAGGCTCTTGTGTAGGACTAGGAAAATGTGTTGTGGAGCTTCAATCTTATTTGACCAGTATCTCTACCCAATGAACATTTACACAGCGACGGGAATGTAAAATGCAATGAAAACACCTGGACACTCCCAGTTCTTATTACTGCATCATTCATATATTTTCCCATATTCTGCAGATGCTAGAGAAAAGTCCTCAAACAAGTGCAGCGCATGTGCATCATTGGACTCGTAAGTGCTGAGTGAAATTAACTCTACTCATAAAGACAGAGCTTCAATAGAACTCTGAGCATCAGTAACCCACAAGTGGGCTGGCAAAAGGCTGCATCAGGTTGGCATCGGTCTGTTAGGTCTCTTTTGGAAAAGACTACAGCCACAGTATCACATATTTATGTACATATTTCAAAGCTATAATAGATTGGCTTTCGTCAATTACTTTAAAATCACTGAAATATTACAAATAATATATAGCTCATGTGGTCACTGTAATATACAGTACTTTCCCTTCTTAGTAAAATCATGTATAAAGTCCACATACCACCATACATAAACAGTGAACATAGACATTCAGAACACATAAAGCTGTTCATGGTAGTGTTCTTTATACCGATAGATTAGTAACACATGGCTAGCCGTTTGGTATTTTTATGGATAATGTGCAAGCAGTAACCATTCTGTAACATTTAACTGGATGATATACTTTATTCCCATGCAAGTAACTAATGTGTCAAGATGGAATCTGTGTTTAATAAGTCTTTTTGTACAGTGCGAGCAATAGCAAAAGGATATCATTTGGCAGAAGTAATGCAAGAAGCTGATTTCAGAATTATCTTATTCGAATGAGCAGCTTGCCTCCTGGGATCTAGTCCTCAGAATTTTAAAGACTTTAAAAACATTAGTTGAATTGAGCTTCTCGTTAGATTGGAGGCAAAATTTCTCATTAATTGACATCAGACATCCGAGGCAGGGGTTAGCCAGATTATCAAATATTTACACTGCTCCCATGGGAATTAACTTTTGTAATGCAGCCTTCATAGATATTACAAGTGGCATGCGTATTTCTAGGCTTCAAGGTGTTTACATATACAACGCAAAACTATTATAAAGCAAAACTCGCTTCCCTCCTCCGTTAGATGCTCACCCAGTCTCCACTCCTTCAAAAAATCGTTAAAAACCCACTTCTTCATAAAAGCGTATCAATTAAACTGTTAAAAGCTCCTGACTGATTCCTCTTCTGCAACTGTCACTAGTCTAATACTATCCTTACCTTTTTGTGTCATCTTACCCCACTCCCTCTAGCATGTAAGCTCATTGAGCAGAGCCCTCAACCCCTCTGTTCCTGTATTTCCAACTTGTCTGTTTGTCCACCCATTGTAAAGAGCGGAATTTGATGGCGCTATATAAATACCATAATAATAATAATAATAATAAAGGGATACAATTAAGGGGGAAAGTTTTTTGGCGCAATAAAATGTCAGACATTTAAAGGCTGTACAACATTGTCAAACCATGTTTTTTCTTATTTTTAGATAAATTATAATTCTGTTGCTAGATCACCTACTTAATGAAGAATACACTGTAAATTAACCTTATACTCAACAATTCCCAAACTTCATCATTTTCCCATGTGTGCAATGTATTCTTTAATATTACTTCCACCGCCTCCATTTCAACACTGGTCCTCAGCCAATGGAGAACCAAGATTCTTCACGAGAGCTTTAATAATAATGGATATAGTAGGTTGGCTTTCAAGATGTATAAGGGGTATGATAACATACATACCTCCCAGGTGTCCCTATTTAGGAAAGTCAGGGCTGTCTTAACACATGGGCACCCCGGGCAGTTATCTGGGGGGGCCCACAAGCCTAGAGGACCCACAAGCGTAGGGGCCTCATACACTTGTCAACTGCTTAGTATACTATTTAAGGAGATTTTTTTAGAAAATTCAATCCCTCTTTATTAAAACGTTTAGGTGGACTTATCACCTCAGAATCAACTGGTATCTGTATATGCGATATTGCTGTTGTGAATACATATCTTCACGTACAAATTGTACATAAGCAAGACAAAATCAACACACTTAATTATTTGAAGCTGTAAAGTCATAATAAATTTCTTCTAATATTTTTAACAATCCATGTCAATTGACAACCCCTGCAACCTTCTAAACGTTTGTGTGGCTTAAGCTCTGCTGTATTGCATGTTTTTAATGTTTAAACATTGATTTTATTAAAGGTACCAATAAATATAAGTTTAATTTTATTGATATTTTACATTTTCATTACTGTGAGTAGTATTGTTGGCACGGCCCCTTTTGCACTGCTTTGCCTGGGGGCCGATAATGCTGTTAAGACATTACTGGGGACAGTCCCACTTTTGGGCCTAAATCCCTCTGTCCCTCTTTTTACCCTAATGTCCCTATTTTCTAGTAACTCCATATTGTTGTTGGTGTGTCTGATTGTATAACAGAGGTCCACAGCATTAATACACCCAATAATTTGTCTTTAAACTACAAGAAATATGTCCAGAAATTAGTCTGTGTAAATAAGATACATTGTTCTTGTTCTAAATGACATTAATTAATGCATAAATTGTTATAAATAAGTCACCTAAAATCTCTCAGAACAGCCGCGCCCCTGGTGACATCCCCTCTCACACCCTTAAAATTGAAGTGTCCTTCTTTGTCCATTTGTCATAAGTACACCCATTGGTCTGTAACAGTTTTTGAGTGGTTGTTGGCTTTCAATTAGTCCTCTTCGCTCATTAGTATAATTTTTTAGGAGCCATCTTTGGACAAATGGAGCAAAACTTTATCCTATTTAAAAACACTTCTAAAAAAATATATTTATTCTTGAGCATTCAAGCACCTATTTTTAAGTGTCTGTGCTGAACAAAACATTGATTTTACTCTCCGATCTCTGCGAGAGAAAGGTCTATTCACTAAAGGTTGTGTTGTGTGAGATTGACAAGTGAATGGCACTAAATAGCCAAGAATGTTTGCAGCTTGACTTTGCTAAATGCAGCTCAGTTGACATAGAAACACAGATTTGATGGGAAATAAATTAAATTGCACTACCAGATACCTGACTGTTCATAAAATACAGCATGGGCTTTACTGTGGATTTTGTGTCTTGTTTAATATAGCTTTTTTATTCACACTCTGAATAAAATTCACCATAAAACAGAAACGAATGAACTACTACCAAATCTGAGGTGTTGCTGGTGGGCCTGGGGTTCTGATATCCCCAGATCTTAATTTGGAATCAATTCATTCCTCCATGACAGTGACACTGCAATGTACAGATTTGATGGGAAATAAATTAAATTGCACTACCAGGTACCTGACTGTTCATATAATACAGCATGGGCTTTACTGTGGATTTTGTGTCTTGTTTAATATAGCTTTTTTATTCACACTCTGAATAAAATTCACCACAAAACAGAAATGAATGAACTACTACCAAATCTGAGGTGTTGCTGGCGGGCCTGGGGTTCTGAAATCCCCAGATCTTAGTTTGGAATCAATTCATTCCTCCATGACAGTGACACTGCAATGTAACGTGGTGCAGTTTCTCTGTCCCCCTTGGTCCTTCAATATAAAACACTGCGGTTTCAGAAAAACTGCAATGTTTATTTTGCAGTACTAAGACTGCCTCTGTTTTCTGTCTACCTGACATCCACTAGAGGCTCTTTCTGGAGTTTGTGTCTATGAAACTATGCTGGATGTCCTCATGCTCTGCATGACCACGTCCAGCATCAGAGAAAACCCCATAGGAAAGTATTGAAGCAATGCTTTTCTATGGGGAAGGCCTAGGTTTTCCCCCCATCAGATGATGTAGGAGGAGGCGGACCTTGACCCAGCACCATGAGAACTAGTTCAGGGCTGAGAGTGTCGGCCATTCACCACTAGGCATATCCCATTAAAGAGAGCTTCTGGCTTTTACTGAGCAGTTGGGTAGGCGGAGAACGGCACCTCTTTTACTGCTTGCAATGGGCAGTGCCAGGAGACTTCTGGTACCATAAGCACTACAGCTCACTATACTGGTTATGGAGCTTCGAGTGTTCCTGTGGGGTCCCCATGGATAATTTTGATGATGATGTAATAGTCAAGGCATGTACTTAATCATAAACTGACATACATCAACTGAACATTACACAATTTCTACCTCTATATATAATTGATTATTTGATGGGCAAGTCAAATTCTCACTACATGATTAGTCTGGGTATTGTGAAATATATCCTACTTATTAATATATCCACCTAATATTGTAAATATAAAAGTATTGCCTCCACTAGCGGCTTACAATAATGAAACATGCCCTTTTTACTCACATTACACTAGTTTTTTTGTTACCCATCCCCCCACCCATCAGAGTCCCCACCAATCTTTGTCCCCAGCATTCCCTTCCACCAGTCACTTTCCTTCTGCCACACTACCAGCTCCTCTCTGCTGGCTTCCCTACCATTTTTAGTTCTCTCCATGTCTCCCTACCTCTCTGCACCAATCTGTGTTCACTTTGCTTCAATGGCCTCTCTTCTTCTGTCTGTCCAGTGTCTTTTCCCCAGTTTTTTCCTACCTTCTTCTATGTGCATTTGTAGTGAAGTGTCACATTTAGGCATCCAACTATTTAACTTCATGTTAATATAGACAAGAAAATATATTGATATTTCTGAAATATATTTATTAGAAGTGATGATCTAAATGGGTGCAAGCTGTGTGTGTCTTCTGTCAGTAGACTGTTCTCTCTCCGGTCCTGAGAGGCTTGAGTGAATCAGAGTGCTGTCTCGGATGTGATGTCATAACTTAACATGTGCAACCGGTCTCTTAGCAATCGCAAGCACCTAATCTGACGGAATAGTGCGTGTAGTGCATTGCTCTTGGTCAGCCATGTTGGGGGCAGTCAGAGGAGTGTGTTGCAGATGCTGTTCTCCAGTTAAAGTGGCCTCTTGTGTAGTAGGGCAGTGCCCAGTGTCCTTATACAGCAATATGTTGCCAGACATGCATTTATTTCTTCACCATTGCTCTCGCTTGCTGACTACCAACAGGAGCTCCGTCAATGTGATAAAAAAAAAAATTAAAACACATATTTGTAGTGTGAACCTGTTTTAGGGACATAGTCGTGAACTATGGGTCAGCAGGTCCTATTTATGTCAAATTTAATGACAGCATTAAATGAAACTCAGGTAACTATGAAGCCAAGAGAATAAAACATGTTGAGGGTGTATAACAGTATTTAATTTAAATGGTTTAGTGTTTCCCAGAAGAAACAATGGACTAAACATGTATTTTTTCATTAGTATAATAAAAATTTAAGTGATAGAACAATTTGCATTGCGTGATTGTCTCTTAACAATAAGGTATGTGCCATATACAAAGCACTTGTAGGTGTCAGGTTGTGTGCTTGTATTTAGCAGCTGGCTTGTGGACAAATGTAGAAGATTCCTGACATTTTTTCCTCCTGATACCAAAGTTACATATGAATGGAGACCACCCAATATGTTCTCTAGTTCTCGTTCTGCTGTAAGCAGCAGGCTGGCTCAGACGGTACAGAGAGGGAAGCTATTAAAAAATGCAGGGCTATTATATACCTAGGGTTGGATCAACAGTAAATCCAGTCCCAACCCTTTTAATTAAGCTGTACACGGTCAATGAAATCATGTTACGCTGTAAAATATAATCTGGGCACCTAGCAAATATGTACAGGGTTATCCTTTCATCACACACAGCGTGCACGTCACAGGCTACAATCTAGCAATGCTCGTCACCATACGGGCAAGCAGGTGCTTTGTACAGGTGAACAAAGGGATATGTTGCCACACAGAAGGGTGGAGAGGATTTGGCACACTCCCAGTACGAATAATTGTAAATATCTGTAGATAGGACTTGGACAAACAAAAACAAATATATGAACTTTGTTTCTATTAGAAAACATTACCAACACAAAGATCTTCTTGTGATGCTGAGAATAAAGACACCGGGGCTGCTTTTAAAAGTATGCGATGAATGGCTCTGGCAAAGGCTGCGTTAGTTCCAATTTTTGCAGGATTTAAAGGAGCACTCTGAGTAACATAACCACTACAGTCTGTTGTAGTTGTTATGGTACAATGAATCTTTGTTCCCTCAGTTCCGTCTCAAACTGTTTTCAAATGTTTTGACAAAAACAGGGGCTCACCAGTCGCCTGCAGGGCAGCCACTCACTTGCTACAGAACTGAGTGTTGACTGACGGTGTTCTATATACCACCACTATTGCGATTATGCAAAGGTGGGCTAGTGCTAATGTCCTGAATATTTAGATTTTTTTTGAATGTTATTCATGACATAAACTAAATCTTAACTCTGCATAGACAAGCTAAGTGGATGGAAATTTTCAGGTTTATTCTCTGCCAATTATTGGCAATTTAAATATATTTCAAAGTGAATTTCAATTTCAATTTAGCTGACTTGGACAATTTTAGCCTAATACGTGGTGTTCATTTTGAATTATCTGTGAAATCTGGACAATTTACACTTTAGTGAATAATACTAACACACTTGAAATTTTTTTCATATGGGTGACTACAAATGGAAATATTTATGCGTTTCGGTCCGAATTAAAATTTGGACGAATTTCGGGTAATTTGGACATTCGACTGCTTCCGAATGTCCGAATAGCTGAATTGCCGAATTGCCGAAGTCCCGGAGTGCCAAAATTACTGAATTTCCGAAGTGTAGTAGTGCCGAAGTGCCGAATTGCTGAAATGCCGAAGTTCCGAGGTGTCAAAGTGCCGAAGTTCCGAAGCACAGTATTGCCTAAGTACTAATATACTTACCCAGTGAAAGAAGAAGAATGTTACACTGTATACAATTTCAAATAAAAAGTATACAAACATAGACAGGATTCAGCTGTAAGCATTTGCAACACTTACAACAATCAAGTAACATACATTCATATAAAATGTAAGTTACTTAGCCAGTCAATGTAATGACAGGAATGAATAAGTAGATAACTCCCTAATTCCCATAGTATTAGGGAGCTATCTACTAAAAGGCTGAAAGACCTAAATTGGTCTTTCAGACAAATTTACCAATACTAAGTAAAGATGACTTAGTATTAGTAAATTATGCCCCTACTCGCTATACCACCTGTGGCTGCTCACTGTAAAAAAAAAAGGTCCCCCCTCCTATTGGCCCCCAGCCCCCACCCCTGAGCAGGGGGTAGAGGCCCTAAAGTAAAAAAAGGGGCGAGGACCTATTGTCCTCCCCACCGGCACCCACCCCTGAGCGGTGGGTGGGGGGCCCTAAATAAAATTTGGGGGGGACCTAATCTCCTCCTTCCTGGCCCCCACCCCTGAATGGTGGGTGGGGGCCCTAAACAAGAATAAGGGGGAGGACCTAATGTCCTCATCCCTGGCCCCCACCCCTGAGTGGTGGGTGGGGGCCCTAAATACAAATTGCGGGTGGGACCTAATGTCCTCCCCTCTGGCCCCCACCCCTGAGCGGTGAGTGGGGGCCCTAAAGAAGAATAGGGGGGGGACCTAATGTCCTGCCCCTTGCCCCCTCCCCTGAGCAGTGCGTGGGGGCCCTAAAAGAAAATGTAACCCCCCCTCCCCCCAGGTGACTAGGGGTCCCCAAACCCCTAGTTACCCCCTCCCCAAAAAAATAATGATGGGGGACCTTTAACTAAATACCTGTAAAAATAAAAATAAACTTACCATTTGATGTTTTCTTTCTTCTAAAATCTTATTTTTTCAGCCCAAAAAAAAGGCGTCAAATTACACAGCGTGGGAAAATTCCAAAGAACTTTCCCACGCTATGTAAAATGACACAGAGCACTCTGATTGGTGGATTTCAAACCAACCAATCAGAGTGCTGTGACAGGTAAATGTAGAGACTTACCTGTCAGTCTCTTCATTTACCTGTCAGAGCACTCTGATTGGATGGCTTAAACCCACCAATCAGAGTGCTCTGAGCTTTATTGCAGGGCAGGGAAAGGCTTTATAAGCTTTCCCCCGCCCTGCAGTGTTCAATCTGCGCCGAGCCCTCCATGGGTGAAGATGGATTATTTATCAGCGGGGAAAAAAAAAAAAAAGATTTTAGAAGAAAGAAAACATCAAATGGTAAGTTTATGTTTATTTATACAGGTACTTAGTTAAAGGTCCCCCCTCATTATTTTTAGGGTGAGGGGGTAGGTAGGGGTTTATTTTTTGGGGGAAGGGTGACTAGGGGTTTGGGGACCCCTAGTCACCTGGGGGGAGCGGGGTTAAATTTTCATTTAGGGCCCCCACCCACCGCTCAGGGGTGGGGGCCAGGAGGGAGGACATTAGGTGCCCCTCCTTATTCTTCTTTAGGGCCCCCACCCACTGCTCAGGGGTGGGGGCCAGGGGGGAGGACATTAGGTCCTCCCCCTTATTCTTGTTTAGGGCCAATTTAGGTCTTTCAGCCTTTTGGTAGATAACTCCCTAATACCGTGGGAATTAGGGAGTTATCTACCAAGCGGCTGCAAGAAAAGTTCCGAAGTTGCTGAAGTTCCAAAGTGCCAGAGTTGCCGAAGTGTTCAAGTGCCGAAGTTCTGAAGTGTCGAAGTGACGAATTGCCAAAGTCCCGAATTGCCGAAGTCCCGAATTTCGGAATGCCGAACTGAGCCGAATATTTTCCCCATGCACATGCCTATTGAATAATTATACCATAATGAACAAGAATTGAACATCCTATATCAAACTGCAGTGTCTCAGTCATATAATCAGAGTTTGATTAAGGTTGCCCAGGAATATAAGCTGCCCCATCCTAGATCCATGGGCAGCGCACACATATTGGACCAGAACCGGATCCAGTGCTCCATCTCGGGAGGGGCCCATTACCTATACCCCTCTTTCCTGCCACTTTTGTCATTCTGCTCTTATTCCTGCTTCCCCCACTTCTCACAAGCCCCAAATTCCCCCTCCCACACTTCACAATGTCCAAATTCTCTTCCTCAATGTTTCCTTTCCTTTTAGTCCCCCACTCCAACCCACTTTGGCTCCATAAACATTGGCAAGTGATAAAGGAATTGGAGTCCTAGGAGCGACCTTACTCTGTCAGGACTCTGTCAGGAGCCACATGCTGTGTGCAGGGGCAGGGATATAACATATTGTCATATCCCCGCTCCATATAGGCACTCACAGCTCCTGTGAGTCCTGGTAGAACATATTTGCTCCCATCACTTAGTAATGCTGCTTGCCATTTACCTGCACTCCCACAAATAGGTAAGAGGGCACAGAACCGGACAGAAGAGATCTTTTGACCTCCCTGTTATCTCAGGGAGTCTCTTAACAATTAGAGCTGGAGTCCCAGGCCCCTGTCTGGGCATGGAGATTGCATTTATTCTCTGCAGGGTACTCTATTTTGACTGTCTGTCACTGACAATGCCCTAGCAGGCCTGCCCACCAGTCCTGCTTCAAAAACTGCCAAATAATTCAGATGCAGGTCAATGTCTGATAAAAGTATACATTTATATATTTTGGCATGTGTCCTTTTTAGCTCAGATAGTGCAGCCAAACTGTCTTGACTAAATGCGTGAATTCTAATTTTAGATAAACGTTCAGCCCTATTGCAAAATCTTTCATTTTAGATGTGCATCGGAAGAAAGTAAATAATTCCTTTGGTGGTTATGTTTGTTTCTTTCTTTTTATTCCCAAGTATGTTAAAAGCTTTGACCTTTTAACATCGTGTGCGGGAGATGTGAAGTAACTCCAAGCTATGGAGTGAAGGGGTTTTCACATCAATATTAATGGTAGGTCCATATAGGTCAGGTATACATTAATACTTATGAAGCTTTCTATTTATCAGCAGTCATAGCACTGGATACTGTTTCAAATACAGTACAAAACTATATTAGAACAGTTCTCAGATGTATTCCATGTATACTGCGAGGCAGAAATTTGTGGAAGAATGTTTTTTTTATATTGTGTATGCAGGTAAAGTTGTTCGTGTTCGCTGGGTTATTTCCAAGAAATGTGAACTTCAGTAGAACATACAATAACACCGTATGGAGAGAATATATAACAATACAAGAATTATCTCACTAGCTGCTATCACTCACAGGTACTCCCACAAGTATCAAATAAACATAAATATTACCAAAAAGAGAATGCACACTAGAACCAACAAAGAAGGTTATACAAATATTTAATGAACCAACCATAGGCATAAAATGCATACAGCAAAAAATACAGAATGACAATATAAAGGCATCAAAATAAAACAGTAATAATTTACCAACGTCTCACAAGCCTAACCTGGCATAAACACGAGTCCACAATACCCCAAAGTTTCGGCACCAACTGGCTGCCTTCTTCAAGAAAACATGCTTTCATACATGTGCGGTTTAGCCTCTTTTTATGAGAGTGGGCTACAAGATCATCAACGCGTATGTGGTATGGCTAGATAAATGTAGTGCTAGACAGTCGTGAGGTTCATTCCACAGTACGCCATTGCATGTTAAACTTTAAGTGAACAAGGTAAATTAACAATTTAAGAAGGGACACATATTGTTGGGAGGGACCCATCTGATGTGTAGACTGTTGTGTCCCCTTATGTTAATATATTGCTGTGTGTTTCAAGGTGGGTGCCATAGGCGTCGAGGTGTTTGATGATTGTGATCCGGGTGTGAGGTGGGTCTCTTTGACTGTTTGTCCAGGAGCTGCTTGCTGTGTGTCCCTGAAGCTCTATGCATGGATTTAGGTGTTTTGTATGGTCTCTCTTATGTGATTGTACCCAAATGTTCCTGTCTAGGTGTTCCCAAGATTGTTGGCTCTCTTTGTGTGGTATCCAGAACATTTGTGTGGGTTTTAGTTAGGAGGTAGCGGGGGGGGGGAGGTGTCGAAGTATTTATCTGCGGAGTACTTATTAATTTATGTGTTCAGCTGGCTTGGTGTGCTTGCAAGTTTGGCTCCATGAGTTGGGCGAGGTCTGCCCAGGATAATCAGTAATGCTACCTCTGAGGGCCTGGGTTCTATCCTGGCTTCCCCTAGTGTGAGCATGAGACAACGTGATTGAAAAAAATAAAATAAAATAGTAACCCACAACATGAGCTTGTATAAACTGCTCAACAGTTTCTTGTTGCTGCCATAGGTTTGGTCTACTTTGAGTCCAGTAGCTGGGCCTAGAGATGCTGTTGCCCGTGGGACAAAGGGATCCAGGAGGTGATCTGCTGTGTTGCCTCTGTGGATGTAGGTGTATGTCCCAGTTTGGACAGCAGAGCAGGTACTTCTGCCCCAGCAGAGATCTTGTGGACTTAAGTCTTGGAAGAAGAGTAAGTGTGAGTTCTCAAATGTGAGAAGTGTTTTACCTCGAAGCGCTGACATGATTTGAGTCTTGTCGTGAGAGGTGGTGCAGCAGAGAATTACATCTCTGGCATTGTCAGCAGGTGTGTTAGGTGTAGTTGGTAGATGATATATGCCATCCATGGTGATTTTCCGGGCCTCAGCCGGGAGCACAGTAGTAGCCAGGAGTCTCCTTATATAGTGTGGCAGTTCATCCTCCTTTATGTCACCTCGGATACCACTAATTTTTTATATGGTTGCACTGTGCGCGATCTTCCTGGGTGGACATCTGCAGCGTGAGTGTTTGTTGCGCTGTGTGTAAGTTTTGCATATGGTCCTTCATAGTGGACATACTGTTGTGGATCTCAATTATGTCCTCCTCTGTCGCCCTGACGCGGTCTGTAATGTTTTGCACGTCAGCCTTGAGGATCCCTATGTCTGCAGAGATCAATTTCTGAATGTCTTGCACCCAGTGGGCCACTAGTGATGGCTCTGGGACCTGCAGAGAGACTGGACTGGTCTGGGCTGAGTGGGAGGATGGGCCCCTAGTGGCGGTGTGGCTGGGGCCACCGCGTCGGCTATCTTTGGTTGTGTCTGCCGCTGGAGCATGGCTCTAATGTCTGGATGCTCAGCTGAGGGGCCTGGTTGCGGTTTTTGCGTGCGCCGTCCTAGTTACGTCCGGGCAGCACTGCTCAGGAATCCCGCCGGGGAGGAAATTCAGGTCGCGGTAGGCCGATGGTAAGTAGCCCCGAGACTTGCGTTTTGGTCTCCCAATCTTCGAGCTCTGGAAGAAAGGCATCTAGCGATGTAGGTGAGAATCCTGGTTCCGGTTATGATAGTTTTAGGGCCAGATAGTTCGATGGTGTGGATTAATAGCAGCCGTCTCTGGAGTGAATGGATATGGCGTCCATTCAGCTATGGATCCAAGCTCCGCCCCCCCTTAAAACTTTTTTTATGTACACAAAAGGCCTATTTCCCTCAAATATTGTTCACAATATTAGATAGATTTACTTGATATGCTGCTTATGGGCACAGAGCTGTCCTGAACAGAAAAGTAAGAATAAAAACTCTTTAACTAGAATATCCCTATTTCCGAGACTTTAACCAGAAGGTAACACCGCAGCCTTGTAATTTTCCTGGTGTGAATATATAGGAGATAATTCATGAAACCATGAGTTGTGCTGAATTAAACACATTTGCTAATTTGTTCATCCCTGTGTCTTGTTTCCATACTTTGTCCTATATTTAATGAATTTGACTTCAGGTTCACTGTTCATCCTTTAGTGGATAAGCCCCCACCATGTACTTTCAATATGCTGGGGTTTATTTGCATTCATGGAAAAATAAATAACCTCAGAAAGAGCTATTTCAAGGTTAATGCAAATGATCATACTACACCTTCTCTAAACAAAAACTACTCTTTCCTACACTCAGTGATACTCATACTTATCCAGAAACTGGACAAAACAAAATAGCAACATAGAAACAAAGAATGTGATGGCAGATAAAAACCATTCGGCCCATCTAGTCTGCCCAATCTTCTAAATACTTTCATTATTCCCTAGCCTTATCTTATAGCTAGGATAGCCTTATGCCTATGCCACGCATGCTTAAACTCCTTTACTGTGTTAACCTCTACCACCTTAGCTGGAAGGCTATTCCATGCATCCACTACCCTCTCAGTAAAGTAATACTTCCTGATATTATGTTTAAACCTTTGCCCCTCTAATTTAAGACTATGTCCCCTTGTTGTGGTAGTTTTTCTTCTTTTAAATATGGTCTCCTCCTTTATTGTGTTGATTCCCTTTATGTATTTAAATGTTTCTATCATATCCCCCCTGTCTTGTCTTTCCGCCAAGCTATACATGTTAAGATCCTTTAACCTTTCCTGGTAAGTTTTATCCTGCAATCCATGAACCAGTTTAGTAGCCCTTCTCTGAACTCTCTCTAAAGTATCCATATCTTTCTGGAGATACAGTCTCCAGTACTGCGTACAATACTCCAAGTGAGGTCTCACCAGTGTTCTGTACAATGGCATGAGCACTTCGCTCTTTCTACTGCTAATACCTCTCCCTCACATGTTTTTTATATAAATATTTTTATTTAAGTCCATTTAGCCTCCCTATCTTTGGGAGAGCTGGGGTAAATCATTTCCCAGGTGTCCAGTGAGGATTTTTTTCCCTGGGTTCCAGTTCGTCCGGGAAAACAGGTTTTTAGTCTGCCTTAGTGCACAGCTGGCACTGGGGGGCCCTAAGGTGACCAGCTGGCCAGCTGTTAGCGTACCCTTGCCTTTAGGGTGCGTCCCTGTGGGGTACGCTTACCACTGGTTGACAAACAATGGCTTAGGTTGTTTATGGGTTATCCTACGTTTAACCATAAATGTATCTTACCCCAACATGGGTCCAAACTGAATAACACCATGACAATAGTATTTGCAGGTAAGACATCTGGTCCCCTCACATCTAAAATTACCCACATAGGAGTTAGTAACAAGATTTAAACACTCATGGAGCTTATATTTTGAAGGTGCCAGGATGTTTTTGATATTATTGTTTCTTCTAAAGTTTACCCTTGGGTTATTAGAAAAGCTGAATTTCAACCATGGGTCCAATTTTAATATAGGCCAATGTTTATGTAAAATACCAATAGGAGTTATTAAAACTAGTCCAGAAGATCGGACCTTTATTCTGGAGCACATCTTTAGTGCTAATATTACATTTACTCGACTACATGGTGAATTTGGAATCCCAACTCTTTAACAGTAACAGAATAGTGTTATGTGTCTCAGTGAAAGGAAACTGAGAATGGGTTGTAGTGCTCATAGCAATGACTTAAAAAGGGACATGCTCTCTGTACCTCTTGCCTCATTATATGCATATAGGATGTACTTAGGTGGATAATCCTTTATTGGGCAGACTAGTTGGGCCGAATGGTTCTTATCTGCCGTCACATTCTATGTTTCAAGAAGCGTCAGGCAGAGTTCCAAAGCTTCTTCCTCATAATTCCAAGAAGCGTCGTCAGAGTACCAAATCTTCTTCCTCATAATTAGGCTGTTTATGTACTGATTGTGGAAAGGCAGAGGCAAAGCTACCCAAATTTTTACTCACAGTCTGAAGGATAGACGTTACGACAAAATGATATTATAATAAGCATAGTTATTAAATTCTAAGCCCCAAAACTGAAGGTGAATAAGGCTAGAATGGACAGACACCTAACACCTTTCTACTTTCCTCTCACCAGCAGGAGTTTCTATATGACTTTTCCAGCGCTGCGACATGCTGACATCAAAAATTGTCATCAGTTCAACAATATAACAATAAATAAATTAATAAAACCCTCCACTGTCCCTTGTGAAATGAAAGAGAAAAAAAATATAAACAAGTCAAAATGTGAACTTCAAGTACTCTTAGAAACCTAATCTAAAACATGTGGCATATGCCTCGTCAGTCAGTTCTCATTCTGAAAATGGACTGACAAGAAAACGGAACAGTTTTATTCTGGCTTTGAAAATAATGCTATAAACATATCATGTAGTGAATCCAATATTTTCCTGGCTACCAGAACTATCTCAGAAATCAGGCTTGGTATGCTATTAACTGCTGTAAAGTCTTCACAGCACAGTCATTGTTTAAAAAACTGTGCAAACATTTGCATAGTCACTGGAACACGGCATACCGTGTGTAAGTAAAGATCTGTTCCCACAGTAAGTGTTTTATATTGCAAATATTGCACTTCTGACACCTGCAAAGTGCATTTGACACATTTTTATTATTTCTCAACAGAGAAACAGGAGGCACATTACATAGACATAGAATTTTCAAAGTAACAAACTGTGTTTTGACACAGGCTTGGCTATCAGCCAATTTTAACAAAGTTGGTGGAATTACAGCATTTGATAAAAAACGTTAATTTCCAGGATAGAACTAAATACAGCTATGTGAGTTTTCTACATTTCATTTTAGTTTTCAGAGCTCATAAACTTATTTCTGTTCAATATTAGGGTTAATTAAAGGGTCACTATAGTCACCAAAACAACTTTAGCTTAATAAAGCAGTTTTGGTGTATAGATCATGCCCCTTCAGTCTCACTGCTCAATTATCTGCTATATAGGCGTTAAATCACTTAATTATACAGCCCTAGTCACACCTCCCTGCAGGTGACTTATCCAGCATTCCTAAACACTTCCTGTAAAGAGTCATCTAATGTTTACATTTCCTTTATTGCAGATCACCTTTAATTTAGAATGTCTTGTCTCCTGCTCTGTTATTAGCTTGCTCCCTGCGGCAACCTTCTGTATGTAATAAAGTAATACATTTTTGGAGCAGGAGAAAAAATTAAGAACCAGTAAGCTACATCTGATTTAAAATGAAACCATTTTGTTTTCACGCAGGCTGTGTCAGTTACACACAGGGGAGGTATGACCAGGGCTGCATGGACAGAAACAAAGAATTTTAACTCCTAAATGGCAGGGATTTCAGCAGTAAGACTTCAGAGGCATGATCTATACACCAAAACTGCTTCATTAAGCTATAGTTGTTGTGTGTCTATACTGTCTCTTTAACCATAAAATTAAACATTTTGGGAAGTAATGGTTCCACTTTAATATTATAAGACTTACTGCTCTATGGTATAGTAACAATGCAAGATATTTTCTGGCTATAAGTTAATTCGTTACTCTAAGCCATGTTGCCTTTTCCGTGATCATGGAACTGAAAAGTAATCTACGCTCAGTTATTCAGTATGCTAATATATACTTTAGGCACTTGCCTGCATGCTTTGCTTCATTTGTTTTTATATGTTTGGGAGAGTGTGATCTATTTACTGTGCACATGCTGCTTGCACAATCTAGTTCTCAGCCACATTCACACGATTATTCACTAAACTCCCAATGTTAGCGATTAAATCTGAATGGCAAAACTGAGGCTAAAATAGCAGATTTGGAAAAATTCTCAAACCCAGGTGTAATCACATCTTGACCAACTCAGTCTCAATTTTGCCATTCAAATTTACTTTGTTAATATTCAGAGTTTAGCGTATAACACTGTTAGCCCTGAACATAGCGATTCTCCGGGTTTCTGTTTCTGTTTTATGCAGTGTATTTTAATGAACGTTAATCCAATGGTATCATCAATATCTATTCTTTGCTCTCATTGAGCAGGACACCAGGCTTGCTGCTGGAGAATAAATCCATTCCCTTTTATGTCAATGTAGCTAATTTACTCCCAGAACAAAGCAGGAGATGAGTGAGTGGTACCCCTGTATATTCATATCTCACTGTTTAGAGTCCCTTTTATTATCTGAGAATATTTTAGTATTTCAAATATTGGTATTCAAATTAGCATGCTACTTGGAAAAAATATCTGTGCCTTAAATCTATAGGAAGTAAAATACTGTGTGCTACTAATTTAATCTGTACATTCTGCAAACAGTTTATAACTACTGACTGGAAAAGGTGCAATTTAAACATCAGACCCTGTGCCCAGCTCGCTCTAAATAGATTTCTGTACGCGCACTGCAATAAAAACCCATCTGACACTGAGAAGAATCTGTTATAAAGGAGTTTTGCAAATGCTTTTTTGCAAATGTTTTGTACGTAATGTGGGTTACTGAGCGTGTGCAATGTACATAATTTGGGTTCCTGCCACAGTGACATCGCTACTGGGGGTCCATTGGCCGGGGGGCAGAGAAAGGTGAGTTCTACTTATCTGAACCTGTCCCTTGTGAGTACTGCCATCTTCCACCAGTGCGTACTCTTCAGCTCCTACCGCTTCAACACCAGAAGCCGACGTCACTGCTGTACTTCCATAGATTCAGGAAATACACTTATAGTCAGTTCTAGATTTACATTAAAAAAAACTAGAACTCACTGTATAAGTGTATTTCCTGAGCTCATAATTAGGATATATTTTATGGGAATACTCTACAACATACAGGGATATAATTTCTAATTAGTGGGGTAATAGCTGATTGATCCAAGGAGACATCTGACTGCTATTTTGGGGTCAAGAAGGAATTTTTTCCTAGTTTGTGGCAAAATTGGAAGTGCTTCAGACAGGTTTTTTGCCTTCTTTTGGATCAACAGCAACAACATTTCTGAGGAAGGCTGAACTTGATGGACGCAAGTCTCTTTTCAGCTATGTAACTATGTAACTATGTAACTATGTAACTCTTACTATTGAATGATTTCACTCAATGATCTCTTGTACAGTCTACACTATTATGTGTTTTCTTTGTATTTCCTCCTATATGTACTGAGGAATTGCTAAATGAAGATCACTTCCTGAATACTAAGTATTATTTTTAAATTGCCTTCATCCCCTCACAATATATATATATATATATATATATATATATATATATATTAGGTGTACATCACCTAAACAGCTACTTGTAATACACTGCTCCACTCTCAATCATCTGTTTTTCGTTGTACAATATGTGTGTTTAAGGGTATCAAAACTAGAGTGTGTTGAAGCAGCATCTGTAATATTATTCCAACTCTAGATAGTGATCCTACAATTTTTTCTTTTCTAAAAAGAGCGCTCCAAAATTTACAGATTTTACTATTAACATGACGTAAAGTCATGATTTTATTAATGACACGGAGGCGAGTATTATGCTGCACTCTTTCTTTATTTACCTCAGCAGCAAAGAAAAATAACATTAAATCAGTATAAAAGAAACCAGTAAATAACATGAAGTATATCTTCCTAGCAACAGCAACAGCCAATCAGCATCCTCTTTATAGCATAATAGGCAGTGTCCAGTATACTACTTCCTCTTTCTTGCGATCCCGAACAAGGACAACAAATCCAAATAAAAAAGTGGGCTCCAATTAGAGGGTATACGAGCCTTAAACTGGATCTAGAAGTCAAGCTGGAAGAGAAAAGAGAATATGGTAATATCCAAGTATAAAACTGGATTTATGCATAAATTCGCATTACATGAAATATCATATATATATATATATATACACATAACATGAAATCCAGTTTAGTCAAACCTTAAGCTCTTGACAGTCATTAACAAGGATAAAACCCAGTAAACAAAAAAGACTTACCGTGAAGTCAACTTACCCAGAGAAGACCAAATCTCCAGGGATGGGAGGGAGGGATAATACTCGCCTCCGTGTCATTAATAAAATCATGACTTTACGTCATGTTAATAGTAAAATCTGTAAATTTTATTAAGACACGGAGGCTCCTATTATGCTAGTTCAAAGCTGTGAAATTATGTCTCCTGTGAAGTGTTGAATAGGTCTAAAGTAGAAATTATGGAATGTAGACTCTGAATACCAGCCGCTCTCATAATATCCTCCAAGCGACAACCAATTGAGGAAGCCTTAGAAGCCATTGCCCTACGAACCGAATGAGGCACTGACACATAGGTATCAATACCTGCTAGAGACATAACGTATTTGACCCACCAGGCTAGAGTAGACACCGGAAGATGCGACTTTTGGAAGAGTTCCTGTTTCAAAGGATTCTGTAACGTAGTAGAACGATGTTCACACACCCATTAGTATGCAACAGGGCAAAGGAGAGATCTATCAGGGAAAACTGGGTAAGATAGATTTTAGAGGAGGTTTTTGTCCTCCGTGAAATGTCAAAGAGGACACCTTCTGGAGTAAAGGAACGAGCAACCACCTCACGAGCTCGTACGTCAGAAAAACCTCTTGCAAGAAAAATAAATAAAAAATTCAAGACAATAGAGACGACCCACAAGACAGAGTATCGTGGTTAGGGTGAATGAGCAAACCATATTCCTCAGAGAAGTCAATATATGACAGGATGTCAACCGACAGGCGTCCAATCAAAACTTTGATGGCCAGCAGAAATGGACGATCGTTAAGGTCCACAGTGCGATAGGCTTTACCTTCATCATAGAAGTCAGAAAAATGGAGGACAAACATAAAAGGAGCCGATATGGGATTTAAATTTATTTTCATGCACCAACTATGCCATCTGCTCCAAGCAGATTTATAAGCCTGTCTCGTGTTGGGTGCACCCTTGATAAGTTGGGGAGTTGACTGCAAAACTCCCTTGACCGACCAAGGTTCCCTGAAATAGACTACACTATGAGATGCAAGAGACCTTGGAGAACAAGAGGATTAGGTACACCATCTGGATGCTGAAGAAGGCACTCGAGAGATGGAAGGTCGATAACCATCTCCTGCAGAAAAGAGAACTATGGTTGGGATGTCGATAGAGGAGCCACGATCAACAGGTGCCAGACTGGCGATGTAGATGGAAAGGCAATAAATCATAATTCCTTGGAGAAAACATTCATAGCCAATGCTATCGGATCTGGTCTCCAACTGAAAAAACGGGGAAGTTGAGCATTCAAACGAGAAGCGAAAAGATCTATTTCCAATAGACCCCATAGGTTCCAGATGTCTTGGAAGACCATGGAATCCAAGTGCCAGTCGCTGGAATCTCCGAGTTGGCGTGAATACCAGTCCGTCGTAGTGTTGGAGAGACCTTGAATATATTCTGCCGTGACTGAAATGCCGTGTCTCAGGCAAAATTGCCAGCAATCACGAGGCATGTAGGTCAGAATTTTGTATTTTGTTTCTCCAAGTGATTGATGTAGCGGACTGCTGACACGTTGTCCATCTTCAGAAGGATAGCGCATTGGGCTTGAGTTGGGGAGAAACTATGGACTGCAAAGGAACCGGGTGTTCCAAACAATTGATGTGGAGTGTTGATTCCAGGTTTGATTATCTGCCCTTGGTGGAAATAGTTCTGCATTGAGCACCCCAACCGTGCAAACTTGCGTCGGATTTGATTATCAAATCTGGAGCTGTACAAAATATGGTGTGCTTATTCCAAGCTTCCATGTGAAGAAGCCACCATTGGCGTTCATTCTCTGCTTCTGAGTCCAGAGTTACCATATCTGTGTATGATGTGCTGCCCTTGAGATGAAGTTTGTAATCGTTGTAGGGCTCATAGCCAAGAAGACCTGTAGAAATGGCCTGTATAGATGCCGCTAGAAGGCCTAACATTCTCAACAGTTGTTTGAGAGAGAGTTGAGAGGTTGCTAGTGTTCGCCTATCTCCTTCTTTATATTGGCTAATTTTGCCACCGGAGGGTGTAGAGTTTGAAGGGTAGAATCTACAATAATCCAATATAACCCAGAAATTGTATTTGTTGCGTGGGAACAATAATGGATTTCTCCCAATTGGTCAGGAAGCCTAGGTTCTCTAACAGAGTCAAAGTCCATGCAAGGTATGTCCGGATTAATTGAATAGACTGAGCCAGAATGAAAATGCCATCTAAATATATTATAAGATGTGAGCTTGGTGAAGCACCATGGAGCCGAAGACAGTCCGAATGGGAGGCACCTGAACCTCTATTTACTGCCCTACCATGTAAATTGCAGGAAGTTCTCAATCTTGATGTTGTACTGGGATAGGCACTGTGAGATATGCATCCTGCAGATCCAATTTGGCCATCCAATCTGCTGGTTGGAGAAGATCCCTTAAACAATGCTCTCCTTCCATCTTGGAAGTGCTGATATGCTCATAACTATTGAGCAGTCTCAAATTTATTACTGGACGGATACCTTTGCCTTTTTTGGGAAACAAGAAAAGGTTGCTCACGTAACCCAGGGTATGCGCCAGAATCTCTACAATTGATTGTCCACAGAGACAAGGTCTGTGTCTCATTGGGAAAAAACAATTTCCCTTGATGGGGAACATTGAACAAGTAGAGAAAGGAAGTCTATGCAATACCCTTTCACAGTGTGAAGAACCTAAGCATCTGATGAAATGAGGGATCATACATGGGAAAAATGTGTGAGCCTGCCCCCCACTATCAGTAAGAAAGAATGGAAATTGTGAAGACGTCTTAGGAGCACCTCTTAGGCCACTAACAATCCAGGGTCGGCCACTTTGTGAGAAGGAGGTTGGTATAGTACATTGTTCAAAGAAATCGGCTTGGCAAGTATAAGAGCCTTGGTTCTGTCTAAAAGAACTTCTGTTTGTTTAGCAGGACAAAGGAGCCCAATTCTTTTACAAAGTTGTCCCCAAAGAGAAAACCTTTTGCCTGTGTTATCTGGCTCGTTTGGGCTCAATCTTGAGCAAGATCGATTTGTGGCTTTCTGTGATAACCGCATTGTTGGCGTTGCCAACTTAAATTACTCTCTAGATCTAACCACTTAAGATGGCGCAATCTAATTCTAGATCATCCTCCACTGCTTCAAAGATCTTGGCTGCTGAGCCCAAGATGCCCAGGATTTTATCCTGACAGTTTTGCAATGAAAATCTAAGCCTTTAGATGGCTTCCATCCTGTCTTACTCAGGAATTGAATGCTTTTAGGATTGACTGATAGCGTTTAACATGAGTCATCAGGGACTGTTCGGCGTGGCCATTCAGCCCGCAATTTATTTCACTTTGCCTTCTCAAAAGGCTTGCGTACTCTGGATGCCAATATACTTGGCTACATGGTCTCAGGAGACCACTGGATGACATAGGTTGTCAGGTTCGAATAGGGGTTCACATTGAGTGTCCAAGATCCTATCGGTGTCCCTGAGTCTGCATAATCTACCTAAATCTTGGTAGGTTTAGCAGGACGTGTATCCCAAACGGGATTAGCATCCTCTTCATCAGTAATTTCATAATCAGGATCAGAAATATCCTCTGAATCCTTCATATAGGACCCAGGGACCTCCTCAATATCACTGAGCTCAGATTCAGAGTTCAGTTGGGCTTTTGCCCTTTTCCAGTCTAGTCGATTTTGCCTGACTAGTAGCTCTTTTGCGCGGTGGTAAATTAATCGCGCCATCCGTGACAGGTACGGAACTGTCCATCTCTATTGTTTTGGAGGAGTGTTTAGCCTTATATGAGGCCTTGCGGCCAGGCTGAAGCAGAGCAGGTGCGAGTACAGATACACCTCCATATAGTACTCAGGTAACTCCTCCTCAATATCATATAGTACTCAGGGAACTCCTCCTTAATATCCCTGAGCTCAGATTTAGAGTTCAATTGGGCTTTTGCCCTTTTTCAAAGTCTAGTCGATTTTGCCCGACTAGTAGCTCTTTCGCGTGGTGGTAAATTAATCACGCCATCCGTGACAGGTTTGGTACTGTCCATCTCTATTGTTTTGGAGGAGTGTTTAGCCTTATATGAGGCCTTGCGGCCAGGCTGAAGCAGCGCAGGTGTGAGTACAGGTACACCTCCATATAGAACTCGGTGAACTTCTCAATATCACTGAACTTGGATTCAGAGTTTAATTGGGCTTTTGCCCTTTTCCAAAGTCTAGTCGATTTTGCCCGACTAGTAGCTCTTTTGCGCGGTGGTAAATTAATCGCGCCATCCATGACAGGTATGGTACTGTCCATCTCTATTGTTTTGGAGGAGTGTTTAGCCTTATATGAGGCCTTGCGGCCTGACACCAGGGCCTTGTCATTGCTTTTGCCATGGAAGTGTCAATTAAAGCCTGCATGTCAGCAGGATCAGTAAAGCAGAAATTCAGCCTCATCTCCAGAGATACCTGGAGAGGCTTCTACATTAATCTGCATGTTTGCTGTAGACCCAGAAGGCACAGAAAGATCCTGTCAGACTGCATCATAAATATACAAACAAACCTAATGGGCTGAATAAAGCAAAATAATACCAAAAGTAAAGGGTTGAGTAACCCTCAAGTAAAAATAAATAACTAAACAGGATAAAGAAATGAAAGTACTCACATTAGTGAAAAAAAAAAAAAAAATAGCAATTGTAATATAAAAACAAAGGAGCTGCCCGGCTGCCACTACAACTAAACCCCAACTTGGATTTCTGGCAGTTGGTGGCAGAGCAGCAGCCAGACAGATAAATTAAGGGAAAAAACAGCACAATAGCACTATTCAGGATATAAAGATCCTCAAAGACGTCCCTGAGCCCCAATTGATGGTACTCTTGGGGCCAGGGAGGTCAGAGGGGAAATACATTATCAAAGGATATATAATAAAGCATATAACAGACGCAAATGAAGTAAATAAATCAAATTACGTTAAAATGAAGTAACTAAATATATTTATAAACATGAAAATATTATAATTAAAATGGAATAACTATAATAACTATATTAATCACAGTAATGATATGAATAAAGTAAAGTAAAAGATCCCACAGTTAAGAACCATGGGACCAAGTGTCACTTAACTGAGGTAGCAGCAAAGAAAGAGGGAGTAGTATACTGAACACTGCCTATTATGCTATAAAGAGGATGCTGATTGGCTGTTGCTGTTGCTAGGAAGATATACTTCATGTTATTTACTGGTTTCTTTTATACTGATTTAATGTTATTTTTCTTTGCTGCTGAGGTAAATAAAGAAAGAGTGCAGCATAATAGGAGCCTCCGTGTCTTAATAAAATTACTATTTTTTTCCAGTGATTAATAAGAGAGTCACTGGTTAACACCATACAGAGCCTTCTTTACTGTACAATTTCTGCCAATGATCAATTACACTGCCTTAGTATCAGTCTGCTATTCTTTATCTACATTTATTGTTATATATTAGATACTATATCAGACTTTCCTAGCCCCAGCAGTTTATAAGACTTAACTGGTTGCTTTCAATCTGTATGCATTTTTGCAACATAGTATCAGGCTACGTTCACCTGCTTTCTAGTCTATTTCCAAGCTGGGTGATCATTCTGACTATCTATGTAGGATCCATCTGCTTGTACAATTTTATTTATTTTCTATTGTTTCACTTTATCACATATTTCTGGCACTGTTTTTGTGTGTGTTTTTGTATCATCCTTATAGGGATTTAATAAAGTTGTGAATGATACATTTTTATGGTTTTCTCATTCCAATTTTAGACTAGTGCTTTAATAAGGGTAATAGGATTGGTATTGGGCTTGTTTCTTGCTAGTCTGTAATATTCTTCTTATTGATTTATTGATTTCTATATTGGGTTATGCCCTAATTACCCCACAACCATTACAGGCTCGGTGTTAGATTCTCTTTCCTCGTGTTTGTATATTTATCGTAATTCACTTACCACTCATCAAAACAGGCTCTAGAGTTTTCTCCAGCATTCATTATTCATTGTCTCCCAATATAATTCCTATTAATATTAAAAAATGTTAGGAATTCAAAGTGAATAAGCTGGAAGTATACTCAAATCAGCTATTTTCTGATAAAGCTATTTAGGTTTAAAATTTCAAATTCACAAGCATTAATATTCGCACTTTAGTGAACAAATGCATTTCTTAGCATCTCTATGGTGGGCTCACGCTTTTATGGTTAGACATTTGCTCATTCATACATGTTTAATAGGTTGGAGATTTCTTTAGAATTTCTTCTTGGTGGACTTTACATTGGGCATTAACCTATGCAAAGGATATAGTTTTATAACTCTTTAAAGCACAGCTGTCAATCATACAGCCTGCAGAGCTGCCAAATGAGACCTGCGGCTGTTCCCAAGTGATTAAACTTCACTTCCTCCTCACTCATAGACAGCAGTGCAGGAAAACAAGAGAAGGCTGTGTTCAGAGACTTGCAGGTTAGAGAGAGGGGCAGTGGACCGCTCTGTCTGGGAATCAGCTTGTAAGTGAGCAAAGACTGAGATCTGCTCTGTCACAATGCCCAGCATACTACACCAGGAGCAACCAGCAACATAGAATGTGTAAGAGTGTGTATGTTGCTGTGTATAAGTGTGTTTATATATGTGTAACACCATGTGTGTGCATATATGTATAACCGTGTATATGTGACCAGGGCCGGCCTTAGGTGTTCAGGCACCCTGTGCGAAACAATCTTGTGGCGCCCCCACTCCTCTCAGTCTCTTTTTGGACCACATCAAAAAATTTCAGGAGCATTCACAATCTGTCGCCTCCTATATGTATAACCGTGTATATGTGACCAGGGCCGGCCTTAGGTGTTCAGGCACCCTGTGCGAAACAATCTTGTGGTGCCCCCCACTCCTCTCAGTCTCTTTTTGGACCCCGTCAAAATTTCAGGAGCATTCACAATCTGTCGCCTCCATCCCCTTCTACAAAACCCCTGCACCTCTTCACCAAAACCCCTGGCCACCACTTCATCAAACTCCTGGCCACCCCTTCCCCTTCATCAATCCCCTCCAACCCCTTCATCAATTCCCACCCACCCCTTTATCAGCCCTCTGCCCCCATTCATCAGCCCCCTGACCTCCTCATCAATCCCTCCCACCCCTTTTCTCAGCCCTCTGCCCCATTCATCAGCCCCCGACCCACTCATCAATCCTTTCCCACCCCTTTTCAACCCTGACCCCCTCATCAATCCCTTCCCACCCTTTCTTAGCCCTCTGCCCCCATTCATCAGCCCCCAACCCCCTCATCAATCCCTTCCCACCCCTTTTCTCAGCCCTCTGCCCCATTCATCACCCACCTGCCCCCCTTTTCAATCCCCTGCCAATTAATTCAACCCCAAGTCACCCCTACATCAATCCCTGCCAACCCTTCATCAGTCCCCTGTCCCCCTCATCAATACCCTCCGCACAGCTTTAACAGCCCTCTGCCCCATTCATCAGCCCACTGAACCCCTCATCAATCCCGTCCCCCCCTTTTCTCAAGCCCTCTGCCCCTTCAATCCCTCCCCCTTTTCTGCCCCCATTCATCAGCCCCTTGACCCCCTCATCAATCACCTCCCCCCCTTTTCTAAGCTCTCTGTCCTCCTTTAATCAGCCCCATGCCCCCTTTTCAATTCCCTGCCGCCCTTCATCAGCCCCCTTATAAATCCCCTGCCAATTAATCCAATCCCTGCGACCCCTTCCTCAATCCCTTGCCCCCCTTAATTAAATTCCTTCACCCCTTCAACAAAACCTATAATAAAAAAATAATTAAAAAAAGAACAGTCACTCACAGTAAAGGCTGCTGCTTGCTGCTCCTTGGACCGAGCTGTCAGTTCACCTCTGCGCCGATTGAAGAGCAGAGGGTGCCGTCCTCACTCCTGCCACGGCGTCACGCAAGTACGCGGCATCACGCCCCCACGCTCCTCCTCCACACTCCATCCATAAGTGGCTTCCTGGCCGCGGCTCTCTGCTCATAATTTGCAAGTCAAGTGCAAAGCAGCATTATGCACTTGACTTGCTCTGCATTTGAAACTCGGCCAGCCTGCGATCTGTGTTGGCCGCCCGGCGCCCCTGTTGCAATGGCGCCCTGTGCAGCCGCACAGCTCGCACACCCCTAAGGCCGGCCCTGGGTAGTGGTATAGGCCGATCTGGTCATTGTGAGACTTGAAAGGACTATTAGATCAGGGGCCTTGTTGCCCTGTAATAGCGCATCAGACCAGGCACCTGTCACATTAGTTCCCCCCTCTACACCAAAGCCTGCTCAGAGGAAGTGAGCTGGGAGTATTGTGGGCAAGCAGGAGCAGGTTAAGCTAAAAACTAAAGCTAAAACTATGTTAGCTGATCAAATATAAAATAATATAAATCACTGTTTAGTAGATATACACTAAATGAAAACTTCCATGTATTTGATTATGAATGTTTTCAATGGGGGTAAATCTGAAAACAGCATGTATAAACTGCAGTTATCTTGTCTGCTGCCTCCCCACCCATATTATCTGTGGCTGTCCAACCACAGACTTCCCAGTGCAGCTCAATAAGAAGTCTTTGCAAGGCAGCCGCTCTGGGAACTTGCTGCCTTTTGAGTTTATCTCTACTGAGCTAAATAAACCATGAAGTTGTCTGCTTGAAAACCAAGGGGTGTAACCAGCTTAATTTATAAATGTGTCCATTTCTATTGAAATCTGCAATTTTTGCAAAATGAAAAATAAAGGACACACTCTTCACACTCACGCATAAGGCTTCTGAGCAAAACAAAGTTGTTTAGGGGTATGTAGTGTTCCTTTAATTGTTACTTATATATGCATATCTGTATGTATGTGTACCTGTGTCTGTATGTAACTGAATGCATCTCAGTGTATATATATGTGTGTGTGTGGCAGTCCATACATCCCAGCATTCAAATGCCAACACTGCACACAAATACACCCCAACATTCAAACACCAACACTGCACAGAGTTACACCCCTGCATGCAAACACAGTCCTGAATTCAAATTCCATTACTTCAAACACGCCCTGCATTTAAATGCACACACTACACACAAGCACATCCCTGCATCGAAATGGCAACAGTACATACAAACACATAACTGCATTCAAAGCCAACACTACACACAAATACATATTTCTTATTGTTGTAAGAAAGTAATATATTTCATTTATGACATTATGTGAAGTTGTTCTTTGTGCCTGCTCTTTGTCTTGTTTGCGCGCGTGTGTATATAGAGTTATGGGAAACAGAAAGTGCATTTTTGTTAAATAAATCATGACACGGTATATGTCATGTGTTGTTGTTCATCAGAGGGTGTATTTTACCTAATTCTAAGACCTGCTGAGGAACAGATGATTGTTATTATGCCCTGATACGTAAAACCATAGAATTCAAAGAGGGTGTACTTTCTTTTTTACCATGACTATTTCGGTGGATAGTTTGGCCCTCCAGAACAAATGAGTTCGACAACCCTGATTTAAAGGCTGGCTTTTGTAAGTTCAGGTGATATATTCTTTGTGGGCTATAAATATACATATTTTTTACTATGTGCATAAGAAAAATTACATGTGCAAATTACACTTATCGAATTTGTATAAGGAATCATTAGAAATACACAGATGACGCACAGTAAGTACAATATATAACACTAAAGTACAAGAAAACATATTGAAACAAAATGTAATATAGGACAGATCTGGGCAGTACATGAGCTGTACGGTGAGGACATAGGACTGCACCCTCAATATCTATACATTGTTTAGTTAGAGGATCTTAACATGATATTGTAGTGTGCGATTATGCTGTAGCTTGGTGATATAGGTACAATTTGGGGATTAACAATCCTCCCAGATTTTTGTACGATATGAATTAGACATTGACACCCTGGGTTGTTATATGCATGAATAAATATATTCAGTGATTTTTGGATCGCTTGAATTGTGTTACTGGGGAGGCAAAGATATTGTTCAAAACAAATACAGAACATTGTTAAAAGCTTAATTTTTGTAGTCGCTCAAGTAAAGATTGCGAGAGGAAATTATATTATCAGGATACAAGTAGATTCCTAGGAAACTAATATACCCTTGTTACTAATTATAGACATAAATTGTTTGTATAGTATGCAAAACGTTGAAGGAAAATTTAACTCCTGTGGCCTGCGATTTGGTCATGTTTATCCAATGGTATGATACTTTTTCATATTCTGCCAGTTCCAAATGCAAATCCCTCATAGAATTAATAGGATCTGAGATAACCAGTAATATTTAATCTGCAAACTGTGTTGGGTAATACCAGTGGGAGGAATGCCAGACCTGTGGTCTGCACCCCTACTGGGTGCAGAACTTGAGTAACTGCTTTGTGAGCGTCAACCAATCGAGCGTTGCCATACTAACCCATTGCAAAGCTCTGATAGGTTGTGAGACAGCTGATCTGTACACAGTGGAGGCATTGCAGTGGGGCGGACTGAGTTGAGAAGCCCTGCAGCCAATGGCACACTGGTGAAGCCACTTGACCCATTCCTGTTGTCAAATCCTCCATCCATGAGTTCATGCATAGTATATAGACCTCTATTCAAATAAAGCATTAGAAAGTGCATGGATTACTCCATACCTCACCTAAGTGTCCTTCCAGTTGGAGATCTTGGTGCATGTGAAGATGAAGGGACTGATGCCCATTACCTTGACATTGTGACATAGCCTGAGTCGTAGAGGAGAAGGTGCAGGAAATGTCACATGTGCAGAATTTTCTTCTTTCCTCTGCCAGTGTGAATACCTTAGACATCCCATTGCAGGTAATAATGAGCTTATTGGTGTAGCCTTAGTGATAAATTACAATTTTCTTCCATAGAACTTGGGTTTCAGGATGCAGTTCTTTCCTCCATTGCTTTGTAAAGGTTGACAAATCTGGATAAAGTTGGATTTTGCAGCTTGTATGAAATGTTTTTTATGTTTAAAGAAGTTGATCATGGCAATGGCATTCTTCTTCTGGTGTAGTGCCCTCCAGGTAGCTCATGGATTCTGTCTTTTATGAATTCTTGACCATATCCACAATGTTTTCAGGGACACATATCAAATATACATATTGATGGCCGCACATGTAGTATGTAGAATTCAGAAGGTGTATAAGATTCTGTTATTAGGCAATGAATCCTGCAGAATATGCATTATACATACCGCAGGGCAACCCTTTTAATGCACTTTCATAAATATATCAAAATTATATGTGTCCTTGAAAACATGGTGGATTTTGTTCACCCTGCTTCTACTTTTAAACCCAGATAACAGGAGTTATACAAATTCATTATAAAAATCCCTCTGATTCCTAGAGCAGGAAAGAGCCCAATATCCTCTTGTTCTGATATTGTTTCAACATGCTATATCTTCTAGATCTGCAAGCTTCTGTTCTAGTAACATCTCCACCTCTGTGAGTGCTTCATGTTTATCCACTAGGTAGTTCTGAGAGTCTGCTATTCTATATATTTTGTTTCCTAGCTTATCTGTAAATTCAGGTTGTCTGTAGATTGGGCCAATTCTGAAGAAAGCTGTGTAACATGTGACTCAAATCTTTCTGGAGATATCTTCACATAGCTATGATTTTGAAGCCTATGGCTTCTGAAACTGAAAAGGCCATGGTATTCTGACCACAATGGTGTAGAAGCCTAAATCTCATTATTGGTAGGCTGAAACTTATTCTGATCTGGAAGCAGGTTTCACGTGGCCTGAGTTTGCTTGGTCTTTATACTTGTCATTATGCTGATCTTTAAACTGTGTTGGAGCCACTTTTCAGCAAGGCTAGACAAAGTTAAGTACTCAAGTGTTCATCTTGGTCAAGAGCGAAACCTTACCCATGAAACCGTTTAGTCTCGAGGTAGATTTCAGTAACCTAAAAAAGGATAATTTTGCTATTGGAAGTAACAATAATGGTTCCTTACTGCCCAAAGGTATTGAATTGCCAAAGACTAAAAGAGGATTCTTTAAAAAAAATCATGATATGGGTATTAAAATGATGATAATAAAAATCATGATAATGGTATTAAGCAAAGGCTCTAACACCAGTCAATGGATAAATCTGTGAGTATGAATATCTTTTTTTTTTAACTGTGGTGCAAAAAAAAAAACCAATGATAGATATCACCTTTCTCTTTGTCAGATCCTAATGACAGGAGACAGTGGGAAGTTCAACTCAATGAACTCTGAAGCCTCTTTTCAGACTTAGCAGATAAGAAACTATGACGACAAGCATTGTTCTTATCACTCATTATGAGCTAACATAAGCAAACAGAGATCACATGGCTCAATGCGAATGTACACATATTCGTGAAAAGAGACGGTTATGATGATTTATAGGACTTCTGCTGCTGTTATAGACATCAGTCAAGACCTATGGATTATGAAGAATGGATCTGATCCAATTTTAGATGTTCTCATACATCCAATCAGCCAATGGGACCTATATAATATTACGTTTGTGTTCTAGTTATTTGGATATTTTTAATTCTAATGACATCCAGTGCAAAAAATGAAACTAGAGTTTATGTATAATTTATTAACAGTCAATGTTTTACACACGCTAGCATGAGTTGACACATACAGAGATACCTATACTACTCTCAGTTTAAACAGAACAGTTAATATAGTTTATAAATTAATTAAATGAAAGTCTTAATGAAAAAAAAGTTAATTTGTAACGGCGCCTTCATATTTGAGGTTCCATGTCATTGGACGTGATGTGTGATAAAATAGCTGGGGTTTAGTTAGAATTCTTGGCAAATCTAACTCTTGGCTGAACCCGGTGATATATTTGTTTGCCTACTGTCCATTCATTGTCAGTTTTTACTGTGGCATATAACTCTCATCCCACAAGAAAGATCATGGTGAAAAAAGGAAACCAAAAGAGTGAAAAACAGCAGTAAAAATATATATTTATTTAATAAATATATAACATACAAATGAAGATTTTTTATTTTATTTAAATTACTGCTCCATTTCAGGTAACTGTTCACTTGATCTGTGAATAAAACCAACATATAGTGACTGTCTCCTAACCGTCAATCATATTTTGTCCCATCAGTCGTTTCTTTTTTTTTTGGCTCTACAGGCTGAATTCTGGATCACAAGTCAAATGAACAGGCTCGTCCATTGCACAATCATTTGGTTTGTGATTCGGCTAGATTTCAGCTCAATCGGATGAACTGCATTTTGGAATGAAAAAAAAATTCTTAGTCTACCAGAAGACACACTGGGTGACCAGTGTCAGAGCGCACAGTAGTACTACTTGAAATTGCCTTGGTGCTAAAACCACTCACTAGAACCCGCATCAAAGGAAAGGAAGTTACAAACAAGTAAAAAATAAATTGAACTATGAAAGACACAGCTATCAAAGCCTAAAACTCTCAATACTGATTGTAACCTTGCTGAACAACAGTTGTTTAACCCTTTTAGTGTAGCAGAATGGCAAAATACAGCTATCATCTGCAACACTACAAAAAAACACAAACAGTCGGATGCATCAAAATACAATAGTAATGAAATACCTACAGTGGGTTCCATGTAAAAAAGAAAATGAGTAGGGGGTGCCCAAGGATTCCTGAAACCATAAGATCCTAGACAAATCGTCATTCACAAAAATTAGGACTTCTAATTATGAAAGGGGGCTCTATCCCCATTTAGGCAATTTGGGTAGGTTTGGGGGAGGGTAATTGGCCAGATCCTCTCCAGTTTTTGAACCTCTGTACGTGTTTGAGGATTCATAGTGTGAGCTGTTTTTAATCTTTTTTTTTTAACTTTTATTTTGATGTGGATTAGGAAATTTCTCTTTTTCTTTTTGCGAATAAATTGCATTTGAATTTGGAACCAAATTGTGTCCAATCTTCATTCTGCAGACTTCTATATACATTGTTTTACTGCATCATAGGATATACAGATTTTGCCCAAAGAAGTTGGGGACCCTTTGGAAATTGTGATGTACATTAGGCATTGGCTAGCCATAAAATGACGTTTCCCTTCCACCGCCTTTTGGACAGCAGAGGTTTGGAAGAATTGGACATCTGAATGAACAAATGTGACTAACCCTGTAGCAACTGTATTCCTTATGATTATGATGTCCTGTGTAGTGTTACAATGCTATCTAGAATTCTACTATACACCAGATGCTTTTTATTTTGTTTTTTCCTGATAATACATGTGTGTTTGGGCTTCTGTGGTTCAGTAAAAATGAATAACAATTAATCCCAATTTAGTAAAAACTAAAAGTAATGCAGCAATATTTTTTTTATTGAAAAGCTATCAGATAAACATACAAAGCAAGCAAGTGGCCTCCTGAAAATGTGATCTTATAAATTAAATTCCTCATTTTTTTTTTCTATTTTCAATAAGCTTTAATGTAAGTTTTAGATAAGCCAATGTTATACAATGGGCGAAGGGATACAGTGTTACACTGGGAGAGAAATATTTCTCTCAAATATAGCTACGTTTGCCTATTGCATATCTTTTTAGATATTGCATATCTAGCATATTAACAGCATACTTATTCAACGGTAGAGTATTTTTTTTGTTGTTTGTGAATTTTTTATTTGTGGTGTAATTAATTGTAGAGCCAAAAGCTAGACCTCCTAACGGATAGAACATATCCTGTTTTTATTGTTACTATAACTGGATTCCAGGATTATCAGTTTGGTTTTATTGGGATATGCCATGTCAAGATCACTTGCAGAGTCCATGCCAACATGTGATACCACCAACAACAATGACAAATATGTGGTTTTACCCAGTTCAACGCAAGTGAGCTGAATGACTTCTGTGAAACTACAAGAGTCCTTAATATTGGCCTGAGACGATTAGGCTGTCATTTGAACATTCTAGTACTGCATGTTGAAAGAGGCAACTACATAATCAGGGTCATTGTCGATTCCTAAATAAATCAAAACTATCCTAAGGCCCATACATAATAAGTGATTGAGGTAATTTGAGGACCATGAAAGAATCCTGTATTATATGCATTCAGTGGCGGGACTAACGTACCCTTGTGCAAGAAATGTTTTGTGCCCCTCTCTTGTGCAAAGTTGGCTGAAAGGTAGATCCTCAACTGTTGTACAACTTCCACAATGCTTTAACTGGGAAGCTACCATTTTTCCATCCTTGTAGGGTTGTATTTGTGAGCAGTGTTTATGTGTTTGAGTGTAAGCATGCTTTTGTAGGGATTATGTGTATATGAATATAGGGGTGTATTTGTGTTTTGTGTTATTCTTTAAATGCAGTTGTGTGTTTGTATGTACTGTTTCTGTTTAATAATTGTAGTGGTGTATTGTTTGTAGTGTTAAATGTGGGGCTGTGTTTGTACGTAGTGTTGGTGTTTGAATACAGGGATATGTTTGTTTGTAGTGCTGGCCGTTTATTGCAGATGTCTGTTTGTATGTAGTGTTTGCATACAAGGGTGTTTTTGTGTATAGTTTTTTAATTTGATGTTGGGATGTATACACATATATACATGCTGATACAGATACACACTGACACACAGGTTCACATACACACTGGCAACACACACAGATGCACACAAACATTTACACACATCTAACATATTGACACATACAGAAACACATACATACACATATCTACACACACACTGACAAACACACAGATACAAACACTGACACACACACAAATCATAATTTACAATTTTTTAGCCACACTGCAAGAGGTGCAAGAGGGTGGATTACCTTTGGTCCATGGGGACCTGGCTGCAGTAGGCTCTGTCTGAGGATGATTGTAGTATGTGGCTCACACAGGTTCTCTCCCACCCACCACCCCCCACCCCTCCTCTACTCTGAGCACCAGAGCTAAGCAGCATATCTGACAGGGTCCCTGTTCAGAGATGCCCTCTGAATGGCCATAAGTGCATGGGCCACTTGACGGGGCCCCACAGCTTACAAGCTCCTGGTGCAGCCCGGTAATATAGCCCAGTTGCACTTGCAACTCTTACCAAACTGGATGTTCCAACACTCTACGTATATTACCGGTACTTTTTTTTAGCACTTCAGAATCAATTAGCGGGGTATATTTTCAGGAATTTTGTTGGTCTACTTTAGAATCCATCTTAAATGCAAACTTTAACTTCAGTAATTGTAGTAGCAATTGAAAGAAACACAGTAGACCAATGACATTTTTGTTATTCTGCTCCCTTTAATTACTTAAATGAAAAATGTTGGTTAGTTACTTTATTTTTGACATGCTAATGTATGTAGGTCAACTTTGTTTTTGTGTCATTTCACAGAAATTCTTTGCTGTTCGTCAGTTCACCTCAATGGCCGTGATATATTTAATGGAGAAGGATTCGGGCATATTTGCTTACTCTGTACACTCCACATCGGTGTCAAATAGTGGCAACAAAGACAAGTAAGATATCACAAAAACTAATATTATTTAAAGTGTTTCATTTACTGGTCATGCATCAGTTGCTAGGAAGGATACAATTTTGTCAGCACTTAAAAAGAATTGTATAGTGCTTGAGAATGTCCTCATAATGGTAGAAAAAATACAATACAGACAGCTGAAAAGTCTTGATGAACTGAGATTTTGAGTAATTTAGACAAATGGATTCGTCTACACAGTGAAGTGAAGATGGTCAAATTACTTTGCGAGTCAACATATCCAGTAACAACTGCTAGTAAAAATAAAGCTCAGATTCACAAAAAATCTAGCTGTGATAAGTTGAAAACTGACTTGTATTTAAACAATTTTGACTTTCACTGTCCATATACCGCATGGCACCTCCGTTATATTGACCTTGAATATAAGCTGGCTTAATGCAAGTCACACTCATCCTCTGTTTAAGGAATCAATTTAAAGTCCAGATACTGATCTAACTGTAATGTAGGGGCGAATGTTATCTCACATTCTAAAATCATAACTACTGAAACTGGAGTTGGTCCCTGTATTTTCAGTGAAACTAATCAATATATAATCTCTTCAAAGTATGTTTGACCTTTTAAAGACTAAATATTATGCTATGTTGTCATCACAATGTCATGCCTTTGTACTCTGTGTCAAAATGGAATGTTTCACTTCAAATTTCATTGGGCTGGGATACACCCCCTCTCCCCCCATTTACCCCTATACTGGGCAGTTGTGGAATTTGTCCCAAATGTTGGGTTCTTTTGACTTATGACCTCTTTTCAGTGTTCAGTGTTATTTCAGGAACATGATAATACTGGACTAACTGCTGATCTTCATATTTTCTCCATGAAAATATGTGTTGAGGTATTGGTACTCCATGTAGCCGTGGTGAGGTTTATACACCATTTCTATTTACAGCACCGGTGAACATTACACATAGAGTGTGTCTCAACCTGGGTGTTGGATGCCTGGTATGCTGTGTAAAATAGTGGGTTGTCAATGCTGTTTGTAATGCTTCAAGAAACACCTGGGGAAACACTCAACAATCCCTACTTTAACAGATATGTTACCTCCAGCTGACAGTTACAAATCTTTTTGTATCAGGTGGCTGCTGTGAGCTAAATAAATTATAAGAAATAATATATAATTAAAAGAAACTCTATTATGCTCCTAACAGACCTACTACCTGTATAGATCCAGGGCTGAAGAGTACCACATCTGAGGATTTAGCTTGAGCCCTACCGTAGCAATTCCTACACCTGTTATTATTTTTTATTTTATTTATAAAACATGCGTCTTTGCAACAGGAAAAAAACGACAGAACAAAACACAAGTAAAAAATAAAGTTAGGCAAACAGTTCCATGTACTTGGGCTGATCTTGTATCCTATTTTTTTTTTTTTTTGTATTATTTGTGCCAAGCCCTTATCAGTTTACAAAGGAATCATAAGAATTCCAGGAGGACAACTTGGACTGGTTCAGTTGTTAAAGCAGCACATGTAATGCAATATGCTGAAATGGTAATGTCCAGCAATACCTTGCAGTGGGAACTGTAATGTTTTGCAGAAAACTAAATCATCTTTTATTATTATTGTTATTGGCATTTATATAATGCCAACTTATTTGCAGAGCTTTACAATATGATAAAGGGGTAAATTTGGCAATAAATGATACAATTGCTAAATGTTGCAGGAACAATAGTTCAAAAGAGCATTGAATCTAGAGAATCTCTGTATGTTAGTGACATTTTCTTCAGTGTAGCTTCCTGGTCCCTTTTTAATGCTCTATGACACATTCTTCGGAAGATATGGGTTTATAAGTTCTATGAGTGTTGCTATGACAGTGACAGAAATTATGTGCTGTCATTGTCCTCCTCTTCCACCCTACTCCACATACTCTCGGCACACATCGCTTGTCTGTTCTTCGTGTTTGTTCTTCTACTCTGAGTCACGCAAACATAAACCAGTTATGAGCAAACAGGTGTTTCTGTATTTTTAAGATTTTTCTTTGTGTTGTACAGTGGGTGGTGTATATTTCGAAGTTGGGAGTTGTTAGGGGAAAAGTAACAATACAGAAGTTACAAAAATTCCACCTGTAGGAGTCTTCTAACGCATATTTTACAACATAAACAGTTTCCTTTTATTTTATTTCCCTTTAAGAACATGATGGCCAAATTAGAGAATGAAAAAATTAAAAAGATTCCTAAAGCTGTTTTAAAATAACCTACCTTCTTATAACTCACAACTATTCTCTAAAAGGACTATTGATGATTGTATCTGTTTTTATTTTATCCTTGTTTTTGACTTTGCTAGCATGAAATGATAGTGAGATTGTATTTTGACACATTATACATTTTTTGTTGCAATGCATTAACTTGGCTCTGCCCAAGTTAAAATGAGGCTCTCTGTGCCTAGAGTGGTATCAGCTACACCTCACTGATGAGGCCTGTAGAAGGCCTAAACAATTGTCTGGTTATTGCTGTATCTCTCGTGCAGGGAGAACCTTTGGTTCTCGTCTGCTCCTATGGTTGGGATCAGTGTGATATGCATTGGAGCTTTTCTTTCTGTAATGGCACAGGTTATCAAAAACGATTTTAGATCTGAGCAGAGATTTATCAAAGGGCAAACTACGGAGTTCCTCTAAGCTTTTGTCCGTTCTCAAAGTTCTCATATTCTTTGTTTTTATTTATACATTCGAATACAAATATTACTGTGGGTATTTGTCCACTTAAGGGGATATTCTAAGTACAATAACATCCTTTGCTCACTGCATAGATTATGGATTATGGGATAAGGAGATATTTTATCACTGTATCTCTAAGTTTCTTCTAACTGTAGCGATTTCCAAAACTCACTAAGACTGTCCCTTCAGGGATTTAACTTTTTTCTCTCGCTCTTGCCATTCAAAAATTCCCACCATGCACAAACGCACACTGAACTGGCACATGCCATGCTCGTCCTTACTTCTCCTCTCTGACTTTGCTATTCTTAAATAAACCTATAATTGTTATTTATTATTGTCCATTACAAAACTGATAAAATTGTAAATGAAAAAACAATAGCTAAAATAGCCAAGCTGTGACAATAAATGTACTATCAAAGTATAAACACTGTGCAGTAATAATGCATCATTTAATATTCTGCTAATAATTTGATATAAAGACAAAAAGACAAAATGTACACCCCAAAGAAGAAAATACTAGTCATTAATTTCAATAAATAAAATTGTCTGTCTCTCTGTCTATTTCCCTGTGTAATAAAATATAGTATATACAGGCTGTAAATGACACTATATTTACTATCGCTAGACAGTAAACTCATTTGAGCAGGGTCCTCATCAAACTATTGTTCCTGCAGCATTTTGGATTTGTCTTGATTATTTTTAAATTCACCCCTTTTATAATATTGTAAAGTGCTGCAGAATTATCTGGCCCTATATAAATGCCAAAAATAATAAACTAATAATAATAATACAGAAAGTCGTCCTATCATCTAAAAGTCTAAACATAAAAAAAAAAAAATTTAAATAAAAAGAACACAAAGGGATATTGTTCAACTTCAACCTTGCAGAAGGAAAAGTTCCAGTGCGTTAAACAGCCTGTAAAAGGACGGATGAATCCCATTTCTCTCATGCCGTTTCCAAGCACAGCAGACCAGAGATACTGTAACGATCTTAAAATTGGCTGATAAAAGTCTCATGGCCACATGCCTGAACTAGTAGGAAGAAGGTGACAGGTATGTTTTATTAATAATGCAGGCAACTAACAGAAACAGAAAGTGTTCAGAAATAGCTCAGTGAAGCAAATGCTCCACAAAAGATGTGAAGTTGCTTTCACCCTGAATTTTGCTGTTGTTCAGCTCCTATTTCTGTCTGCAAAATATTAAGTAATTTTAGATTATTATTATTTTATTTATTTTTTTCTGTTGTAGTTTTTTGTTTAGTGTCAATTGCAATGTTTAATGAAACATCAGGCGGAATAACAAAGAGTTATTTAAAATGGTTCTAAAGAGATGTTCCTGAAAAACGACATCAAAATCTTACAGAGCTTTTCACTAAAGTCTGCATTGTCAAGAACTCAAAGTAAATTCAAAGTATAATTCACATTTCAGGCCAAAATACCCAATATGGAAAAAACAATCTCCAAGGCACCTATTTATTTAATTTGGCTGTTTACATGGAATTCACATTTAATTTCTGACAATTCCCACTTTATTGGATATCCTTGTTTGTTGTGCTACATGCAGTACTAAACTCAAATTCCTCCGGCTCTAGATCCATCACATTTAATTTGGCTGTTTACATGGAATTCACATTTAATTTCTGACAATTCCCACTTTATTGGATATCCTTGTTTGTTGTGCTACATGCAGTACTAAACTCAAATTCCTCCGGCTCTAGATCCATCACATTTAATTTGGCCCACATTTAATTTCTGACAATTCCCACTTTATTGAATATCCTTGTTTGTTGTGCTACCTGCAGTACTAAACTCACATTCCTCCAGCACTAAATCCATCGCATATTCCTTTTCTAATTCAAACACTCTTTTCAGAAATTCCGCACATTTAATTGCAGATCCAGAATCCTTCCCAAAGTTTTAGCTCTAAGTAAAAAAAACTTCTTAGGAAACTAACACACTAGAGTTTGTCTGAGCGCTTGGTAGGGGAGAGGGTGTAAACAGATATTTGAAACAGAAGTTGATGTTAATTAAAAATAATTAGTACAGCACTATAGGTGATCACAGGGCACCCCTGTAATTTGAAGGTCCAGTGTTGAATGGGTACTGATAGAACCTTATTGATTACAGGGAACATGGTTGTGCAGGGTCACTATCCATATGAATCATGTCTGGTATATCTACCCCCAGAGAGTGTACTAGTGAAATAATAACAGGCAGGTTCACATGAAAGTCCTCCTGGTATGTTTGTTGAAGGGCTCTTGCGTAGACTCAAAGTTCTGAGTTTAGTTTGTCCAGTGTGTCTAGTTGTGTACTTGTGCTGCTCTATTGGAGACCTGTATGTGGGGTAACTCTACGGGGGACACCAAAGTACAAGTGATGTAAGTGGACACTATCTTACTAAATACAGGATTGTTGGTAGTTAAGCAAAAACTACCGGTCAAAAGTTAGAGAAATCCAGTTCTTTAACATTTTTGAATTTGTAGCTATACACATGCTGGAGGTAATTTAACTACTTTTGACAAATATGTACATGGACATTCTTAACAGTGTACTTTACATAAGAAAAGGTTGACTTTACACAACTACATAGAGTAGGCGATATTGGGTGAAAAAATAACATTTAAGAAAAAATGGGAGGAACAAATAGGACACACTTTTACAAATGCCCAATGGGAAAAGGTTTTTATCTTACAACATAAATATCTTCATTTCTAAAATCTAAATTTCAGGAAATGAATTACAAACTTCTTTCAATGTGGTATTTTACTTCCAAATTACTTAATAGGATATTCCCAAATATACCATCTACATGCTGCAGATGTCAGAAAGGAGAGGGTACTGTGATGCATATTTGGTGTAACTGTCCAAAAATAATTTCGGTTTGAATTATGGTAAAAAACACAATTTCTGATATTTTGGGTTAAGTCCCACCTTTTAATGCAGACTTAGTACTTCTACAAATGACATCAATGCCAATATCTATCTATAAAAAAAAAACTATTTTAAGACACTTCCTCAATGCCGCTAAAACTCTAATACCTGCCCTCTGGAAACAAACGTGTAAACCAACTAAGGAACAAGGGCTTGATAATGTATTGGGGGAAAAGAAAAGGTTACGTTTAAATACATAGAATGTTTTGTAGTGTCTTTGACTCTCATAGATTTTAAATGTTCATATTTTACAAGGAGTTTCCCAACCGGTTGTCTTCCTGTTTGTCTTTATTGAAGAGACATTTGGTTACAAATTATGTCTGGTTACAAATTTCAAGGTGGTCACAACTTGAAAAGACCTCTTTCCTTTTCCCTGAAGCTCTGCTGACAGATTTCTTCATACCATCCCGATCACAAAAATGCGAATAAACTGATAGCAGTGGCAGTGTGGCTTCCATTAGCTTAGCGAACAGTGCCACCCACCCTGTATGATAAATTGAACTGTGTGTGGATAACTATACCCAGGTGTTCACAGAAAATAAAATAAAAAAGACCAAAATGTGTGGGGCCACTTCCAAGAGTGAAGGAGCCACCTGAAGCAATACAAACTTTGAAGGTGAGTATCTTTTTGTTTTAATGGACTGCGATCAGGGTGGCGGAGCCAGGCAATTGAACAGAACGGTCGCATATCCCTCGAGCTCCGATCACACGGCCTCAAATGATTAGAAATCAAGCATTTGCCCCCAAAATATCAGTCCCCTCTGGATCCCCAACCAGCACTAACAGCCATGGGACTGCGATCGGGGTGGCGGAGCCAGGCAATTGAACAGAACGGTCGCATATCCCTCGAGCTCTGATCACACGGCCTCAAATTATTAGAAATCAAGCATTTGCCCCCAAAATATCAGTCCCCTCTGGATCCCCAACCATCACTAACAGCCATGGGTCGAAAGACCAAAAAGCAAGAATTTCACCTACCTGCACCATGGGCACAGATATCGCCCCCAGCGCCTACTGAGCCTAAATCGGATGCGGCGTCAGACACCACAGGAACTACCACTGCAGGTCTAAAGCACTAGACTGTTCACTCTACACCCACCATTACCTAGTTCGAGCTGAAGTCTCACCGTACGTAGTTCTATACTCCCTGAAAGTAGATACCATATTATTTCAGTTTAAAATCATTTGCTCAGCTACCATGTACACACCTGTATCCTGTGCCTCACCACTAGACCGCTCATCTGTATGGCCACCACCATGAAAGGGATAGGGCAGGGGATGCGGGCATAGAGTTTGGGTCACATGGACCCCCCGGGTGCTCTCCATGCAAACTACCCCGCCAACAGAGGGTCACTATTTACACATCAAGTGCAGCGCTCTCACGAGATAGGGGATAACTGGCCTTATATTGATGATCCGATGCACGGGCTCCCAGACCCCAGAAACCATACCGCCCTCCCCCACACCTTAGACACACCACTACACAGTTGACCCCCAACCAACGGCTCATGCAGGGCCTCTCCCCCAACTCCTCAGGTCCTAGGACGCACACATAGTTTTCGGGACTTACACCAGGACCAGAATCTACACCTCCACCACTGGCAGGTCAGAGAACACACAGCCAAATCGCTGATTGAGTAACCACACGCAGCTTCTCCATTGAATCCCATTACCATACACGCCAGGCACACAGCTATTGTTTAACCATGATATGTTACAAAAATTGTGCAACTGTTCATAGAAATACCCTGTTTTGTTTTTGTCTATTGCTATTTCCTTTTTCTCTCAAAGTACTGACTTACTCTCCATACTGTTTATATATGATGAGAAAAGTGCTGAATTATCTTATGTTTAAAAAAAAAGAGACCGCAACAATTTCTCTTTAACAAAATGTCACTGAACCACCTCATGTAATCAGTAGTGATGTACCGAACGGTTCGCGAACGGTTCGCCACGAACGATTCGCCACGGACTCATCATTGAGTAAACTTTGACCCTGTACCTCACAGTCAGCAGACACATTCCAGCCAATCAGCATCAGACCCTCCCTCCCAGACTCTCCCACCTCTTGGACAGCTCACTAAGAATGCAGCTTCAAAATGGATGCTGTCCAGAAGGTGGGAGGGTCTGGGAGGGAGGGTCTGCTGCTGATTGGCTGGAATGTGTCTGCTGACTGAGGTACAGGGTCAAAGTTTACTCAATGATGAGTCCGTGGCGAACCGTTCGTGGCGAACCGTTCGCGAACCATTCGGGACATCACTAGTAATCAGTTATATGTCTTACCTCCAACATGTATCTCACAATGCGCTTCAAAAATAAAGAATTAAAAAAACAAAAAAAGCACTGCTATCAACAAATTCTAACTTCACATTTTTTTAAAGTATATTACATATAATGAAACAATGATTTTTTTAAACTATGTATATTGATTTTTATATCTGTCTGAGCACCCATGTTGGGTCAGTTTATACTATTCTTTGCACAATATCTGCCCAACCGAACTTGCCTTCTGCTGCAGGATCAAACTGCGCAATCACAGAAGTAGGCAGTTTAGGCTGAGCAGCAGTTTGTCGGATAATAGTATAAACTGACCCAAAATGGCTGCTCAGCCAGATACAAAAAAAAAATGTTTAATTTGCTCAAAAAAATCAATATACATAATTTTTTTCAAAAAGTGTCATAACTAAAATAAAATGTTAAAAACAAGAAGTAAAAATTATATGACAGAAATCCTCTAATCTATTAAAAAATTTATTTTTGTACATTTTAATGTACAATCTGTATCCTGCAGTAAAGGGAGAGGTCCATTCTATCCCATGGTATTTGTTTAATTAATACTGTTGTCTCTGCAGCGCTAGATGGTATACAGTCCTCTCCATGAAAACATTGTATACATTGCACTGAATTTTTGATAAATGACATAATGCAAGGCATAGGAAAGGACTTTCCATAAATTTTAGATAATGAGAATGGCGTTCAAATATCTAATCTCTCTCAGTATGCAGTTTTGTTGCCAATGTCTGGCTTTGTCTTCAAAAGCATTTTTAACAACTTCACCCCACTATCTTCACCAACCCAGCATAGACTGCCTGGACTACGAAACTAAAACAGAGTATAAAAAAGGATACAGCCAGCTGGCTAAACATTAACAGCAAACAATGTCAAAATACTAGACAGAAAAAGAATTGTTCCGCACAAAACGACAATAAAGCAATTTTCAACTCTCGTAAATAAAAGAAGGAAGAGATATTATTGAATAGCACAAATAAAGGAATATTGATTATGCATTAACACAATGAAAAGCTGTTATTCCAATCAGTAGTTTCCATTGTACCTCCTTATGATGGGCTGTTGGCACGCTACAGTATAGATGACGTTGACCAACTTGTCATTTGTAAAGGATGCAGTTTGTCTGTGTTCCATGTGACAAAACAAAAGTTCTGTGACAAACAAAAGAAAGGTTTTTTTAATGAATTCTTTTACCCACCTGTACAGAAAGATATTAGCCAATGTCTATATCCTCTCTTATACAAAGTAGGCATTCTAAAGCTTAATGAAACACTATAGGCACCAAGACCACTTCAGCTCATTGGAGTCCACTGGCTACATGTATATAAGACAAGGATTGTGCAGTTTGTTGGGCCCCCTATTCACTACACAGCAGCTGGCAAACGCTATTTGCCCCCTCCGGCAGATCCTCTCCAACTCTCACGGACCTGTCTGTCAGAGTTTTTATGCGGGTTACCAGGGCAACCCTACGGCCAGAGACTGAAGATAGCATTTGCTGGGTCCCCTCGTCACTAAAACACACATTGTATCCACTGTATACACATTGAATCTACTATACACACTCCGCATCCACTACACGCACATTGCATCCACTATACACACTCTGCATCCACTACACACACATTGCATCCACTGTATACACATTGAATCTACTATACACACTCTGCATCCACTACACACAATCTACATCCACTCTGCACACACTGCATCCTTGTGGGTGGACACGGGAGCCCCAGGGATCCAGACCTGATTTGTAATTGGCCCCAAAATCTCTGATGGTAGCCCTGCTAAAGATCTAAATAAAATGATTCTTCTGATCAAAGTTTTTAAATAAATGCATACACACCTTAACCATAACTTGATTAAACTAATCATCAAGGCTGTTGTTTTGGAATGTCTACTTCCATAATAAATAAGTTATTACTGAAAAACATTGAAATGTTAGGCATAATGTGTAATGTTGGTGTATTTGATTGGAAATCTATTAACTCCTCAATTTCATATCATTATATCTCAGCTAATCTTCTGTCCTTGAAAACAGTGGAACTTCTGGTTCTTGAATTATGAAGATATTAAATATACTTGTGTGTTAATGTATTCTGCAACGTGTAACTTCATGTTTTCAGGTGCTTGCATACCTTCTATCATTTCTTTGGGGAGAATCAGGATGGGTGAGCAGAGCAATAAAGGGACATTGCAAGTTTCACCACACATGTCACTAGGGACGTGCGTAGATGGTGGACACATGCAAAAGGGGGGGCAACTACTGACAGTTACTTTGGCCAGCTGAGGAACATGAAGGGAGTGCTGAAGCCACTGCACTGTGCAAGTATGTCAAATGATGGCTTCTGTTCTGGAATTATTCAGGAAACCGAAGTGGGACTGCCAGACAGGAACCTGAAATTACCAAAAGCACGACTGTTGGGAGAAGTGCGTCACCCTTTGCATTAATTCTATATCTTACTTTAATGGTCTTCTGTGCACAGCGCTCTCTAATTTCCCTTGTCGTCCTGCATAAGTAGTCAGTAGTATGTTGGGGTATCACAGTGGTCAGATCTGCTCTAAAACAGGGCAGATCTCTGCTTTCTGCTCTAAATTATAAGTTATGCCTTCCCTCTTAAAGTGAACTTGTCATTATAGATATAGATCTGCAGTTACCTAACCATCTGCCTTGGCATATGTTCAGCGTATCTTTCCTTAACACTATTAAAATCTTATATTTTTTAGTTTATTTCAATATTCCCAGTCTCCTGCTGAGAGTACCAAGCATGTTTTCAGTGGATGTTACACTTGCTGTAAGACACACCTGCATAGCCCTGTTTGGGAAGCACCGATTTGCTTCCTATTACAAGTTAATAGTTGCCAACACTTTATGTTGGCCTTGTGTAAATAAAACATAGCTGTTCTCTCTCTCCATTCTAAGATTTCCTGCCCAACGCTGCTGCAATAAATCATTCTGACTGCTTCTCTCCTCTCTTCGTGCATTTGCTAGTGCTGCTCTCACACTGAGATTGCCATTCCTCCATAATTTCCCTTGCAGGCATTGCATTCCCTCAGTCTGAATTCAAGCAAGAGAGATGCCCAAAGTGCGGTTTCCCTTACAACAGACATGCAGAGCAAAGTCTTCTTAACTCTGTGCTTCTCAGCACAAACAAAACTGACTGACAGGGGGCAAGGACTGTTATTTAACCTCTGATTTTAGAGAAATTTAGACATTTTCTAGTAATTCTGCTAGCATAATGTGTAGATGAACTTTGAAACTCTATTATTAAAGATTAAGTTGCATTTGTCATGACAGGTGCCCTTTAAATAGCCAGGAAAGCTAGGCAAGGTGGAAAAAGGCTCAGTAACAAGAAAACTTTGGATGGAAATGGTACTAGATGGTGGAATTGGATGGAAATTCTATAAGTTTAAAGGGTTACACCAACCCCCATGACTATTACTGCTTTTAGAAGTGGTCATATTGGTAGGAAATTGTATGTGCATATTTTTTGCTTGAAATGCTGCACATATAGAGATAAATTAACTTGCACCCCCAACACATGTGACATAGGCAGCCTGGAACAGCTTAATATCAATTCTGTGTAAAAATTACATCTGTCATCAGCATGCGCAGTGTGATGGTGACAAGTGTAATCATCTAATCCCTTGCTTTCTCCTCTCTCCTACCATGCGCTCCTTTCCACCTCCCTCAATTGCTGTTCATTGTGTAGTTTTTCTTTCTTTCTTTTTTTTAAATACTCTCCCTTTTCCCCTCCCTTGCTCAGAGCATATGCTTGCACTCTGAACTGGTAAAATGATCTAAGACAAGTTTATTATTATAGTGATTTATAATGGGGGGACCTATTTAGCAATACCCACTAGGACATTTTAAAGTAATTCAACATTCAATCAGGATGGGTTGGAGTAACTCTTTAAAGGAAACGAGAAACATGATGTGTGGTGAGAACAGAGCTCAAAAATTCTCTGGGTTTATAGGTTACTCTTTAATAAAAAATAATGTTGGTTTGGAAGAGAGGGAGTAAAGTAGAGATAATAGATAAAACGCAAAAAACGTCAGAGTTTAAATATCATCTACTCATGTACAAATACAATTTACTTTACTAGCATTGTATTGTTTTTCGTTTCCTTGGAACATACAGATAGTACAACATCATTAATATAAAAAAAATGTTTTAACGACATCTAAAACATACTTTTCTTTGTCGTATTAAGGAACTAACCCACAGCAGTTATAGCCAAAGGAAACAAAGAAGGGTGTGTGTCTGTAGGAACATCAATAGTCCATGCGTTTCAGTCAAGCAATATGTAAATAGCTTCTAAAAAAAACTACAAAACTTGGCATTGTAGTTTTGCTAAAGGCCCTTCTGCTGGCGAACTGTCCATATTGTGCCATTTACATTTGTGATGTAATGTGTACTCAAGGTGGAATGTTTACTATCAAGTTACAGCAGAGAACCTCATAGACAAAGTATTGTCTTCAATCATTATTTTCTGATATGACTTCAAGCTTGGGTTTGTCCTCTACATTCTCAAGGGTGCTCTGTAGACTTGGTAAATATTCAAAGAAATAGATAAATACAGTGTTAATGGGGAGAAGACAATAGTGCAGATACATATATTACATATTTTTAGGTTTCCAATATCATTAAAGAAGGTACAGGGCTGGTGCAAGATGCATTTTGCCACCCCTTCCCAACAAAATGCATCTTGATGTGTGTCTCGTAACCCCTCTTTTGAATTTCTTACGTACTTTATTATTATTTATAAAGTGACAAAAAATATGTAGTGCTGTACAATAGGGCTTTCGTGGGGGGGGTATAGAGGCAGTATTGTGTGGTACAGGGGCTTTAGTGGGGGAGAGATATGGGCAGTATTGGAAAATTGAGGCAGTATTGTGGGGGCATAGGGGCTTTAGAGTGGAGGAATAGGGGGAGTATCGTGGGGGAATTGGTGCTTAATTGCAATGGGGAGAAGAGTCATAATGTGGGGGATTGATTCTCTAGTGTGGGGGGATAGGGGCAGTATTGTGGGGGTATTGGGGCATTAGTGTGGTGGGTTAGGGCCAGTATTGTGGTGCATAGGGGCAGTATGGTGGGGGATTGAGGCATTAGTGACGGGATAGGAACAGTATTGTGACTTTAGTCGGGTGAATTGGGACTTTAGTGGTGAGTAGTAGCAGTATTATAGGGGGGGTAGGAACAGTATTGTGGGAGATAAACTTTAGGGTGGGGTAATGGAACAGTATTGTGGGGGTAAGGGCAGTAGTGTGGGGGGCAGGGGCAGTATTGTGGCGGAGTGCGGTTTAGACACAATCACGTAATTCTGAGGGAGCTCCAATCTATATCAGCATTGCCTGTATAGCTCCCATGCACTCCCTGCAGTGGTGCCTGTGCTGGAGTGACGTTACATTCTGGCTCCCAGGACCTCTACAGGGTACGCAAGGGATCTGTACAGGCAATGCTGATATAGATCGGAATTTCCTCACTCCGGGCAGCTGAGGTAAAGGCGCTCGGCCACAATACATGAAGTGACTGGCAGGAGAGGAAATTTGAGCCCTAAGGCTGCCAACTGTGTCACCTTATAGTAGCGCTGGCCCTTAGAAGGTAATATATGTTATATAAACTATACAGAGTTTACTATAAAGATATACAAATTAAATATACAGATAAAAGCTGCATAAAAAAAGAATATATGGGCATTCCAGAACATGTGTTTCTCTGTATATTTTTTTTTTTTTATAAATTGTGGTTCATGGTCATAGAAAATGTAATTCTGGTAAATATACATTTTTTTGTGGTTTGTTCTATGTAGAAACCTTGTGGCATAACCATTAGAAATGATACACTCATATCGCAGTCATTTTCACAGGTTTTCATTAATTGGCACGGAATAATATAATAAAAACATTCATTTTAAAGAGCATTAAAAAACTTTTTTAAGGAATCTGCTGTTATGTTTGGGAATGAAGATTCACAAAATGTCTATACACCCTATACACCCTACAATCTATCATATATACAGTTACATAGTTACATATGCTGAAGAGTCATGCATACATCAAGTTCAACCTTTCTCACATCTGTTTTTGCTCTGATAAAACCACTACTACAGGTTGAGAATTCCACATCCTTATTGTTCTTACTGTGAAAAAAAAAACTTTAATTTTCCTTAAACTAAATCTCCTTTCTTCCAGTCTAAATGCGTGATATTGTGTCCGGTGTATAGTCCTGTTTATGAATAGATTTCCAGACAATGGTTTGTATTGGCCCCAAGTATATATGTGTAGCACCATTCTTCTAAACAGATTTAAATTTGTTACCCTTTCTTCATAACTAAATACATATCTTTTGTAAGTTTCGTTATAAACTATATATCACATTGAAGAACAGGTTGATGTACATATAGGGAAGGTGCTAATTTACACTCAGCCTCTCACACAGAAATTCATTATGTTGATTAGCAGCACATGAAAATGCTGTCCTGTACTATGTACAATTTATGTGCTTCAAGGTTTTTGACATCGTTATCACCTGATTTACTACTTGCATAATTTGACTTTTACATATAGGAAAATACTTTCCATATGTTGTCCATTAATTTGTATAAGTGATACGTGTCCTGGACTACTTGCCAAAGTGGTGGGTGTGCTAAATTCAGGCCTCTTGTCAAAATCTTAAATATTGGGAAGGAGTGCACTCAGCCCACTGCAATCCCAGTCAGGGCCACTGGGGGAGCAGGGAGTTCAGATATAATTTGCACCATATAAAGTGTGTTTGTGTAATTGTATTAACTGGTTAATTCAGAGTCTAAATATCAATTAGTATTTCATACATTAGATTTATTTTGTTCGTTTTTCAAAAAAAAAAATGTTTTCTTTAAAAGAACTAAAAGGTCATGCAAGTACACCTGTCATGCAAATACAGCATTATGATATTTTGCAGATACACCTTTATCTATACATTGTTTTAAAAATGTTACTAAGAAATCTTTATGGAAAATGCCATTTAGAGTTTTGCGGTGCATTTTAGAATTATGTGCTGGTGGTGCAATATGTCAATAGTAATTATCCCATAATGCTAATGGCAACATTCCAAAATGCATGGTGTGTTTCTCCTGCTTTGCCATATTCTAATAGTAGTAGCACAGGTCCTCACTTTGCAATAACTCATTCTATCCAGTTATGTTCATGAAGCTTTTTGCATTTGACAGCAGACATTTAAACAGACACTGTAGGTACTGTAACTGAAAGTGCCACCCGGATGAACCACCACCTCCACCCCACCCCCTAGCTATCCCACTGTGACAGGGACTCCAGACTCTATATCCAATTAAATTAAATGGTTATGGTGCCTACAGTACCCCTTTTACAATGAACTGTCGCTTGCCAAGAAGTTTAATATTATATTACATTTTTCCTCTATATTTAACAAATGTGTGACACTTCAGTGGGTCATTCAGGTCTCCATATTCTTTAAAATATTCTCTGATATTACTAAAACAGACATTCCTATTCCTATTACACTTTAGCAAATTGGTCCTTTGGGCATCTTTCACTGACTGAGAATATCACCTGATCCACACTAATCCTAATAAGGACAAAGCTGATATCGCTAAAATGGAATGGGAACGTATGCGTTAATCATATGGCAGATGTACTGCCAGTTCCAAGATAGGTTTCAAACCATTTGAAAACAGTTTAACTTCTTACCATGGATGGCACCTGGGGATAATGGTACTGTAAACATTACAACAGGTAGTAGTAGTAGTTATGGTGCTTACAATGTCCCTTTAAAGAAATAAAGAAAGAAATAGATAACTACAGGAATAATATAAGTGTGTGTTCCATGGCAATTCCTAAATAATTTACAATTTTAAGATTAGGCAATTTTAATAATAACTTTCCTCTTTCCCTTTAAATGAAGATGTAAATTGCTTGAAAGCTAGGATTGCTTACATTCCACTTTAACAAAAATGTATATACACTGTGTAATATTTCATAACATTCTCCACATGCTGTAACAAGTCTTATATTTCAGGAGCAGTGCGGTACAGTCTCGGCTTCCTACTGTTAAGCTTTAATGGAATACCTTTCAGGTACAGCGCTTTATCTCATTATTATAATGTATATGCTGCATACGTTTCCATTTTCTTATCAATTTTACACCTGTAGAAATATTAAAGACCCTGCAGAATACAAGCTATTATACAAGGTTATCAAACAATTTACAATCACCTTTCAGTTTTTACATCTTTTCAAAGATTTTGTTCTATTTCAGCAGAAGGACAATAAGCTACTAAATGTGTTTTAGAACTATATATTTATTTAGCACACAATAATAAAGACCCTTTGTATTTTACTTCATATTATAATTTTATTTTCAGTCCTTCCATGCCACAGGAGAGCTACATTAGCTGTGATACGTTTTAGTTTGATCACATAATAACACAAAGTATAAGCAGAGTTCATTGTGATAAAGAAATGTCTTAGGTATGTAGTAAACCCGTACTTTACAATATAAAACCAAATCAAAAATAACCATTTAAAAATGCTGTGGTGTGACTACATGGGTAGGAAGAGAGGCAGATGCATTTGGGACAAACTTTTTTAATTGGCTTGTCGGTTCCTCGGCAGGCCTAAACACTGTTGACACAATGGAGGAGATTTACCAAGCTGTCAGGTTCTGAAAAATGGTACAACGTACCAAAGTGGGGCAGTCACCATGGAAACCACTGGAACCAGCAGGTAGATTCCATTGGTGAGACCTCTGCCTTTACGTCTTTGCACCACTTATTAAAACAAAGTATTGTGCCTAAGACACAGTTTGACATTTATCTCAAAGAGCACAAAAGTGTAGGAGGGGCAGTCTTTATTTTGGGCCAAAAGTCCTCTGTCCCTCGTTTCTATACTAATATCCTTTTTATCTATGAGATCCATAGTGTTGTTGTGTCTGAGTGTATAACAGAGCTCAACAACAATAATACTCACAGTGATGTATCTTTAAACTACAATAAATGAGCTTAGAGAAATCAGTCTGTGTAAATGAAATAATAATAAGAAAGTATTTCACCAGAAAAGGTTAAAGGTTAAATTATATTTTCATTACATAAACTGTTATTAGTAAGTCACCTAAAATTTCTTACAACAGCCCAACCCCTGGCCACACCCCAGCTTACATCTGTAAAATTAAAGTGTCCAATTGAAAATTTGTCAGGCCCACTAGTATATACACCAAGTTACAGAATTGGAGAATATCTTCAGCGAAGGCTCCACCTCCAACAGGGTCTAGGAAACTTACTTAAAATCAGTTGCGTAACTCAGGATTCCTAGTAGTTCAAACAATGGATATTGAGCTATATAATTTTTAATGATTGTTTCATAACTATTACTGTTATATTATTACTGTATACTGTGTATTATTATTGTATATTTCATTGTTTTTCACCCCTAGGTCATTAAAGATTAGTTATAATTAGTGAGCTGTGCAGGAGGTGTCTGCTGACAGCTCACTAAGAATGCAGCTTCACAATGAATGTAAAATGGATGCTGTCCAGGAGGTGGGAGGGCCTGGGAGGGAGGGTCTGCTGCTGATTGGCTGGAATGTGTCTGCTGACTGTGAGGTACAGGGTCAAAGTTTACTCAATGATGAGTCCGCGCGAACCGTTTGTGGCGAACCGTTCGCGAACCGTTCGGCGAACCGTTCGGGACATCACTAGTTATAATGAATGTTATATTTCATTATGATGTTATATTTCCCTCCATTGTTATTTATGTGTACTTAGAGTAAAATTTGACACTACCAGGCAGTAATTTTAGAACTGTGGCTTCATTCTAGCCACACCCAGTTATAAAAAATAGCACCTAGTTATCCCTGTGATAGACCTGAAGATCCCCAGAATCTAGTTGCTTAATAGCTAAACCAGAAATTGTGAAATATTAAGTAGGAAATTGCAATGTTTAGGCCAAAATGTTGAACTGGAAAAATTGCTGAACTGGATAATTTAATATTTTCTTATTTTGCCCTAAAATTTGCAATTCCCTTGTAAATTTCCCACAATTTGCTCTTTAGTGAAAATAATGAAAACGCCATTTTAATAAAATAAAAAATTAATTCATCTTTATTAGAGTTTTAACAATATAAAACATAGGTACATATCAAATTTAAAACAACAGAAACAACAACAAAACTAAAAAGACAAAAAAAAACCGAAAAAAACACAAACAGTCAAAAAAAAATAAAACAGAAAATCACACTCTCTGGGGAAAAGAAAGGAACGCGCCCGGGACACTCTCCCTATATAAGAAAATTATTTTACAGAGATTATAACTTTTTTATACATTTATCCCATAAACCGGAATTATTTGTTTGTTATCCTGAAAAGATTTGATTTTACCATTATTCAATAGATCTGAAGTCAGTAAAATGCCATTAGATACCCACTGGGACAGGTCAGCATCATAATAAAGAAGCCTGGTTAAGTCTATTCAGGGAGGGAAATCCTAGTCCTCCCTTCTCAATATTTTTTAAAATAATTTAAAGTTTATTCTAGGTCTTTTCTTAAGCCAGATAAATTTTGAAAACATAGTCTGTATTAACATAATCCAGCTATTGTGGATTTGCAATGGCTCAAAAAGTAAGTGCTTTTAGGTAAAACATATGATTTAACGGTGTTGATCCTGTCCCACCAGGATATCTCCGTTTCTTTCTAGCATTTAAGGTTGCTGTTGATCTATTTTATTAAAGGTAGAAGTTTATCTCAAACCAATTTTGTGGATTCATAGAGATCTTTATACCTAAATAGGAGAAACATTTTTTAGCCCAAAGAAAATCAAATCTCGCGGCAATATCTACTATCATTTGATTCATATGTAAAGGCAGAGCAATTGATTTCAATGTTTTTAAATTGTAATTTTAGAATTGACTATAATTTTCAATGACCTTCATTAATTCTTTGACAGAGTTTACAGGGTCTTCTAGAGTTATAAGTATGTCATCCACATATAGTTTTATTTGGATCTCTACATCCCTTTTATTTTATTGTTGTTTCTAATATCTATAGCTAATAATTCAATTGTCAACATGTAGAGAAGTGGTGACAGTGGGCAACCTTGCCTGGTACCATTTGAGAGGGTAAACCAATTTGTAGAAAATCCATAACTTATTATTTTTCCTGATGAGTTAGAGTATAGGACCATTATAGCTTTAAAAATCAATCCCCAAAAAAAACAAAGAATTTAAGGGTTGTGGCCAAGAGATCCCAGCTGGAAATGCCATTTTAATTTTAACGTTCATGATATTTGAGTTGCTGTAATAGTCATATAATGCAGATGCAAAATAGTGAAGTATTGCGATTTCCTTTTTTATTAGACACTACAATACTTTACTATTGTGCATCGAATATTAACTTTGGGATCTAACAGCAATTTTCTAATGCGAGAGTTCAGATTGAATTCATAGTGAATTTTAAATTTAGTGAAAGTAGCTGAACTGAAAGCATAGCTGACATAGAAACTTTTTCGACAATTTTAACCTTAAATTTGAAATTCTCTTTGAATTCACCTTGAATTCTCATTTTAGTGAATAACTCTGAAAACCTTTGCATATGTGATTGCAATGCACATCGATAGTTAAATAAAAATTATAGAAATAAGGCAGTTCAAAGGAGCTGTTTACACTTCTAGCATTCAACAACTCAAGTGGTTGGAGCGCTATCATAATATATATTATAATAATCTACATTTCTTTCAATGGCTTGTTGTGTGGTGGTGTGTAAACGGGAGGCTGTAGTGAGCATCAAAGGGCTGCTTATTCACTTATTTTTATTCACTATATTGATAATTGTCGCAAATTAATTGCAAATGGCAAAACTGAGGCAAAAATAGCTGATCTGGAAAAATTCTCAAAATCAACTCAACTCAATCATCACAGCTTGGCTATTTTCTCAGTTTTGCCATTCAGAAATAAGTCACAAAAATGTACAGTTTACTCAATAACCCCGTGTTTGTGTGTGGTAAAAGGATACTGGTGGTAGTAAAACATGCAATACCTTTTCTAAATCGTTTTTATGTTTTCCCATGTCATTTAACACCTGTAACAAAGGGGAAAAAAAGTTATTTTAATGTTTTTCTCACTAGGTATTAAATGACTGAATCCAGATGGGTAGCATTTGCTGTAGGATGCTACAAAGGTAGAGTATGAGAGTTTTATGTTATGTTTACAGATACTGTGTGCATAAGTAATTGTATATATGAGTATCCTAGGTTGGCTGCATCTGCACAGGAGATACAGTAATCCCAGAAAATTAGTTTAACATTGTTTGGACTTTGTCAATGAGATGTAGCTGATACACTCCTAGGCAAAGTAAGCACGGGGTCCACGTCTCGATTACCGTAAGCAATTGCATTGATGAAGAAGAAAAAAAGCAGAATCAATGAGAACACTGACAATGGGCAAAACCTAAAACTTTGCCAAGTGATATATGTAAAAACGTTGTTTTGTTTAAAGGAACACCCCAAGCACCATAACTACTACAGCACACTGTAGTGGTTATATTTCTAGCAGTACACTGCCCTCTCTCCTCATTGTAAGTAGTTAAACCATTTTAGAATGATTTGATATCTTACCTAGGGTCCACTGGGTACCACTCCCCACCTTCACTACTTCCAACAGAGAGCAGGGCTTAGATAATTGGCTGAGAATGGTCATCTGCCACTCTTAGATAATGAGCTAGCCCTGCACTGCAGAGCTTAGCTATGGATAGTTATTAGAGGCCCCTGATTTGGAGCTTCTGGATCTCCATTGGAATTCAGATAAGGCAGAAGTTAAACTTGGAGAATATGTTGCTTGGAGTGTTCCTTAAATGTGGCATCACACATGATATCTAACTTCAGTGTGAATGTATCATTTGTTAATGTAAGTGTCTATCATTGTGTGTCATATTCATTGTATTTATGGATAAGCTATTTCTGTGACACTTGAACTATCTCTATTTGCAATAGTAAATCCCATAGTTATACAAAATTGGAATGTTTGAATATTTTCTACTTCAGTTAAATTGACTGTTAATATTTAGTGTGTTGCATTCTTTACATACGTTTCCTGTTTTTTAAAACTAATATTAAAACAAAATTATATTTTTGTTTTGTTCAGACGCATGCTTGAATCAGAAGGAACACAATCAAATGGATATGTCAACGAAGCACATAGCTACACAGAGCATGACCAGTCTATATCCCAAACTGTAAAAATCAGTGAACTCAAAAATGAAGACTTCCGTATAACTGAACAGGAGAGCCAGACTGATTCACAAGATGTGTACAATACAACTGAAAAAACTAAAACAGACATAACAGATGACACTGTTTCTAAATTATCTTCTACTCCAGCCTCTACATATCTCACTTTAAATTTGTATCCCATAGGAGAAGAAATTATAGAACAGAACAGCAAAACAGAATCCGATTCAACATTACTGTCTAACAATTCTTCTGGGTTTGACCAGGATAGCAATTTTAAAAGAAATTCTGAAGAGCTTGAATCTGCTCAAGATGAGTTTTATGACTGTACCAGTGAAAACAATTCACTTACTGAAAGTGCTATCCACAATGTTTCAATTAAACATGGTGACGACATGATGGACTTTATCTCAGTGGCACCTGCTAGTGATGATCAAGGACATATACTGAATTCCGATGACTATCTCAGCAATCATCTATTTCGAGAACCCAGTGTAAGGTCAGATGACTCTTCCATAGTAGCTCAATTGATTATAAAACATTCCATAAGGTGTATGAAGAGAGGGTCAACAAACAAACACATAAGGGATGGATCACAAGCAGAAGACGATGACATGGATCCAGATGTAGCTGAGGCTTTAGCTGCTTTAGCTGCTGCAATAGCAGGTGAAGAGTTTGAAGAAGATCCATTTGGAGGTTAAGCAAACACATATAAATATTTAAACATTGATAACATGTTTTGGAAATTTTCTAAAACCTTGCTAATAGATGGTTTCAACATGAAAAAAACCAACAAATTTCTTAGACAAAGAATGTAATTTCTTAATGTTGCATGATGTATACCACTGGTTGGTACAAACCATAGTTGCTTTGTTTTAATTTAATTTCTTTTTACTAATATTTCTATTTATGTAAGTGGTTTTGTTAATAATGACACAATGAAGTTTAAATTAATATCCAAGTGAGTTTTGTTTTGTTACCTTTGGTCATCACCAAATTCAGAAACTGGTTTGCTTAAAAGGGGAATGTTGTAAAGAAATTTTAAATATATCTTTCCAAATATCCAATAAGTATTTATAAGAAAATGTAACCTATGTATCTTGTTATTAACAATTTGTGATGGTGTATCTGGCTGTGGACAAATAGAGAGGTGGTTAAATGTATGACTGGCTGAATAAAAGGTATTTTTAATATTAATCATATATAAACACTTTAAATTCCATGTTACATTCCTATACATAATAAATGAGTTCCTCACTAAATAAGGGGAAATTATCTAGATGTATTTGTGTTTCTGGATACCTGTTATGTAAATCTGACTCAATCTGAACTTGTACTATTTTTTTTTAATAATGAAAAATCAGCAGTTCTCTACTCAAATTCCAGAGAAGTAGTCTGTGCGGTCTTTCTTCTTTAATTGTCTGGGTCCAAAGCCATATGAGTTTTGTTGGGAATACCCTCTGTTATAATATTCTACTTTCAGCTGAGCTTGGTAGAAATGGGATGATACCAAGCGACCATCTGAAAGCATCAGTGCATTAGAGTGCAGTAGAATCTTAGCATAATACTATAAAAATAGAATTTGTCAATTCTCACGGTTTAGTTATATATCCTTAATCCAAATTGTTTGTGGGTGAGGCTCTTTGAGTCGTATCACCCTATAAGTAAGAGAGATATGAATATGACAATTGATTTGCGTGCTTGAAAGAATAGCTCTGTTGTTCTACATGTGAGAGGAAGCCTTTAACAAAACCAACTGTACCTCTATCCTCATCATAAATAGTTACCAGTTACCTACCACCCAGTTTTAGGCTAATAATATACATTCATACAAATTCACCCTCACTTGACCAGTGCCATTGCCTCTAATGCCTCATAGGACGATGAACATGTCATAACCTGCAAACTAAGAACATTATGTACTCCGGTATGTACTTAATGTTACAATAAAAATAGTTTGCTTATTGATAGCCACTACAGCAATCTGCACTGACTTTTGCAAATTGAGAAAAATAAAACATACTAACAAGAATGTGTCGATAATATTTTTGTTAATTTCTACGTAAAGACCAAAAGTCCCTCTAAGTGTGATACGATCTGTTATAATAATGTTATAATAAGTGTGATTAAGGTGCATGAAAAAGGGGCATTTAATAAATAGCCTTTCAATGTTGTACTATGTAAAATCTGAAATCTGGAATTTTTCACAGTGTTTTTTCTTTTTAATGTGATATTTGGTGTTTATGATACAAGTAAAACAGTTTTTATACTCAATTCATTTCTTTAACTTTGATCAGGAAACTATTGTGTAACAAACCGTTTTTTAACCCCTTAACGACACATGCCATGATTCCCTTTTATTCAAGATGTTTGGTCCTTAAGGGGTTAAATGTCATGGTTTGCTGTTTAATAATTCTGGAATTGATCAACTGAAGCTAAGGACAGGGGCGGACTGACAACTTATAGGGCCCTCGGTCAATAGTAGATCAAGGGCCCCCCGCCCGGTGCAAGGTCTTTGTGCAGCTCTCATACAAATATGTGCGCGCTACCCAGCATGGCTGTCCCCCAAACAGGGCCAGATATACTTTAAAGGGTTAATCCAACCAAAAACAGTGTTTTAATAAAACATTGTTTTTGAGTGGAGTACCCCTTAATAGCTTACCTTACGGTCCCCTCCCCACCCCTCCCCCCATTAAAATAAAGACATAAAGCAAATTTAATTAAACACTTCCTCTGTGTTTGTTGGTGACATCACAAGCAGCATCCCCCACATGTTCAACCATACAAGCAGCCTCCAAACACGTGTTTGGAGGCTACTTGTGTGGTTGCATGTGTGGGATGCTGCTTGTGTTCCTGAATGTCAACATGTTGAATTAGAATTAATTGTTTGACTTGTTTTACCTATTGTACTGCGCTGCAGAATATGTTGGTGCTATATAAGTAATTGTAATAATTGCGTTTGTATGTATAAGGAGGCTGTATGCAGTATTGCAATGCTGGGGATGCCTCTTGTGATGTGTGTGTGTATAAGGAGGCTGTATGCAGTATTGCAATGCTGGGGATGCCTCTTGTGATGTGTGTGTGTATATAAGGAGGCTGTATGCAGTATTGCAATGCTGGGGATGCCTCTTGTGATGTGTGTGTGTATAAGGAGGCTGTATGCAGTATTGCAATGCTGGGGATGCCTCTTGTGATGTGTGTATGTATAAGGAGGCTGTATGCAGTATTGCAATGCTGGGGATGCCTCTTGTGATGTGTGTGTGTGTGTGTGTGTATAAGGAGGATGTATGCAGTATTGCCATGCTGGGGATGCCTCTTGTGATGTGTGTGTGTGTGTGTATTAGGAGGCTGTATACAGTATTGCCATGCTGAGGATGCCTCTTGTGATATTTGTGTAGGGAGGCTGCATGTGGTATTGAATGTGTGGGGATGCTGTTTGTGGGATTACGTGCATACAGTGAGGTTAGTTGTGGGTTTGTGTGTGTGTATGGAGCTGTTTGCAGTGTCGTATGTTAGTGGAGAGGGCTGGTTGTGTTGCAGAGAGTGTGTGGATAGGGGCTGTTGTGTGTGTGGGGGATAAGGGCTATAGTAGGCAGCTGGGGGATACTGGGACTGTACTGTATGTTTGTATGATACTAGAGGCTCTACTGTGTGGGGGAGATACAGAGGCTGCAGTATGTGTGTGGATAGTGCATGAGGGGGGATATGGGCTATAGTAGGTGCAGGGGGGCATACGGACGGTGGGGGGATAGCGGCTGCAGTGGAAGCAGTGAGGGATAGGGGCTGTAGTGAGTGCAGGGAGGGATAGGGATGAGAGTTATAATGACTGTAGTGGGTGCAGGAAGGCATGGGGTGAGGTGGGTACAGGGAGAGAGAGGCTGAGGAGTGTACAAGAAGGCACAGAGGCTGTGATGGGTACAGGGAAGGATAGGAATGAGAGCGATAGGGCTGTAGTGGGTGAAAGGGGAGTGGGATCTGGGATGGTAAAGGGGCATAGGGGCTGTGGTGGGTCAAGGGGCATAGTGGCTCAGATGGATAAAGAGGGCAGAAGGGCTGTGAAAGGGGGCTCAGATGGATAAAGGGGCATAGTGACTGGGATAGGTGAAGGGGGCACAGGTGGTGTTATGGGTGAAGGGGGCACAGGGCCTGGGATTGGTAAAGGGGCACAGGGGCTTGGATGGGTAAAGGGGGCCCAGGGGCTGGGATAGGAAAATGGGGGCACAGGGTCTGGGATAGGAAAAGGTGGGCACAGGGGCTGGGATAGGAAAAGGTGGGCACAGGGGCTAGGATGGATAAAGAAGTACAGGGACTGGGACGGATAAAGCGGGCACAGGTACTGGGATGGGTGAAGGGGGGCACAGGGGCTGGGATGGGTAAAGGGGCACAGGGGCTGGGATGGGAACATGGGGGCCCAGAGGCTGGGATAGGAAAAGGGGGCCCAGAGGCTGGGAAATGAAAAGGGGGGCTCAGTGGTTGGGAAATGAAAAGGGGGGTCCAGAGGCTGGGAAATGAAAAGGGGGGCACAGGGGCTAGGATGAGTGAAGGGACACAGGGGCTGGGATGGATGAAGGGGGGCACTGGAGCTGAGATGGGTGAAGGTGGCACAAGGCTGAGATGGGTGAAGGGGGCACAAGGCTGAGATGGGTGAAGGGGGCACAAGGCTGAGATGGGTGAAAGGGGTACAGGGGCTGGGATGGGTGAAAGGGGGGCACAGGGCTGGGATGGGTGAAAGGGGCACAGGGCTGGGGTGGGTATGGGGGGATATTAGCTTAAAAATAATATTTACTTACCTGCTGTCGGCCAGGATTCAGCAGATTCTGCAGGACAGGAAGTGATGTAACTTCCCCTCTTTCGGCCCCGCCTCTTCCCCTCACACGGGGCTCCGCAGTCATTACTTGGAGGAGACCTGGCAGGAGCAGCAGGAGCCGCAGGATCACTGCCAGGTCTCAGAAGGTGGGGGTGGAGGGGAGGCAGAGAGAGATAGGTTGCAGGAGCAATGGAATTCCTATCGCTGGAATATGTACGATTCTGGCTGGAGAGATCTGTGATCTGATCTCCCCAGCCAGAGCACGTTAGTGCAGCCAGCCGGGCCCCTGACTGCTTCGGGCCCTCGGTCCATGACCGATCTGCCCGACCTGTCAGTCCGCCCCTGGCTAAGGATCTGTTAATGGTGCTACTTTAGTAAATTATTTACCTTCAAATTCTGCCTGTGTTTTTACAGCATTCTCATAAATATGGTAGCATTATACATAGTTTAGCACAAAGAATTTAAGATAATATTTTTGGATCAACATTTAAAATGAGAAGAAAGGAAAACGGAAGCATAGGGAAGCACTCAAATACGTGGGGGTAACCCACAATAAACTACCAGAGTAGTAACAAAAAAGGGGAGGACAGGCTGAGTGCCCCGGATACATATAAAAATTAACTTTTAATAATGCAAAGATAAAAAGAGAGTAAATGTAATCGAAAAGGAAAGTAGAAAGGAGTGCTCTGTGACCCGGTGGTGGGTAGTACTAAATATGTGTTACTGCCAGATGGTCCAGAGATTAAGTTGGCTGAACGTGTAATGTATCTCCAAATCTACACAGAAACACATAGCGAAAAATATATACAACCAAATTCATAAGAAGATAGTATACAGAGGGCCTGTTCTGAAGTTTTCAGGCTGCCTCTGTGATGTCTATTGCAACAAAACACAGTTGCAATTGTAGACACAGTATAAATAGCTGTTGATGTGTACTCCTTGAGGCACAATGTGACCAGCTATTGGGTAATTAGCTAGTTGACAAAACGGTGATACAGATATCGCTAGTGCCCCACATAAACGTGAAAATCTGTTCCTAGAACCCTCAGATAGCCCAGGGTAGGTATGGCTGCTAGTATCCGATCATAGGTATCTGATACCATAAACAGTGAAAGCCATATTTCGTTAGATAAACCCCTTGGGAAGGAGAGGAAAAAAGATAACTACTGAGGTAGAAACAGAAAAAACGCTCGGGATTCATGTGGAAAGTGCGGTGCAAATGATCACAATACCGCACTCTGTGCTATAGCAGTGAATCCTCCGAGTCCCCTGACGCGCGCGTTTCGCCACACCTCATCAGAGGGGAGCCGATGTGTGGTGAGTGTCAGCTTATTTACAGGTGAAGAATAGAGCTGATTGGAGGGTTCAAAAAAGACCGCTGGTTTCGATGAACCTATTATAATATTAATGAATGCGGAGTAAAAGTGAAGTGAACTTTTACTCCACATTCATTAATATTATAATACTCTGTACATGCTGATCGGCTATGGTCTATGCCGACCTACATGTCTAATGTGGGTATCTTCACCCTAAAGGGTTAACTATGGCTGTTTCTCTATTGGCCATACTCACCTTCGAATGAACATGATAGGTTCATCGAAACCAGAGGTTCCTCTCCTTCCCAAGGGGTTTATCTAACGAAATATGGCTTTCACTGTTTATGGTATCAGATACCTATGATCGGATACTAGCAGCCATACCTACCCTGGGCTATCTGAGGGTTCTAGGAACAGATTTTCACGTTTATGTGGGGCACTAGCGATATCTGTATCACCGTTTTGTCAACTAGCTAATTACCCAATAGCTGGTCACATTGTGCCTCAAGGAGTACACATCAACAGCTATTTATACTGTGTCTACAATTGCAACTGTGTTTTGTTGCAATAGACATCACAGAGGCAGCCTGAAAACTTCAGAACAGGCCATCTGTATACTATCTTCTTATGAATTTGGTTGTATATATTTTTCGCTATGTGTTTCTGTGTAGATTTGGAGATACATTACACGTTCAGCCAACTTAATCTCTGGACCATCTGGCAGTAACACATATTTAGTACTACCCACCACCGGGTCACAGAGCACTCCTTTCTACTTTCCTTTTCGATTACATTTACTCTCTTTTTATCTTTGCATTATTAAAAGTTAACATTTAAAATGAACATTAAGAAAAATATTAAAATGTTGTAATATTTTGTAAATTTTTTATACATTTACTTTTTTGTATATGATATATTTTGGATATTTTAATATTTTTTAAAATCATTTTAAAAGTTTATCCAATAAAATTTGAAGTTATTTGGAAAGTTTATCCAATAATGTTAAATTGAGATCATGGGATGGATGGGATTGGATGGATGGAATGGGAGGGGGAAGGTTTTCTTAAGAAATAATTAATTAAAATTCAATCAATTATATGGATGCAGGGGAGACTGGCTACCCTCAACCTAGATGTGATTACTAAAATGTTATCACATTTTACTTCTTTGCCAGTATAGATTTTTATACATTTTTTCATACTTAAAAATGATCAACGGTAACTAATATTTCGTTAGACCACCATATATTTGGCGCAGTTGTTAGAAAATAACAAAGATAAAGAAAAATACACTTTTTGGGCTTCAAGTGCCCCACTCATGTCAGCAGCCAGGAGGAATTTATACAGCTGTAAATGTTCAACGAACTGGAAATTACATGATAGTATAAGTATAAAGACTGCAACTGTAACTGGTCTCTGAGGGGTTAAATCCATTTAAAATACTGTAGCCTTTCATTTTTTTTTAACTGCAATGCTGATTTCAAGGAAGGTAGGTACAGTGAATTCCTCTATAATTAATTCCTATATGATTAATAACCAGGAATTTCTTGGCCACAAATATAATTCCCCAACTTGTTTGATTAACAAGTTACATCGAATTACAATATAATGTTTTACTGCAACAAGGAAGTAGGTAAACTATTAAGAGAATACATGCCCCGTGGACTATTGATTTAAGAACATTTTCCATGTGTTATGCTGTAATGTCGTCACCCGTCTTGTATGTTTGCCCATCTACTTTTATATTATTTTTTATTACGAACGGGATCATAACATAACTTGTTTTAAATGCTTCATTTTAACCCATGTTTCCCTAAGAAATCAAGTCAGATTTCTTAGAGCACCCAGAGTGTGGATACCTAGTTCTGCATCAAAGAGACAGAATTTCAGTAAACAGAAGAAACTCGTCCTTTTCACCATAGTTTCACCCTTATCTGAACATGATTGACCAGGAGATCAATTTGACCAAGGAGAGCACCTGATGTTGAATTCAATGTACTAATCTAATTACGTGATGTATTTCTCCTCATGGGAACTAACGAGTATGAGTTTGTATTACCCTGACACAGGAAGCCAGAAAATCCCAAAAGTTGCAAACTTAGTGGCACTTGTTTTATCAATGCTAGAAGGTTGCATTTATCCTGCCGGGAAAATGATCTTCAACTTTGATGTTTCAATGGGCTTTATTTTTTTACATTAAAGGAACACTTCAAACAACATAACCACTACAGAGTGGTTATGGTACCAGAAGTGCCTTTGCTCCCCCCAAGCCATTTTAGAACAGTTTGACTTCTTATTGAGCAGTAGTGGTTATGGTGCTTGGAGTGTTATTGTAATGTACTGAGCTATCTCTCTATCAACTTTCAGCACACTATATCTAATTATGCAGTTTTTTTATATATAGTTGCAAGAAAAAGTATGTGAACCCTTTGGAACGATATGGATTTCTGCACAAATTGGTCATAAAATGTGATCAACAAGTTACAACAATAGACAATCACAGTCTGCTTAAACTAATAACACACAAAGAATGAAATGTTGCCATGTTTTTATTGAACACACCATGTAAACATCCACAGTGCAGATGGAAAAAGTATGTGAACCTTTGGATTTAATAACCGGTCGAACCTCCTTTGGCAGCAATAATAACTTTAACCAAATGTTTCCTGTAGTTGCATATCAGACGTGCACACCAGTCAGGAGTAATTCTTGACCATTCCTCTTTAGAGAACTGTTTCAGTTCAGCAATATTCTTGGGATGTCTGGTATGAATCGCTTTCTTGAGGTCATGCCACAGCATCTCAATCGGGTTGAGGTCAGGACTCTGACTGGGCCACTTCAGAAGGTGTATTTTCTTCTGTTTAAGCCATTCTGTTGTTGATTTACTTCTATGCTTTGGGTCATTGTCCTGTTGCAACACCCATCTTCTGTTGAGCTTCAGCTGGTAGACAGATGGCCTTAAGTTCTCCTGCAAAATGTCTTGATAAACTTGGGAATTCATTTTTCCTTCGATGATAGCAATCCGTCCAGGCCCTGATGCAGCAAAGCAGCCCCAAACCATGATGCCCCCACCACCACACTTCACAGTTGGGATGAGGTTTTGATGTTGGTGTGCTGTGCCTTTTTTTCACCACACATAGTGTTGTGTGTTTCTTCCAAACAACTCAACTTTGGTTTCATCTGTCCACAGAATATTTTGCCAGTACTGCTGTGGAACATCCAGGTGCTCTTGTGCAAACTGTAAACGTGCAGCAATGTTTTGTTTGGACAGCAGTGGCTTCCTCTGTGGTATCCTCCCATGAAATCCATTCTTGTTTAGTGTTTTACGTATTGTAGATTCGCTAACAGGGATGTTAGCATTTGCCAGTGACTTTTGTAAGTCTTTAGCTGACACTCTAGGATTCTTCTTCACCTCACTGAGCAGTCTGCGCTGTGCTCTTGCAGTCATCTTTACAGGACGGCCACTCCTAGGGAGAGTAGCAGCAGTGCTGAACTTTCTCCAATTATAGACAATTTGTCTTACCGTGGACTGATGAACAGCAAGGCTTTTGGAGATACTTTTATAACCCTTTCCAGCTTTATGCAAGTCAACAATTCTTAATCGTAGGTCTTTCTGAGAGCTCTTTTGTGCGAGGCATCATTCACATCAGGCAATGCTTCTTGTGAAAAGCAAACCCAGAACTGGTGTGTGTTTTTTATAGGGCAGGGCAGCTGTAACCAACACCTCCAATCTCATCTCATTGATTGGACTCCAGTTGGCTGACATCTCACTCCAATTAGCTCTTGGAGATGTCATTAGTCTAGGGGTGCACATACTTTTCCCACCTGCACTGTGAATGTTTACATGGTGTGTTCAATAGAAACATGGCAATATTTCATTCTTTGTGTGTTATTAGTTTAAGCAGACTGTGATTGTCTATTGTTGTGACTTAGATGATGATCAGATCACAGTTTATGA